GGCTTCTTACGAATTACGGCGCCGCTTAATAAACTCATAGAGAATGGCGGTAAAATCCCTATAGGTAGGCGAGTATAGCGTAAAGCTAAGTCGGTCGAGATATAGTTAACGCCGGAAGCGCGAGATACGTTCCGATCGTTAAAGAATTACTTTATAACTACGCCGATTCTTAGGCATTTTAATTCTAAGAAGTATATTTAGGTCGAAACTAACGCGTTAGAATTCGTAATTACTAGAATCATTAGTTAACCGCATAAAGATGCGAAAGACAAGGTATAATAGTACCCGGTCGCCTTCTTTTCCCGTAAAATGGCGGATATAGAGACGCGTTATAATACGCACGACTAGGAACTACTTATAATTATCGAGAGTTTTAAGTAATAGCGATATTATTTAGAAGGCTCCGTATATTAGATCGAATTATTATTAGATTACGTAAATCTACGTTACTTTATGTTAACCAAGGTCCTTAATCGCCGATAAGTACGTTAGGCTAAGTAGATATTAATATTTAACTTTAAAATCTTATATAAAGCTAGAAGAGAGAATAAAGCTAATCCTCTATCGCGGCGTAAAGATTATAAGAAATCATCATAGAATAACATAGATAGTCAGTATAAGTTAGACTATACTATACTTTAGATACTATAAGACTAGTTATCTAATAGAATACTAGAAGCTAGGATACTTTCGGCGATTCTCCGCGGGAATTAGAGCGGGTATTAAGTAATCTAAATAAACATCTAAGAAACTAAGAAAACCCTTAAAGACTTAATTAAATCTACCTAGAATTCCGATATATTAGTAAAGAAAGTCATAAGTATAAAAGGAAGCGCTATAGATCTACTATAGTTATTAAGGTAGGAATCATAATTAGACGCGATCTACTTCTAAGGCCGACTCTACGTGCTAGAAGGCGGCTTATAAATTAATATTTTAAGGAAATAGCACGATTACGCGTTAGTAGGGCACTTTAGCGTTATAAGGACGGTCGATTTAATCCGAAGGACGTACGACTAGCCGGGTCTTTATAAATATATAAAAGACTACGTAAAAACGTGTAATGTTTACCAGCATACGAAAGTACATAGACACTTACTATATAGCGAATTAAGGCCATTACCTATGCTAAAGGAGGCATAGAAGGAATTATCGATGGATTTTATCACAGATCTACCCCTAAGTAAGTATTCTAGGCACATTTATAATAGTTTACTTATAGTTCTAGATAGATTTATAAAGATATTATACTATATCCCTATAAGGGAGACAATCTAAGTACCGGATCTTATAGATATACTACTCCGTGACGTAGTCCGGCTCTATAGTATACCGAACGGTATAGTTTTAGATAGAGGTCCGTAGATAACGTCTAAATTTTAGAAGGATTTCTACTATATACTAGAAATTAAGCGGAAACTTAGTACTACGTTCTATCTATAAATAGATAGATAGACGGAGCGGTAGAATTAGATAGTCGAGGCGTATTTACGTGTATATTATAACTATAAGTAGGATAACTAGATAAGGTTAGTCTATATCGCGGAATTCGCGTATAATAATAGCCGACATGTATTAACCTATATAAGTCCGTTCGAAGTAAACTTCGGTCGGAACTATAATACGTAGTTCTTAGGGACTTAGTTTAAAGTAGAACGACCTAACGTTAAAGTAATAGAAATTACTATAGAACTATTCTAAATATAAAGAAGCGTTATAAAGTTACTATAAGATACTACGAATTATAGTAAATCGCACTATAATAAGGGTAGAAAACCTATAATCTTTAATATTAGGGATAAAGTTTTACTAAATAGTAAGAATATTCGTAGTATTAGGCTAAAGAAGAAGCTTAACTATACGATAATAGATCTATATAAGATTACTCGTATAATTAATGACCAGGCGTACGAGTTATAACTCCCTTCTACGTTAAAGATATATAATATATTCCATATTATACTTCTCGAGCCATTTCATGCCTTATTATTACCGGATCGTTCTAAATAGATACTATATAAAGTAGTTACGTAAGAAGGTATAGATATCTACGAAGTTAAGTAGATACTTAGCTAGTAACGCGCCGAAGATAGCACGTAGCTATATAAAATTTATTAGAAAGGATATAATTCTAACAAAGATACTTAGGAACCTATAATAAATATTAGTAAAGCAGCGATATTAGTATATAAGTAGCGATTAGTAAAGGAAGCCGCAGAATCGTAGAGAATTATACTAAAGTACGGCGATTCGACGTTTTTTAGTATAGTTCGGCGCCGAGGACGGCTGTCTAAAAGGAAGAAGGTAAAAGAGATATAGATCTTTAAAACATTCTAAGGAATTAAGGAACTTCCTTAGAAAGTTCGAACTTAGAACTTTAAAAAATTTAACTAAAAAAGAGACTTAGAAAAATAATTTACTAAGAAAAATGGATATCGAAAATCGGTGCCGATCGGTATAGATCGGTATAGATTACTAAAGAGATTAAAGAAGTTATTATTAAAGAAAGATAAAATTAAGAAAGCTAGAAGAAAATATAAAGATCTATATAGATCTATATAAACTCGCACTAATCTATCTAGAAGAAGTAAGATCGCTTTAAAATTAAAATCGAAAAACTAAAAACGCTAGATAAAAGAGATATATTAGTACCGATCGGTGTAGATCTAAACCGATTAAGTCGGAGTAGGAGTAGAAGTACTAATTACCGCGATAGTTATATCTAATTCCTTCCGCTAGTTCTTATTTAGTATAGTATAGAGCTTTATAATATAAGTCTCTAGCCTTTCGTTCCGACGCTATAAATTCTATATAGCGCGCCTTATAGCTATAAACTCCTCTATAGAAATCTATAGAGCGGCGGGACCTAGGACGGAGAGGGACGGACCGGCGTGGGCACGCTAAGAATTATATAAATTAGCGAAAAGATTTAACGATTGGTATAGAACCATATACCTTTAGTATAGAAACTTCTAGATTAGAGCTATCTTCCCTAAATTTACGGCTCTTTAGCACGCGCGAGGAAGGAACCTTAGCCTTTTTACTAGAACCTTTTCTAGGAATTCTAATATTACTAGTATATAGAAAGAAGTCCGAAGTAGTAGAGATTTTAGCACTATTATAGAGATTAATATATATTAGTAAGAATCTATAACGATTTAAGAAAAACAATATTACCTAGTAATCGCGGTAATAATAGCTATAGTAGATTCTAATAAATCCTTACGGATCTTATTAGAATCGTACTTCTAGGCGTAACTCTTACCTTAGGTATATAGCTCGTAGAAAGCCTTCTCTAAGGCGTTACGATCGGTAGTACCACGCTCCTTATTAGTAGAGGTTACTAGAGGCCTAGTAGTAATCTATACTAATATAAGTAAATCTACGTAAAGTTCTTCGAACTTAATTAAATACCTATAAGTAATAACGCTTCTTAGTTATATAAGTACCGTATATTATAGATTTAGCACCGCCGTGAGTAACGTATAACGGAAAGCGATAACCATAATAATATATAGCTAGATTATTAGAGCCCGGCCTAGGTCGGGGTAGATTAATGGCTTTCGATATATCGGTAATGTATATAAGATAGAGATTATTCGAAGGCGTCTATTTCCGTGCCGATTACTTTAGAGTATCGAGATTTCGGGAAACTATATTATAATTATTATTAATTTATGCGGATTATTACGAATTATATTATTACTAGCTAAGAATGGCACGAAAATTAGTAAATTACGTAAATCGTACTAAATTATAGTAAATCTATATAAATCTATGTCTATAAGGATCGGGTAATATACCTAATAATCTAAAAAACTCTATAAAGAGTTAAGAAGTTTTTTAAAGAAAGGAATATTTCTAAGAAAAGATTTTAATATAGGTAGCACCCGGGCTTACCTAATTACATTACGTGATACGCTAGGCCTAATTAGGTAATCTCACCTATATAAGAAATTAAGATGGATAAAATCTAGTTTATTAGGAAAACGCTTATGTAAATCTTAGATCGGCGAATATTAGTAAGTATCTAAGACGAAGTGTAGAGAACGACTAAGGTCTTACGAGACTTAGGATAGGGATATAGAGATAGGTAATAATCTAGGTTACTAAGGGTAGCTTCCTAGAGGGAAGGGATAATTATTAGGACTTAGCCTTAGGTAGGACCCGACCTATATATACCTTAGCTAATAGAGTTAGGAGGTAACGTGAAGGGCGGTAAATAGTTACATACTAGATAGATTAGCGTCCCTTTATATATATACTCTCGGATTCCTACCGAAAGGGTTCGGTAGTAATTCGTTCTATGATAGAATACACCCCATTGTTCTATCTAACTATACTACTATTCAATAACCCTATTCTTACAATACGTATCCTTAGGGTGTTTAATTTAATATACCATCTAACGTTCAGATGGCGTTAGGTCTAGATAGTTCTATGCGAACCTAATCTTATTACTATCGTTCGTGAATAGGTGGAAGAATCGGCTATACTAGTAAGCCTATTTATAAAAGCTCCTTCTAGTTTTACCGTCGAAGTAAGGTAGTTTCTTAGGCTAAGGTAACTAGGATAGTAATAGACTTAGTTAGACTATTTCGGCTTAAGTTAGTCTATATTAGTATAGGTTAGTTACTACTAGTACTAAAGCGCGTAGTACGGCTTTAAGTCTAGTAGTTCGTTCTTACGCTTTATTAAGTTCGCGAAGTTACTACTCGAGCTAAGCCTAACGCTATCTCTCCGTATATAGCTTAGTATATATATTATTATAAGGCGTGGTTAACGTTAGTCGGTTCTAATAAATTAATTCGTTAACGTTAATAGGGTCTAGTCTTATAGTAAGGATAGGTCTAGTATAGTATAAACTAGACCGCGATAGAGTATAATAGACTCCTTCCTTATTATCTAGGTAATCTTCTATGGTTATACGGAATACCGTACTAGTTATTAGTACGATAGCCTATAGAGTATACTTATTAGTAGAGGTGGTTATAGGGAGACTATTCTCTTCGTTTAGATTTAGAGAGAGTCTCTTATATAAGGTAGTACCACGGGTATTATAGCGCGTAGTAGAAGCTATCTCTATAAGCTACCATCGTGCTATATAGAGAGGAATTAAAATATAAAGAGTAAAGACGTAGGATAGTAGTCTAATAGTTCATAGAGAGATATAGAAATGTATTTATAGAGTAATCTTACTCTTATATAAGGTTAATTCCTAACGAGTAGGAATCGGTTTATACGGTCCACTTATATAGTGACCTCGCTTAACTTAGCTAACTTAATCTAGCTCTAGCTACTACGTGGCTACATGGATTAGAATGGTCTATATAGATCTATTATAGTTCCTATTCTAACATATATCTCTAAATCCTTCTATAATCTATTAGACTACTATTCTATATCTATAATCTTTATACTAGAGTTCTAGTATAATATACTATAGTATACTTTAATAAGCTTTATAAGAGAATACTCTCTTAAAAATATTATTATTATTTCTTATTTTTAAGAACTTCTCTAGATATAGCTAGATCTAGATTCTAGTCTACTATATAGATATATCTATCTATAGAATTACTTTCTTACTAATATAGCTTATTATAGTAGATCTTATAGAATAGAAGATACTAAGAGTAAGGTTTAGAAGTAGTATAGATAATATTAGAAGTAGCGGGACCTTAATAGAGGGTCTAGAATACCTAGATACTATAGAATAGAAGAGGTTTCTCTAATATACCTTTCTAACTAGCTATTTAACCATGCTATTACTTTACACGCACGAGTCTATAGATAGCGAAGGTCGCGATGATATTAAAAGCCAAATACCCCCAAAGTAATCCGAAGTTACTCCATTGGCTAGCGTAATCCATCTCTAACGCCTGTAGAAATGAATTGGTGTCGGCAAGCTGGTAGTAAGCGTAGCCGCGCGAGTCGTTCGAGATGAGATATCCCCCGTATGTCTTGATGAATGGACTTAGATAATCCGAGCATTCTTGGTTTGAGGGATTAGGGATCTGCAGGACTTCAATTTCGGAGCACTTCACGGGTTTGAAGGCCATCGAAGACGAATAGATCCCTGAAACGAGATAAGTCAGTGGCGATACGCGGTACATAAACTTCCAAAAGCTTGGCAGGTCTCCGAATGGCACTAACACCCTATTATCAATGCTAGTTAGCAGTGTAACTTCGGAGCTAAGGATTAATGGGGATAATTACCCGCAAAAGATAAGAATGAGGTAAAAGAAGAGCTGTGCAAGGTTCACTCCCATCTCAGCGTGCTCGACAGCTGCTATGACAAGGATGGCGAATGTACTAGTGAACAAATAGAACACCCAAACAAACAGCATTACGATACCCGCTCTCTCGTGTTGTTCTGCGGCGTCCTCAATACCATTTTGAAAGCCGATCGGGAAGTACCATACAACAAATGCGCCCACAGACATGAGAGTTTGCCAGGGTATCTCGACAATAATTTGGGACAAAATAAAAGTAGTCCAGGAGTATGTCTTCGATGGTCCCTCTCGCGCCTCGAACAGAGCTCTCGATTCAACAAAATGCGGCATAATTTGCTGTATAACTTGACTAAAGCTCATGAAGAAGAGAAACGTTGAGAACATAGAGTTTCGGAGACCTTGGATACTTGAGGGGCTCTCCCAGAACGAGAAACCGATGAAGAAAGCCTATAACAGTTAGCATCTAGATAACAAGTATGCTTTTTCACCTACAGTGCCGACGCATAGCACGAACCGAGACCATATGTAAACAGGGCTGCGCCAGTACTCTTGGAAAGTCCTCATGAGAACATAATATAACTGCGTTTTGAAAGGCGAAGCGTATTCTGACTGATCTTGAAGCCGCTGCTGGGTCTCTGTACGGAATTCGGTATCAGCGCCACCCGGCTGCGCGCTGATCGTGTCCAGGAAGCGCCGTGTATCGCTATATTCTGCTGATTTCTTCCAGATTTGTGCCCAATTAGGGCTGTCCAGATTCTTCACGGTCGATCCTATTATATCAACCACCCATTCGGCAGGATTCTGATCGCTTCCACAGCTCAGTGCACCGTGCCGCTCAAAATAACTTGTCATTCTCGCAACTTCACCAAAGTACGCTGTCTCGCCTCCAGCAACAAGAAGCAGGATTTGGTCGAACTGCTGCAGAATCTGAGCTGATGGCTGATGAACCGTACACATGATTGATTGGCCCTCATGAGCGAGCTTTCGCAACAGTTGGCAGATCGACCATGCAGATTGACTATCGAGACCAGACGTTGGTTCATCTATGCACTACTAAGCAATTTGATATGCATCTCCAACTGCGTGACCTTACCAAGAAATAAAAGCAGTTCGGGCTTCGCTACCATCTCAACGCCTATACTCAGACGTTTTCGTTGCTCAATATTCAGGCCTGGTGACATTTTAGTAACCATGAGATTGACATCCGAGGACTAAGCTTGCGAAGTCTACCTTGCCCTGGAACGCCAATAACTGCGTGTTGGAATGCTTCCATCTCGAGAATATGGACAATATAGTCAACGTATTCCATCTTCTCGGCTTGCGGAGTAATAGCAGACTGCCTCAGCATAGCGCTGAATACTAAAGCTTCTCGTACGGTGCTTGTAGGTTGATGAACATCATCCTGCTGTACGTACCCAATCTTCCGTTGTGTTGATGTGCTTCGAGGGCTACCATTAACCAATATGTCACCACGTACGTCGCTTGGCGACACTCGATTCGCAAGCACGTTCAGCAGCGTCGTCTTACCAGCGCCAGTTGCTCCCATCAATGCTGTGAGACAGCCGGACCGAATGAAGCCGTCAACGCCGTTGATGATCTTCTTGGTGGTGTTTCGATGATGGACTTCGTAGCAAAGATCTTTCCAGACGAAGGTGGGTCCTGTAGTTTCTTCTGAACTTGGATTGACGCGCCCATGTGACGTGGCTACTGGGAGTCGAAGCATCGCGGGTCTTTCCTCATCAGCTCCTCGCGACTTGTAGACCTGATTCCTCTTCTTGAATAGAAGCACTTCGCCCTTGGAGCGTTGCGCCAGAATCTTCTCTGATGTAAATAGATGAGCCACACAAAATACAAACCCCATGGCAATTATGATACCCAGATTCCTATGATACGTAAGCAATTGAGAAATGGACAAGGAATTTACTGACCGCCAAAGATGCGAAGCACGAAAGTCGTAGTTTAGAGCCAAAAAGGAATCACCATCGATCCAGTTCTGACCTGGAACGGCGCCATTCGTTGCGCATACCCTGTCCAATGGGCTTAGACCCTCGTATGAGGGTCCATAAGGCACAAATCTAGCGCAGTCAAATCGACGCTCAGAGAACTAGGACTCGTATTAGAATAGCAGGCTTCGGTGCTGGTTGGAACTAACCTCATTTATCATCAGAGCCTCATAGGTATATGACAATGGATTGATGTAGGCTATCCAGCTTAGCCATGGATGCATGAGCCCGACCGGAATTATGAATCCGGCATAGATAATATAATTGAGGATAAAAATAGCTACGGGAGCCATTGTCTGTTCGATAGTACGAGATGAAGAGCCGACCATGCGAAAGAACATAGACATGGTGATGAAGCATGTGAATGAAAAGAGAAACCAGATGAAAAAGGCCTCCGGGGTCCTTCGGAGATTTGTCATGAAGTAGAGGGCAAGGTTGAAACAGACAGAAGTGAAGACTTTGTTAGGGATATCGCAGATCATCGCCGCTGCCGCTTCGACAAATGGGTGATAGAAACGATATCGATTTTGCTTCTCCACGATGGGACGCTGGGCCCAGATAGTGAGGACTTCGAAAGCACTCATAAACGCGTTCAAGAGTACAGCGAAGAATATTAGGACGCTACGGTTGTCCAGGCTTGCTGTCGTAGAGTCCTGACCCAAGAATACGCTTCCAACAATGACGGCCATCACAACATTCCCGAAAGTGCCACTTAATGCCGGCGAGATGTTTCTAGATAGTCTTTGAAAGGCGCGACGTATGCAAAGTAGTATTTGAGACAGGAGAGATATTGTATATGGCGACGAATTTGATCTGTAATGCCAATTAGGAATAAATTCAAGAACGTCTGATCTAACTACATCTTACTGGCCTTCCCTGCATGTATTTTCCGGGTGAATGTAGCACAGCCGGATCCGATCGGATAGTCGTGTTCATAGGTCTGCAGGTCCTGCAGAAGCTTCGTGCGGCTAGAGCTTCTTTCCCAGTGCTCTGCAAATTGCGTCGGGCTCCGGAGAAGACTCGATGGAGTGTCTGGGGTTGCAAGCAGTCTCGCCTCAGCCGGATGTGTGATTGCCGTCAAGAAATCCGCTGTCGATACATGCTTAGGACATTTGAACCCCAACTCCTCGAAGTACGTTTTTGCATTGTTAGTCGTCCCAAAGAATATCTGTCGACCCTCATAGAGTAAAATTACCTTGTCGAAAGTGTCGAAGATCGCCTGAGAGGCTTGATATATGCTCATTATGATACAGCCACCTGACGAGGTCGCATAGTAGCGTAGTACACGCACGAATGAGAGAGCAGTAGAACTATCAAGACCTCGAGTGCTGTTATCCCAGAGTTGGAATGGAGCCCAGCTCAGGATGGCTTCTGCAATACTAACGCGTTTCCGTTCGCCGCCGGACACTCCTCGAATGACATGATTGCCAATCAGAACACTAGATGCTCGTTCCAAGTTGAACAAAGTGATGAGAGCTGCTTTGAGGTGTTCCGACCACTCCAAAACGGATTTGCCTACCTGTGGCGAAAGAGCCGTCTTCGCGCGTGCAGCGAAAGATAAAGTCTGATCAACGCTCAATTCCGGGAAGTGAACATCTTCTTCGGCAGTGTATATCATCTCCCCTGGGAAAAGGCGCCTCATCTGATCTGATGTAATACCTAGTCCAGTAAGTTTAGAAGAGCTGGAGAGCTGGAGAGCTGGAGGGCATTACCATGATAGTTAAGGCTAGCCTGAGCATCGACATTTATCCCATTCCTGTCACCAGCTAGAGATTTGAGCAGCGTTGAGCAGCCGCTTCCTGGTCTGCCAAGGACCAGTAGCATCTCGCCGCTCCGGACCACCCCTTCAAAGTCATGGAGAATCTGAACCCTTGTCTTCTTCGAAACCAGCTGAAGACAACGATGATAAAAAAGGGTCGGATAACTCAAAACCGTATGTTGGCAATTTTGAAGGCCAAGCGAGCCGAACACGCTTAGTCGAGAAAAACTCACGCTCAAGCGTTTGCTCGACTGACCACTCGTATTTTCTTTCAAGCGTTGCACATTCTCAAACCAAAGTTGAGCATCGAAAGAATCACGGAGAGGGTCGAGCTTCGAGGCAGCAGGAGGTTGGGATTTGGTCATGTTGACACGAAATCTGGTCGGGTAGAATAGAGGAGGGTAGAATGCTAAAAGAGTAGCAAAGTATGTTTGGAGAAAATACAAGAATTTGAGGACCTGAGAATGAAAGCCTAAGAGGGTTTGTTAGTGCATCGAAAGAGTTGTATAGGCAAGGTCCTCTTTACGTAAGGAAGTAGCTGAAAGGGCATAACTCCTACCTAAGTGGCACTTATCTACCATCACATGCATCGGAAACTTCAAAACCCTGAATGACACCCCTGACACCTGGTGAAACCAAGACGAAAGGAAATCGTTAGCCAGGGCCCTGCCTCCAGACAGACTCCCAAGGTTGACCGGACTGTTACATCTCCCCTTGATCCCCCCCCTTCCCCCCTCCTCTCTTCCCTGCGACAGGTCCTCCCATGCAGAATATTCACACTATAACCAATGTAAAATTTTGTACTTGATGTTGAGGCCACGGTAAATGTTACGGTTCACATGTCGAAAGAGAGCCGCGAATGAGGATATTGCAGCGAATGTTGCAGCTCAATCGAGAGCCAAGATGATGCAATACCACTTCAAGAAGGACAGAAGTGGCAAGAGCTCAGGTATAGATAGTTGCACGGTAGTATCTAGCATGACGGATTCGGTGAACGAGTATTTGATGATTGAAGTGATACAATACGATAGTAGTGGCCAACAAACTTGCTGCCCCTGACAGCACGAATGCATAACGTTGAGGCGAGGTATGATCCTCGCAAAGCTCAGCAAGATAGCGATGCCAGCGATGAGTCCAACTACGATCTATGAATTCTCCCCGCATGATCGATCGATCTTCCATTGCTACATTGGGTCGTCAATCGGTACTAATGGAATAGAAGCAAATAGTCTGTTGGGATCCATAATCCTTTAGGATTCATCTTGTGAACGTCTGTTCTGAAGATGTCGTCCACTGTCTGCCGTAAGGGTCTGGCGGATTTGTGCTTCTTATACAGCCGCTCCGTTCTTAACACTGAACGATGGGATAATGCCAAAGCTAAAGAGAATACTTCGATTGCGTCGAAACTATTCTTTAGAATTGATCGGAGAAACGAGCCACCAAGCCATCAGATGTCACCTAGCCACATTCAGCCAGTTGCGTTTGGAGGGCTGCCCTCGAAAATACTAGTCGAATGTGAAGACATGCAAGACTGTGGTAATAAGGCACGGTTTGGAAAGGGAGGGCGGGTATGACAGACTGATGTAACGTCGTTCCCGCGCCGCAAAGATGCGTCGTTCACATGGAAATATCGATCCTCCTCTCGCCTTTGACCTTAATTTCGCACTACTTGACTTTTCATGTCAAGAGGGCAGTTCTACATAATCTCGAAAACCCTTATCTCTATTACAAATATCACAATGGGCGACCTTGTGAGAGTGCTTTTCTTCATCTTGGTCGCCGGGCTCGCATTCATCGTATCCGGTATCCGAAAGCTTTTGCACTCTAGGCGCCGCATTACCAAGCTTCAGAAGGCTGGCCTCGTAGGTTCAACCTTCGCTTCTTGACGAAAAGTCCTAATGCGAAGTCAGCCAATGCCTAAACACAACTTCCTTACAGGACACTTGCTCGAAATGAAGCGATACATGGACACCGTTCCTTCAGACTCCACCATCAATACTACCATTGCTGCTATGGCGCACGAATTTCCAGGAGGAGTATTCTATATCGATCTTTGGCCGTTCACCAAGCCTCTGCTTATATCCACTACACCTTCGAGCGGGTATCAATTACAACAACATGCCCTTGACAAACCCAAAGAAATTTCCGATGCCTTTTGGCATCTGACGGGCGGCCCAAACCTCTTCACGATGCCAGAGACTCCTTGGAAACCGTGGCGTACCATCCTCAATCCGGCATTTAGCCCCGCTCACATACTCACCTTGTCGAAGACCATCGCAACCGAAATGCAAGTCTTTTGCGAGATCCTTGAGGAGAAAGCACATCGAGGCAGCATATTTCAACTCGAAGACTTGACACTAAAACTTACTGTGGATGTCATAGTAGCAGTAGCTCTGTAAGTATTTTCAGATGAACACTAGCCGTATACTCACGAAAATCTTAGCAATACGCGGCTTCATTACCAGCAGAAAGAGAATGCCCTGGCGTCATCCTTGCGAACTTTGATTGAATGGACTTCATTCGGGGATGACCTCAATCCCTTCACACGATATAACCCATTGCGGCCGCTCGTTCAATTCTATCTCAGCCGAAAACTTAACAATCTGATTGAAGTTGAGATTGACCGACAATATTCCGAACTTTTGGAAGATCAGAGTCTCTCAAAAGAGACAACGAACTCAAAGTCCATCATGTATCTGACGTTGCAGAACTACTTGAATGAGACAAAGAAATCCAAGGAAACTCAAAGATCTACATCGAAAGGATTGGACCGAAACTTCAAAAACGTGGCAGCTGCTCAGATACGGTTGTTCCTCGTAGCTGGCCACGACACAACCAGCAGCACCCTGTTGTACTGCTACTACCTTCTTGGCACAAGCCCCGACGCGATGCGCAAGATCCGCGAAGAGCACGAAAATGTTTTTGGCTCAACGGACGTTTACAACGCAATTTCACAAGACGCAACATGCTTGAACCGACTACCATACACATCTGCTGTAATCAAAGAAGCTGGGCGCCTGTTTCCAGCCGCTTCCGCGATGCGAGGCGGTGTTCCCGGTGTCTCAATCACTGACGATGACGGCAGAGAGTTCCCAAGCGACGGTTGCAGTATTTGGGTCATCCACCTCCTGCTTCATCGGAATCCCAAATATTGGAAGGATCCCCACGCATTCATCCCGGAACGGTGGTTGATCGAGGACCCAAAAGATCCTTTGCACCCAGTGAAGGGTGCTTGGCGACCTTTCGAATTTGGACCCCGTAATTGCATCGGGCAGTCATTAGCAACACTGGAGATGCGCATCGCGCTCGCCATGACAATTCGCAAGTTTGACATCAAGCCAGCGTATGATGAGTGGGACAAGATTCATAAGAACACGCGCAAGAAGATTGTATTTGGTACCCGGGCATACCAAGTTCAAGGAGGTGGTGGAGGCGCTCACCCGTCCGCTGGTCTACCATGTGAGGTTTTTGTAAGGAACGGATAGGTTGGTAAGGGTCATCACTTAGCTTCATAACATACCAATCAATCTTCTTAAAGATCTCTCCTCTCACCGGTATGTTTTTTTTCCGCCGCATCTTTCATACGAAACAACCTTGAGTAAGCACAGCAAGTAGCGGAGCTTATGGGGTTCCTGAGATCCATCCATCCTATTCTAGCGGCTAGCTCGGTTCGTCCTTCCGATCGGATTCAATGGCAGGCTAGGTACTAAGGACCGCTCGACGGACTACACAGTAGTTCATCGGACGCGGAAGGTAGAATCCCCCAGCGCGCTAGATCAGCCACAGTGTTCATCACTTACACCCATATCCATGTATCTTCCAACATTTTATCAATTTCTCGGAGAGTGTTGTCGACGAATAGTGGCCACCTTGCTGACAGCAAATCGATGACCACTGTTCATGAACCCTCAGTCGTCCCCGGCTCGGTCATACAGCCCTATTCAAGCTAGCTATGCAGTAGACATGTATCATAAGTTTACCTGTGATGTCGTTGCTGATAGCAAACCGACGATCACTGATCGCGAACCCTCAGTTGTTTTCGATTGGAATTCGATCCCAATGCCCTGTTCAAGTTAGATTTGCGTGGAGACTGCATCTTCCGTTTGCCTTGAATCTCTTGGACCCTGGACCTGTTGTGTCTTAGCAGCAACAGCCTCAGAAGATTTAGGAGCAATTTGGGCGTGAGTCTCATTCCGTTCGGTCCTTGGCGAACACTTGTGCCGCTTGTAATGTAGACTGAAAAATTGGCATTGGTGTTGCTTTACAGGGCGTTAGCTGACAAACTATACAGTGCAAGTTCTACCGCCATCATCTGCGTCTTCTAGACTTTGTACGAAGTGTAATCATCGAAGAAGCTGCACGATGCGGTATTGGCAGAGGCGCATGCGGCTTCATCACAGGAAGATGGAGAACCCAAACAGTCGCAGCTTCTCAGCTCTCTTATCTTCGATCAGTCTACGATGAGACTCTTCGGCTTTGAATGTCGTTTGGTCACGATCCGCGTAGGAGCACGAAAGGACTTGCAACTGGGACCTTGGAGAATTCCTCGGAACGGCGTCTTTCCGAAGGATCCGTCAAGCGGACTGTGAGGAACGAGACCTCATAGTACTATCATCCCGACACGCCCTGAGGATCAAGATTCTTCTCGAGCTGGACCAGCAGATGTTCCCACGTTCAATATGGATGGAATGGATGCATCCTGGATCCCGTATGGTGGTGGACCGCGAATGTGCCCGGGGCGCAGACAACACAAGCTCCCTGCCGTTACACTTCACAAGGAGTGTCGGCGTCCATGACAGAGCCACTAATCTCGAGCTGTGCCATGTTGTTGCATAAAATGATCAAAGCCATCCATGTGCCGAACGACCACGAAACACTGCGTAGATGTATAGTCTGGAATCTCATCATCAGCTTGAGCTAGATGTCAATCGAAATAGCCTAGTTTCCTTGCTGCAGCTGCAACTGTTCAGGCATCAACAACTCCCATGACCTGTACGATTACCCTCCACCTACTTGTGTCCTGGTAAAGTATAACATCACTCGGTACTGCGCCACACGAAATTGTGAGCATTCCAGGTTGAGGGGCTCGGCCAGCGGTGTCTAGCTTAGGACCTATAGATGGATCCTACCTAGGTAGTAGTAAAGTCGCTTCCTATCCGCGTCCTTGTAAATCACCTAGATACGCGGTACTCGGTAGTACCTCTTAAACCTTGGAAGAAGAGACGCGCGAAGTCCGAATATATCTTCCATCTAGTGGCTTCGAAGAGGCTGTGGGCATGTTCGTGTCGCTGTACGAATTGGATTGATGAGGGAGTTCCAAGGTTGGGAACAGCCAAGAGCCAAGCCTGGTCGCGTCCCCCAGCCAGTTCTACCTAGTACGTAACATTCAATTAGTAAAAAGTTACGAACGGTTATTAAGGTACGTTCGACTGATTACCTCGGAAGCTTGTGATAGTATGTACTTAAGTTTAACGGCTAGGCTCGCAGATAAAAGCTCCTGACCAGCCACGTTACTATACGTTCGTGTCTTGACTATTATGTATTCAAGCCATGGCCTCGAATAAGAACGGGAAGCCAGAAGGAACTGACCCGTGTCTAAGAATCGTGCCACTAGGATTGAACGACGACACTTTCATTAATCGCTGCGTTGTTGTCAGTGTACTCCTCAAGTTTGATCACAAGTTAGAAACGACAAAGTTGCGCCTTGCACTTGATCGCTTACTCCAATTTCCAACATGGAACAAGCTTGGGTCGCGAGTGCGGAAGAAGGTCAGCTTCATTATTACTCTTATGTTTTGCGCTAAGTAATGAATCAGAACTCACGATTGGAATTTCACATTCCTCACAGCTTTTGCTCTGAGAGACCTGGATACCTCTGGTCCGCAGAATCGACAGCATGCCCGATTGAGAAGCATGTAGCTGGTTCTCAGATTCCATCTCGCTTCGACAAAGCTTTCGTGGCAAGCTCACCAGACGCTTTGAGACCTCTGATTTTTGATCACGATGCGCCAAGACGACTGCGTGACTACTTAAATGGGGACACTCCACTTCTTGCTATTCGTGTTATGACATTCGATGACGCGACTACCGTTGCTGTCTCGTGGCCTCACATCATGTCGGATGTGAATGGCATACGGTCATTCTTAGACGCGTGGAGTCTGGTCATGGCAAAGAGGGATGCAGAAGTCAAATCCTTGCATGGTTTCGATTTTGACCCTCTTGAACCACTGGAGCACCGGGGTCGTCCCGAGGATTGGGCCCATTGCGACTACATATTGAGTACGCGTCAAAAGGTCAAATGGATAGGTCGCCTTACAGGGGAACTTGTCCGGTATCGGGATTTCGAGTGGAGGACCTTCTGCCTTCCTTTAGCCCATATTACCAGCCTGAAGAAACTCGCGCTCGAAGAGATGCAGCGTACCGAACCGTCGCCTACGCGGCCGCATTTCCTCAGCGACGGCGACATCATCGTTGGCTTTGTCACTCGTATACTAGCTTCGTCACTTCCAACACGATCGGTCGCCATATTCTGTGCTCTATCAATCCGTAAGTTGTTTCCAGACATCTTTCCACCTGATAAGATCTTCATTGGGAATGCGCTGAGTGCGACCGTGACATTGATACCAAAAGGCGGATCCCCTAGTAAATCTGTAGGCTATATTGCTGCACATTTTCGTAAAGAATTGAATCTACAGGCGACACAACCTCAACAAGAATCTCTCATGGCGATGAACAGTGCTGCGTATCGAAAAGGGAGACTGCCTGAGGCGGCAGTAGGAGACTCGTCAGCAGTGGTATTGGCCTTCACCAATTGGACTCAGGCGCGCTTCTTTGATATTGATTTTAGCGGTGCGCTGCGTAATGGTGATCACAATGACCCTGCCAGGGCACACCCAGTACTCACCAAGCCATCGTATGTGGGTCAACTGGAGACTGCAAGCCAAAGGCCCAATTCAAGATACTTGACTGTCATCAAAGGCCAAGATGCAAAAGGCAACTATTGGATCGATGGGGTGTATAGGAAAGCGACATGGGAGGTGATAGTTCGCTTACTGCATGACATCAACAACGACAATACGACCTGATAAATCAATGTTCATCCATGGTTCCTGTACAGATCTCTAACAGTTCTTTATACCTCTTTGAAAGACTCTGCACTCCGCACTTCGAAGTCTCTCAGCGCAGCAGCGTCACTTTCACCCCATGGGAATTCCTTCTCTGCCTGCATAATGAGGGTCTTTTTTGCGTCACTTCGGGGCATGACCATCGCAATATACTTGATCGGGTGGCTAACAACACCGGGCTCGAATTTCAACTCAGGCTCAACAGTCTTACCACTACTGTCTACCGGCTTCAAAATATCAAATACAGCTAAGGCTTGGGCAATAGTGACGAACAAAGCGTTATCTGCAACGTGACGGCCTGGGCAGACGCGTCGACCGTAGCCAAACGTCCAAGTGCGCGGATCCGCTTCAGGAGTATGTGTTGGTGACGCGAGAAAGCGTTCTGGTTTGAATAGACTTGGGTTCTGGTAGACAGTAGGATCATGGGTGAACCACCTGGGAACAAGTCAGAACGTCGAGTGCCCAGAGCACAGATGGATAGTATCATGCACGCACCAGTTGTTCGGAAGGAGCAAGGCGCCTTTGGGGATACGATATCCATTGATGCTGTCATCCTTATCGGCGCAATGTGGCAGCGCCATCGGAGCGACCGGATGCCAGCGATGGACTTCTTTGACAATAGCATCAATGTACGGTAGTGTTCCTTTATCGGCGCTAACGGGGAGCCTGTCACCGCCAATGACGCGGTCAAGCTCCTCCTGTGCTTTTTTCTGTACGTTTGGGCACACCATCATAGCAAGGAAGAAGGTCATCAGGGATGATACAGTTGTGTCCGCACCGCCCAGATACATGGACGACGCGGACCACTTGTGTATGCGCTCCATCTGGGCATCGGCGCCGATGTTCTCCAGAGCCTGAGTGAGAAAGGATGTCTTGGCCTTACCTTTGCGCATTTGTTCTTTCACGAACTCATATGGACGCTCAGTAGTCTCTTGCAGCTGCTTAGCCATGCTACGCGCCGTGCCTTTGAATCCGGCGCCAGGAGCCCAGTCCGGAAGAAAACGCACTATGACTGTTAGCGCCTCCGGACCGTTGAAAGAAGCATTTCCATCATGTTGATCAACTTACAGAACGGGAAAACATCCACGAGGTATTTGCCTGGTACGGTCGAATCTGCAAATTCATGCATGGTCTTGACCGCCATATCGACCAGGGGATCCTTGCCATCGTGTTTCGGTGTGTAGCCGTACGTGATGCGCAAGATCACAGCCCCAGCCTGTTTCTCAATATGGTCGAACAGGTCTTCTGGGGCTCGAAGGATGTTCTGAAGGAAATGTGCAGCTTCTTCTTCTTGCACGCGATCAAAGACAGAGACAGCAGTGCTTAAACCGGCTACCTTTGCGATATTCTTTCGGTGCTGGCGGAATACTTCCGTATACCCGCTCATAGCTAACGTATTGTTCCATCCGATCCTGTGTTTGGGCGGTCAGTGATTGCATACTGAAGCTAATTTGTATCGTAGTTTACATCTGACTGCTGAAAAACATATTCGGCCGACCAGAGTGGACCGCCGCCCTGTCCCTCAACAACTCCAATGCGATATTGGCGTCATTAATGATCACGAAAGTATTGCCCAGCACCGTGATCGAGCTAATCGGACCATAAAGTTCCTTATGCTTGAGCCAGTGGTGGCATTCCAGCTCACCTGGCTTTGGTAAATCATTTACATTACCTAAAACCGGTAAACCCCTCGGACCTGGAGGCAAAGGCAGACTGCTTTTGTTCGAGTACCTTGATGCGCGGTAGGCGAGGTACAGCCCGGCGACAACGAGAAAAACAAGCAGGTTCGTAACAATGAGGCCAGCCATATTGGAAAAAGCAATCGGCGAACGGGCCCCGGGGCAGCAGGGACGAAGGTATAAAGTTCCAGTTACATGGTGGAGCGTAATCATCGAACCACGACGCCTGCTTAGGTGTGAAACTTGTTGCATGCAGTCGACCGACGGGCTCCACTGTGTAGATGCTGTTGGCTCTTGGCGAGCAAGGCCCAGAACAATGGTCCGGACTGTGACAAAAACCTACGTACGGAATGCCTTCCATTCCCAAGAGCAAAGGCACGAATGGAACTTCAGTGGGTGGAGAGGGCGGATGCAGCATCTCTGATCCGCGACTCGAGACTGGATCAGATACTATATGTTCTGCAGAAAAGCCCCTCTTACATGGTGCCGGCGGCTGATACATTGCGTCCGCTGCTAACTACTTTCAGTGTTTGTGAGCGTTGCGTGCCCCACCATGTGTGCTGGCAAGATAATGAGCTTGAACGAGGCGTCAAGGACCCACGGCAACCACTAACAAATCTTGTGTGGCTCACATAACAGCACAATGATCATAGCTATTCCTTACTTAATGTAGCTACAACGGAATTCTATCCATAGCCCAGAGCAACACCATAATCGCCAGCCATACACGTTGCCCACTGTCAAAGCTGTGCCCGGGACAAAATTTCCCACAGACCCACCATTTACATCAAAACAAAGTCTGGTACAAGGGTTCGTGCCGCCCCATACCCTGCTTGCCGCCCCGTTCCTCCGCACCCCACACTCGGCAGTGTATTAATTCGCCATCATAATGTCCGGCACTAGGGACTTGTCCGGACCCGTGCGCGGAGCTGGTAGCTAATGCCGATAGACTGGGCTAGGATAGTGGAGGACAGGGATCCTGCTTGACCTAGAAGTGGTGGCAGCTTATCAAAAGCAGCGCCGTAAAAGAAATATGGCCAACCATATTCTAGCGATCCTCATATCAATCCTGGTGGGCGCAGAACTGGTTATAGCAGAGACTATGGCGACTAAAAAGCGTTTTAGACAGCGACGATCAGGGAACCCATTCCCTTTTAGTGCCCCTGTGGCGTCTTCTGAATGGGACGCCACGCTGGATCCACTTCGAAACGTCCATCACCATCGATCGTAGCAGCAGACTCTACTATAAAGCGAGATTTAGCAATGCTTCCAAAATCACTAGTCACTTCGTACAAGAGTGCTCCTACAGCCAACAGGCCTGGATTCCAGGATCAGGAGAGCGACTCTCTTGGCAGTACACACGCTCTTGAACCCAGCAGCGACACTAATACCCAATTCCCTACGTTCGCATGATTCGATAAAGAATCTTGTGGGTTCTACGGACGAATTCTGACGACTCGAGCTTCAAGGGTCTCTTTGCCTGTCCAGGGGCAACAAAAAACAGTCTTTCATTATCACAGTATTTAGCATTGGTCTACACCTCCGCGTTTGTGTCCTTGGATATAGTTTTCAATCTCATGCAATTGGTGCCCTTGGACGTTGGCATTGAATATCACGAAAATGAAGACAGCCGGCCTATTCCTTACGCTTTGTGCAGCGGTACATATTGTCGTTGCACAGCAAAGTGCATACGACTTTCTCGACACACTTCCAAGTTGTGCGGTAAAGTTTCACTCATCTCGGTGTCTCATCTATCGCTAATATTCCTTCAGTCACGTTGTGTAGTGGCCAGTCTATCAGCCTCAGCCTGTGCATCAGATGATTTCAGTTGCCTATGCTCTGACGCAAATTTCCTAGCCGTCTCCGCTGCCTGTAATAATGCCAACTGCACAATGATCGAAACTTTGGCAGCAACAAATCAAACCTTTGGGATATGTGGTATCAAGATACGCGATCAAAGTGCTCTCCTAATAGGGTTGTCAGCTTCGGTAGGAAGCGTGGCTTTATTAATGGTCATCGTTCGATTGCTCGATCGCGGGATATCCATGACTGCAGAATTGGGATGGGATGATCTGCTTATCGGCGTCTCTGGGGTATGTCTCGCAAGATTGCATATATACGGTATGCATAGTAACTGACGCTTCTTTAGGTCTTGTCCATCGGTATGAATGGTCCTGTCATCGCCGCCGGAGTTATGGGATTCGGACGAGACATGTGGGCAATGACACCTGATAACATCACCGCAAGTTTGAAGGTAAGGCAACCTCCTCTGCCCTTTCAGCTCCAGGTATGATAGCTCACTAAATCGACAGGTTCTCTACGTCGCGTACTTCACTTACATGCTTTCCGAATGTTTTTGTCAGCTCTCAATCCTCGCATTCTACCTTCGCATTATGGTCAATAAAAAAATCCGCATGGCTGTGTGGGTCCTCATCATAATGGTGATCGGTTTTGGTATTGGCAACACAGTCGCCATGATATTCCAATCTACGCCAATTCGTTACTTCTGGGATGGTTGGAAAGGAGACATGGTCGGCTACTATGGGGTGGACGTTCGCTTGTTCGGTTTCATACGCGGTTCATTTGAGATTTTGCTTGATCTGGTCATTCTGAGTTTACCGCTGCCAATGCTGCTGGCTTTGCAAATGAGCAGAAAGAAGAAAGCGCAAATCATCAGTATGTTCTGTGTGGGGTTTATCATAACGATCGTAAGTTGCATCCGGCTGTGGAGCTTCGTGAGGTTTGCTCAGAGCACGAATCCGACTTGTAAGTCTAATCCGTTCTCCTTATTGATATGTCTGCTGATACAGAAAGATGATAACACTGCTGGCCTCATTACCTGCGCCACTGAGGGTAACCTCTTCATCGTAGTTGCTTGCATGCCTGCAATGCACGCTTTCCTTCGGCGCACCTTCAGAAGCGCTCGCAACAAATACGGATCCGGGACTCGCGTTCAGTATGACAGTGGACATGCCAGTAAAGGGTCATACGTGCGACATGATTCCAGCAGTCAGAAGAATGATCATCTTCCCTTTGGCGTGATCAACAAGACAACCGATGTTACAGTTTATCACACTAATCGCTCCAGCTCCTCAGATGTTGAGCTAGTACCCATTGACGGCCCCATGCGGTCTCTATAGGATGCTTGGATGTATCATTGTGTATTGTTTAATGTATAACGATCTCGTATGTAGCAACTGTAAATTGCTCCCGTTTCTCTACGAACTTACAATCGACATGGCTCAGCCTTTCTTTAGTCATAGGCCCAGTAGACTTCATTGAACTCTTACATAAACATGAGATTAGCCGTAATGTCACTCACGACTCTACAGTGAATTCCATATATAGATCAGCTTCGTTTTGCCGCATAGACGGCTAGGGAATTGTGGTAGTGCGGATTCTGAATAATTCTTGACCGCATCTTATTGAATACGACTAAGAGTCGTCACTCCCGAATATACTCGTTAAGACCTCAATCAGGCCTACAAATGCGAGGTTGATGGCTATAGAGACTAGGGAGGAATAGTTTTGGGCTGATACCGACATTAAGCAGAGACAATTTCAAATTCAGGGTACTAGGTGAGTATCGGCCTACTTTAGTGTGGCGTTTGTCAGATAACTTCTAGCATGCATAGATTGTGGTGACTCTGCGGAAGGTATCACAACTGGAAGCCGTGTCTGGTTGGCACCGTGTGAGTAGCCTATGGTTGTGGTCAGGTATTATAGCCCTAAGGATACTGGAGATATTTGTAGATGTTTTCCGTGTTATGAACGGAAGATCCAGAAGATGGACAGAATAATCGAGAAACTGTCAGGACGAACCTTGTCGAAACGCAGTATGATGCAAGGGGGCTTAGTTATCTAGAAAGTATCGATTTGGTACCCGAAGACGCGTCTTAGCTATACTACGAGGCGTGTCCCCTACTAAAGAAGAGAGAGCGTTTGCGGCTTGGTTTTATGGTTCCCTGGACAGATGTCACATAGGTTTCCCTGACCCGTAACGCAGCCACATCTCACGCGCCTCTATGATCGACCGGTTCTTATTATGACTTCGTATCCACGTTTAGTCGCTGCACTTTATCCATAGCATCAAATAATTTTCCTTCCAGGACCGAATTCCGCAGATACTTTGCCAGGCGACTCTTCATAATCAATGACACACTCAGCTGAGGCCATATCTTACTAACAGGACCAGATACAGGACTAAGCACTACCTTAAATAGGGCGAGACAAACTGCGGTATGAGATCTCATAGTTGCTATACACATGGTCCTCGTCTTGGTTAAGGGAGCGAAGGAGACGATTTGTGAGACCATGCTTGCGGGAGTCTTAAGATGAGCTACACGATCCAGTAGATCCAATGGCAGTTCAAGAACATGAGAATGCGTTGTAAGCAAAGGCCAATCGATCTACACGAGGACCGCATAATCGAACCAGCGTAGGAACCGACCACTGGAGAGAAGATAAGTATAACCGCTGTTTACCCAGACAGACACAGGCATCTGTAGATAATTAGGACGTCTCTGTACTATACAGGGAGAGTTAATGCGCACCAGGGTTTGTGAACAAGTCAAGCAGGTCCTGAGCGTGCTCGTTCGAAATGCCACACAGCTATGAGCGCATCGGAGCATGGGATCTAAGGAGATCTCACTGCTAGCGGGATGTCTTGACGACTAGCCACCGGTAATTTCAAGAATATAGATGTCTTCGCGGAGGTGAGCCATTTTTATTTCTAGGGTCAGAGGACGAAACTAGTACTTATCATCAATCCATAGTGCAGCTACAATGTAGGGATCAGCTTTAAAGTATGAGTTTACTCTATGTCTCGCTCAACTTTTGTAGAAGGAACAACTCTCTCTATCACACTAGTTATTAGCGTTGTATACTTAAGTCTCATCCTGTAGACTTGATCCTTTAGACAATACAACTTCATCAGACTTCAACAACTTTTACACGTCCGACACTATTTAATGCAGCCTTCCAGGTTATGTCGCACTTTGTCACTACAATTTTTTCCTCATCTTCTTCCTGCTCAGTTCGCCATTAATCTGTCTAGCATAGCAAGAGCAGCCGGAGTATTCAGATCTCCCGTAACAGGGTTTGTAGCATACAGATCGCCGAGGGCTTGCTCAGTCATATGTCAATGATAGTCCGTAGCTAGCCGTAAGTCCTGTGATGCAGCACTGTACTATTCATGCTATACCATTAGAGATCGATATGGTATATTCCAATGATGAGAATACTAGAGTCATCGATATTATAGTGACAAACCGCATTATAGGGTTCAAATCGAGTCGGTAGCTCTTGCGAGATCACGACCAAAGTCTTCCATGTTTTTCTCCTGTGCTTGCTCGCTAGAAATGCGTAGATCAGGTCTGGTATTACTGACTCGGGCAAGGTCATCGACAGACTCCAGGGATCGGACATCCTCACCAACAATCTTTTCAATGACTTTCACCTTTGCCTTCGCTCTCTTGTAGCGATTGTCAAAGTCGGCTACAGCGTCTTCGTTGTTGCGCGTGTCGTACGTATCTGGGTCAACCAGATCCCTGAGTGTAGTAATATGTTTCCGAAGTCGGGGATTCTCCATTAAGGAAGGTAATTCTGCATTGGCAGCATGCTGTTAAAGCGAAGTGTCAGACGTAGAAAGCCCTGACTGTTTCGGGACCTTCTTAGGCCTCACCACATTGTTTTCACCTGAGTGTTCTTCGCCTATAGTATGCAGTCTTTGCATCCAAACTTTGGACTGACCAGATAGTCGGCCTAGAGCAACGAACTTCTCAAAGCCTTTCTCCAGGCCGAAGACTCTACCTTCGATGCGCCCTGCGCGTGAGCCATCGGCAGCGCCAGCATCGTAGCCCTCTTGGTAAAAAGAGTCTTCTAGGCTGTGAAGATCTTCGAATAAGTCAGCACTGTCCATGGCCTTATGCAAACTTCCAGAGCGACAGTGCGGTGATGTGCAAGCGTTAATTATAAAACGACCCCCCCAAGTTCAAGCTTAGCTTGGCGTCACGTGCGCATGCGCTTCCTTGGCTGATCCAGTCGCGTCGTTCTAACCCCACGCGTCGAGTACGGAACCGGACACAGGTACAGACTACCTCACAACGTTGAGCGCTGACACTGCAATGAATGTGGGTTAAGCCGTGCTCTCGGAATCATGCCTTCGTCAGTGTCTCCGATTCATTGCTTCAACCACATGCTGACACACATTCTAGCAATGGCGACCAGAAGGCCCTGGCCGCATCTATCGCGAACCCGTTTGATGATGAACCTCTTCGTGTACAGGATTCGACTGCGCACGACATAGCTACACTCCAAGCGAGATTAAACAAGCAGCTTGGTCCAGAGTTTATATCTACAAGAGCGGGTCCAGGAGGCGGGAAGGTGGCATATATAACGGCAGAGAAGGTCATCAATCTTGCAAACGACGTCTTTGGTTTCAATGGTTGGAGTAGCAGCATACAGCAAGTCCAAATTGACTTCGTGGACGAGAACACTAGCAATGGAAAGATCAGCCTGGGCTTGAGTGTCACGGTGCGGGTAACTCTGAAGGACGGCACATATCACGAAGATATAGGGTACGGCAGCATTGAAAATGCACGAGGCAAGGCAGCAGCATTTGAGAAGGCTAAGAAAGAGGCTGCCACAGATGCAATGAAAAGGGCTTTGCGTACATTTGGCAATCTGCTTGGTAATTGTCTTTATGACAAAGATTATCTTGCCAAGGTCGGGAAGCTGAAAGTCGCGCCTGCGAAATGGGACGTCGACAAACTTCACAGGCATCCAGACTATCGGCCAAAGGATGAGGCTGTCCCTACACCCTCGAATTTCAAACAAGAAGCTCTAGTGAGAACGCGAACGAATCAATCGACAGGCTCCATGGACTTTGAAGATGAGCTTGGGGGCAGTCTTTTCGACGAAGTGGAGGTCAGTGAGGTACATGGAGACGAAGTCTCGATGCAGACAGTCTCGGATGGGGAGAACCTCGCGAACATGTCAAGTACGTCCAAGCAGGCTTCTAGATCCATGGCGCCTCCCCAAAGAAATCATATGTCACGCATGCAATCCATGCCTGCGTTGCAGACTGCCCAACCTGTACAAGGTCAGACTCATGCTCAGGAAGATCCCTTTGCGGAACAGAAACATCAAGCTAGGATGGCAGCAATGGCCCGGAGGGCGGCGTTCCAGCTGTCGACAGATCATGGCGTTGTAGTGCGCCCTCCACAGCAAGCGACATATCATCAAAACCCAGCCCAGAATACAGCAGCAACCCCAACAATTGTGTCAAAACAAGGTCAGGCTGAGTCCAAGGACAACTCATCATCCGCGGGAAATCACAACGCAGGTGCTAACCCTGGTCCTGTTCAAAATACTCCAGAACAGCAACCTCCTCCGGCTGCTAACGTAAATGCCGGCTTGCCAGTGTTTGTATCATCACGAGCTGCAGCAATGCTGCAGCAACCCACGGCAGAGTCCCCGAAAACTTTACCAGTCTTCAATCCCCACGCCGAATCCCCATCTCTCCGTCGCACAAGTGGCATTGACCACAGGCGCTCTGGTCCTGTCCCAAGAGAAGCAGTAAATATTCAACCGACGGTGGTGAATCGTAATGGACAATTGTCAAACGGAACCTCAGCTCTGCCTATGCTGCAGCCGGGCCCTCAAAATCCAACAGCACGTGCAAATTTCGTCGACCCCAGAGCAGACACAAATCGAAGAATTGGTATGCCTGGCGGCGCACAAAGTCCATTGGCGAATCGAGGCTCATACAAGCCGCCCGGGCCTGCGACTGGAATCAAAAGGCCTCCCCTTGTGGACGTCAGCAATGTAACAGATGCTGCAGGCTCTATCGGTGATCCAATGGAATCGAAGAAGGCCAGGGTTGGAGGAGCGTAACGACAGGAGGAGCAACAACCCAACACGTTGCATGGCGCGAAGGTGTTATTGGCGCTTACGGATCAATAGCGATATCTATAAATCAACACTTCGATCTTTTGACATGACTTAACGTTGCGCAAATGCAATTCAAGCACGCTATAACTAAATATGAAGCTGACATGTCTGTAAAAACGAATAAACCCGTATTGGCCAGCAAAAGGAAGCTTCTTTTAACACAACGTTCTTCAGATAACCCTTTCGGGAAGTTCGCATCAAAGGCCACAATGCCGCTTTGGGATCAAGGCAGCCTCAGTGCTTGACTCTATTAGGTTCTTCATCATTGAACGCGTGCACACCTCTCACGATCTCATCAGACTTGATAAGCTTCGCCCCAACATACGTCCATCTAGCCATCATTGCATCATCAGAGTCCTACTCGCACGACCGAGCAAAGGCATGCGCACAACGCACCCTCCAGACCCAAAAAAAAGTGAGCTCCTCGCCTCATGAATAAGCCCCATCAAGATAACCCCACCACGTTTCCGCAGCGAGGACAATCGCATAACTATCAAACTCGACGAAGATTCTCCCACGCTCACCTTATTCCCAAGCACCGACTCCCATGTTTCACAGCCCTCCTCCTAGTGCTCAGCTCAGCCCGCTACCAACCCAGCAACACAACGGACTCACAAAAGATCGTTGTCCAGAATGTTGTGCACAAGGAGATGGGGTGAGATGGGTTGAGAACGTGGAGTGCGAACGGGTGGTGTGAAGGTGGTAGATTTGGGCAGAGAACGGGGACCGCGAAAGTGCGTCTATGGCGGCGCGGCGACGCGTTTGCACGCAATATGAATTGCATGCTGTCCGGGGACTTTTCCCAAAGCTAAGTTTGTATGCGAAGACAGCAAGCTGTGCTTCTGTGTGTGTGCTTCGATTGCGATTTTTTGAACGAGGAGCTGCTGAAAGAAAAATTGCCAGGCAGCTAAGAACCTTTATAACTAGAGGCACTGTGCGGCCGGGAACTCGTCGGCCTGTAAGCCGCGCACGGACATCTGCTGGACACCCTCAGGCAGCATTTTCTCGAGCTGCCTTAGGTAGAGCCTATGTAGTGCGTCTCATGCATTTGTTTGCTTGAAAGACGAATACAAAAGTTGCACTTTCACATTGCGTATCGCAACGCCGTCGCCAATATCCTTCGCCCACGTTCAAACGCTCTTCTCCCTACCTCTCCACTCCCGCCCTCCTCGAATCCGCCCGACATGTCGCTTTTTGGCCAAACGGCATCCGCTGCTACAGCTGCAAACCCGGCACAAGGTGATATCAAATCCGATGTACCAGTTACGAATCCGCCAGAAGACAGTATATCTGCACTTGCATGGTCAAGTGCGGGAGACTATCTGTCCGCTAGCTCGTGGGACAAGAAGACGTATGTTTATCAGGTGCAGGCTGGTGTGAGCTCAGGTTTGACGACGATTACGCATGAAAAGCCAGCGCTGGATACGTGTTGGTCGAGTGTAAGGAAGACTTATTACCCTGGGCTGAGCTTTGGACTGACAGTTGGGCAGGATGGTACTAAAGTCTTTTCTGCCGGCGCAGACAAAGCCGTGTTCATGGTGGACATGAATAACATGGGCCAAGGGCAGAAACAGGTCGCAGCCCATGATGACACAATAAGCTGTGTGCGTATTCTGGTAGTCAATGGCAAAGATATGCTAGTTACAGGCTCATGGGACAAAACGATCCGGTACTGGGATCTCACATCTTCGACCCCTCAGGCCCAAGTCACAGTTGCAGAACGGGTCTACACGATGGACACAAAAAATAATCTACTTGTAGTTGGTACTGCAGATCGCTGGATTGAGGTTTTTGACGTCAGCAGCAACCCATCAGTTCCCGTCAAAAAGCTCCAGAGTCCGCTGAAATGGCAGACACGGGTTGTGTCGTGCTTCAATGATGCCTCGGGTTATGCAGTCGGAAGTATCGAAGGCCGATGTGCGATACAATATGTTAAGGATAGTGACAGCGGGTATGTCTCTCCACCAAAGAACCCTGCTTACGACGACATGTGCTAATCTGTACTACACACAGCTCGAACTTCTCCTTCAAGTGCCACCGGCAGAACGATACAAACAATCGAGACGTTGCCAAGGTGTATTCTGTCAACTGCATCTCATTTCACCCTGTACACGGCACATTCAGCACTGCGGGTGCCGATGGGACTTTCCATTTTTGGGACAAAGATGCCAAGCATCGTTTGAAGGGCTATCCAGAAGTCGGTGGTACAATCAGCGCGACAGCGTTCAACCGGAATGGAGAGATCTTCGCGTATGCAGTCAGTTATGACTGGAGTCAAGGGTTTCAAGGAAACAATCCGAACTACCCGAACAAGATCATGCTGCATCCTGTCGGTGCGGATGAGTGCAAACCACGACCCGGGAGCAAGAAGCGATAGTAAAGGATATCTTGTGGCTGAGACATCAAAAAAATCGAACCAGTTGACTAATATCGATCCAATGAATGGCATGGCGTTATGGGTGTATAGTATATATAGGATGTTTCGCGAGCATTTCGAAATGTTCTGGCGGATTTGTTGCACGTAGAGCATGGAAAATGGTTCGTACTTAGGACTGCAGGATATCCGACTTATTCGTATATCGCAATGATCACATCCTATGAGGCAATATCCGCCTTGGATTTCAGCAAATCAGATTCCTGCTTATTATTCAACATCACATTCTTATACCTAGTATCGATGCAGCCCCAGTACATCAAGGAGTAATACAAGATAAGACAAGGCTGCTCTGCCCCCAAAAAATTCACTACCCGGTAGAGATGCGCCCAGATTGCCCTTGATAAGCATAGCTCCGTCGTTGCGGATTCTTCCTCTGACACACCTCTTCACTCCTGCAGAGTCATCAGTTGGTCAAATAGTACTGGGCCAAGCTGATGATTAATCCTTTGCGGTGACTTGTGGTTTCTTAAACGTCTTATAGTATGCTGAACTCAAACGACTTTAGGAAGGTCAACTGAGTACTATTGCCTCAAGTCCTGCTGGAATAAAAAGTGCGAGGTATCTAATTCTATTTACACGTAGCAAAATCATATATTGATAAGCAGCGACAAGCAGCGTGATTGCCAAATATAATTCTGTCTTCGGAATCCGCCTCTGACTTCCATTTCCTTCGTTTGAGCACCCTCTAGTCAAATCTTACTGCTTGGTTAATGAGAAGCCATACTCCTGTCTTTTCACAATGTCGAATCGTTGAGAGTCACCGATGCCCTATCCCAATAGCATCGGAATGAGGTTTTCTACCTGCTACATGGCGATACTCGAGCAGCGTTTACACAATATACAAACTCCTTTGTTCGAAGCCTTAACCGTAGTCAGAGTGATTAACTGTGAGACATTGCACGCAGTCCCCAACATCTTCGAAATCATCACCAACAGACTCCGTCTATACAGATCTTATTGTCTTAATCCAGTCTCATACTTTGTGAACTTAACATTGAGTTGAATATCTAGAGGCACCTGGTTTGCGTAAGGAAGTGAAGAGGCATATGAAGATTCATCACTGTCTCCACGAGATAGTATCTACATCCTCCGGAGTTGAGCCATCCACGCAAAATTTAGACGTCTACAATACCTGCATATCTAAAATCTCCCTTTCCTTCCCAAATACTACCCGGACATGTCTTCCCTCTCCATTCTCTTTTCCCACAAACAAGCCTTTCCTCAGACGCCCCAGATACATTTCGTAACTTGGCATATACCCCTGAATGAACTCCTCAACCTGCTCATCACCCATCCCAGTCCCTTTCGTCTGGATCAATGTATGTTCCTGCTGCGATCTCCACATATACACATTCTCTAGTTTCTCTGTATCCAGATGAATGAAACAATCAAACGAGTCTGGTCCCATAAATGAACGACAATACCTCGTGAGATTCCGGTTCAGCTCCAGCAGATGCTCGATGTGATGCATTGGCAGTGTATTGGTCAGTGACACAGGGCTCTCTGATGCCTCTTTCAGTTTCATGCTGAGATCATCCTCTGAAATCGGCTGAAAGCCCACGCACCACCCCTCGAACACCACGACCTGCACTGCAGACTCAACCACAGGCCACTGCTCCTCTGGCACACGATCGCCTTCACCATCAAACCTGCTTTTATCAAACATGGGGATCCGCACAGGCTCGGTTCCCTTCCTTCCTCCCTTCATCGCATCAAAGAAGCGGCTCGCTAGTTGCTCATCATGGGTTCCTGGCTGGCCTCTCGTGCGAAACAGTCTGTTCTCTGGATTCTCATCCCGTAATCTGATGAGTTGAGCGTGTGTGAGGTAGAAGTCATCGAGTGAGACGGTGATTGCATTGAGATTATGTTCTGTTGATAACAAGGCGACGATCGCGTGAGCCCATGTTGATTTGCCGGAGCCCTGTAAACCGGAAACGCCGATAAAGACTGGTTGGGAGGGGTCAGATGCTACTTTATGCTGAATCTGTGGAAGAAGAAGGTTGAGAACTTTGCAGGCGCTGACTTGGACGACCATTGTGTGGAAATGCTGTTTGTCGTTGTGGAATGATCATGAGGTTTCAGGTCGAATCACGGATGCAGACATCGTGTTGGTGTGGGGTATCGGATTGAATAGTAGCAAATGGGTACCTAGATTTTGAAGTTCAAACATCAACCACTGTGATGCGTAGAGTCATCAGCTTGAAGGTCGTTGGCTCGTCTTAGATATCATCTCCCACAATTCTCATCCGGATCGCTCCCGGAGTTGATGGACTTGACGCTTGAGGCGTTGGGTGTTCCTAAGATACCGGCATTGGGAGACTCCACGAGCTCACACAGTTTAGTTCCGACTATGAACAGCATCTCTCCGTCTCACCGTATTGTCTGTCATACACCAAACTAGTCTTCTGCAGAAGCCAGCTCACAGTCTCGAAAAACTACCTATGCAGCACATATGCGCGCGCATGTCTCAACCTCTAGTTTATCATGTTCGAGCTTCGTCAGTGGGGCATTAACCAAAACAATACCCCACCAAATATACCATGTGTTATATGGTCTTCTTGATCCACACCTCATATATAACTCCTCCGAACATCTCGATCATACCATCGTAGAACAGTGGCAATGTCCCCTGCGACTCCCTCCCGCAAGCATTCCATCGCTTGTATACCTGCAGACGGCATTGGGCCCGAAGTCATTAGTGCAGGCGTCGCCGTCCTGAAAGAACTTGCTGCCCTGGACGGCACATTTGAGCTCATATTCACAAACTACGACTGGAGCTCTGCGACATATAAGAAGAGTGGCAAATATATACCCGATGGCGGCCTTGAGAGTCTCAAGAAGCATGATGCGATTCTATTCGGCGCCGTGGGCGCCCCAGGTACGTTCCGCCCAATTTTCTTTCCTATTTCACACTGCGCTTTCTTCTCGGGACTACAAAATGAGTAGGACGTGTGCGAGTATTGGCCAACACACATAGATGTCCCCGATCATATAAGCCTCTGGGGTCTGCGCCTCGCAATCTGCCAACCACTCCAACAGTACGCGAATGTGCGACCAACGAAGATCTTCCGTGGCACACAGTCTCCACTACGTGCCACGTCCGCCGGTGATCTTGACTGGGTGATTATACGCGAGAACAGCGAGGGTGAATACGCGGGCCAAGGAGGGCGGTCACACGTCGGGCAGCCGTGGGAGACTGCAACTGAAGTAAGCATCTTCACTCGACATGCTGTAACGAGATTACTGGAGTTTGCTTTTGAAATGGCGCGGAAGAGGCCAAAGAAGCATATAATTGTTGTGACGAAGAGTAATGCGCAGCGCAATGGTATGGTCATGTGGGATGAAATCGCGAGTAGTGTGGCAAAGAGATTTCCGGATGTGACAGTGGAAAAGATGTTAGTAGACGCAATGACGTGTAGGATGGTGCTACAGCCGAGCAGTATCGACACTATTGTCGCGACGAATCTGCATGCTGACATCCTGTCCGACCTTGCGGCTGCATTAGCTGGAAGTATCGGTATTGCACCAACGAGTAATTTGGACCCGACAAGGCAGAACCCGAGTATGTTCGAGCCGATCCATGGGAGTGCGTTTGATATCACTGGTAAAGGGATCGCAAATCCGGTGGGTACATTCTGGACGGCGGCAGAGCTGTTGAAATGGCTGGGTGAGGAAGAGGCGGCGGCCAACATGATGGAGTGTGTGGAGAACGTGTGTGAGGCTGGAATTCTGACGAGAGATCTGGGTGGCAAGGCAGAAACGAAAGAAGTTACGGAGGCGGTAATTGCGGAGTTGAGAAGATCATATCTTCTTGCTAAGAAGGATTGAATCCCTTTGAAGTTGCCGGTGTTGTAGACTGTTCATAAGTCCACTGCATTGGATATGCTTTTCACTTGGCCTGATATCTTGACCTCACTGGCGGAAAACCAAGGTAGCTATCAAGTACATTCGCAGCTATAAGGTTTCTTTTGAACAATCAGGGATATCATCAATGGACTTGACTTGGATCTCGTTTCTGCCAGTTGACTTTCTTTGAAGCGCTAAGCTTGTTGGGTAACTAGAGCACGGTCAGCGAAATCAATTGACCGTTATAGGACTTATTTGCACCCCCATTAGGCTCAGACCTGCGCCCGTAGAATGGGTCGACGCGCATATGATCTTCCCAGAACGACTTCCGGTTATAGTTCCAAGAATATTGCATTGGGATTTCAAGCTTGGCGACTGTCTGGAAACGGTATTTGTCTTGATGCCATGGGATTCTGACACATTTCCCAAGCTGTTCGTCCAGATTTCTAAGTAGCTGACTGAAATAGGTATTCGACTTGGTGAACACCATGGCATCCATTTAGCCACATGTCCAAGGTGTCCTCTGGGCCATCAGCTGTCACAATCTCCTTTCCAGGGTCTTTTGGGTCGCAGTATTTGGTACAAGCCTATACTTGCAAACATAGTCACCAGATCGATAGGCGGGTCGGGAGCGTACAGGGGAGTTTCGAGTTGCGTATTATGGAGCTAGTCAAGTCCTGGCTGTAGATCGGTATCCTGGCGCTTTTCCAGTGCCTTGTAGTACTCCTCCTTGCTATCGTATCTCGAACGAAGTTCGAAAATCTCGTTTGTGGTTTTCGCATCGGCAACCTCATGCACAGGAGCTGAATTAAACTCGATGTCTTAAGTCGGAATACTTTTACTTGCGTCGAAGAAGTCACCTTTTACGTTGAACACCAATATAGCAAGTTCTCTGGACTTCAGAATACGATCGTGCGGGCCTGGATCGCCCGATTCAGTACTATGACGAAGTGCAGCAGGATACTCTGTTTGCTTGTGGAACAGCTCGGTCTGGCTCAGGTGTGCTGGCAGGTCGTGCTCAACCTCGAAAACACCCCCGAGGAGTCCTTAGTGCGAGCGTGTGTACCTAGGCTAGATTAAAGGTCTGATGAAGGACTTATATAAATTGATGAAGTTACCTCCAAACGCATGACAACATTTATTCTATTGCCCCTATGGCATCTGATTGATCTTTTCGGCAACGGCTTGAACCTGCTCTTCATCTGCTGGTATCTTGGTAACGCCATTGGCGTTCCAGTGGATGTACCTCCTGCTTCGTAAATTTGGCATACTGAGTATTTAGTTTGGAGAATCCTTGCCCGCCATAAGATGACTGAGGCAATGGAGCTATCATAGCTCTTAACAATGTGGACGACTCGGGGCCGTTGACTTATTAAGCCCACTGATGTCAGTACTCAGACGAAGACCAGCAAGACTAGTCTTGCAGACTACCACTCACCTGCAGATGGCTTTTCACTAATCTACGATTGGCTCTAATGGCAAATGTAAATGTTGATACATTTCATCTCAGGGAACACGCATCTTTCTGTAGCAGACGGCGACCGGTCTTGCGTGATCTTTAGGCCATCGCTAAAAGTCTCACTAGATAGATGTCTTTCTCGTTGCGCGAAGGACAGATTGAACTTTGCACACTCCATAAATTTAGCTCAGCACTGCATCCGTGTATAATTCCGATACGATTGACGCGCACCAACGTCTAGACGTTGTAGAAGTCGCTCGGCGCTAGTGATCCATGGCCTTTACGAAGCCACCTGGTGGAACGTCCGCACCGAACATCTGTTACAACACACCACCAACATGGCCCTGCACGTTTAGACCATCCCCCGAACCATGCCCTGCCATTCATGCTACATCTAACTACAGCATCTTTCTCCTACAATGGCGACAGCTAACACTTCAGAACCAGTACAAAACTCTATAGGTCAGAATTCGTTTCGAAACGCAGCTCAAGGCTGACAACGCCATGTCCACCTCAACTAACATGATACCAGCTTCAATCTCGAAGGTGAAGAAGAATAAGAAAAAGAAAAAGGCTCCTGCAGCCAGAGTAGAACCCGAGTCTCAAAGCTCAGAAGTCAATGGAGCGCCAGACCATGTTGATGTGGATGACGTGGAGGATGGAGAAGAAGAGCCTGAGACACCCGTGGTAAGGCTACCTGCGCGGCTTGAAAGAGCTACATGAGCTGACCAGACCGTCGACTCAATCACATCGAATAGAGACAGAAGACAAGGAATTGGTCGTCGCGGAACCTGCACTATCCAAAGACACTACGACAAATGGACACACAAGCCGACAAGCCTTCGTCCGGTCCCGGTCCAGCCCCGAGGATCTATCTGACGATACGTCTGAGCGCTTGGATGCTCTAGCCAAAGAGCGCGACAACCTTCGACTCGAGGTTACAGAATTGCGGAAGTCCTTAGAATCGATACAGTCGAAGCATGAGGAGGAAACCTCCGGGTTGAAAGAGGAATTGGAGGAGACACAAAGTGGCAAAGAGCATGCCGAGACGCAATACCGCAATTTGCTTGGAAAGGTCAACACAATTAGGTCACAGCTTGGTGATCGCCTAAAGCAAGATGCTGTATATATTCAGAGTTCCTATGCATAGCTCGATCATACTAATGAAGCAACAGGAGGAGCTCGGTATTAAACAAACGCGGATAGAAGAGCTTGAGGAACAGAATCGCGACATGAAGGAGATTAACGAATCCTTAGAGGAGGACGTTCAACAGTTGCGCAAATCCAACGAACAGCAAGCTTCAGAGATCTCAAGCTTGAGGAGTCGTTCGAGCGTGTCACAACAGAACTGGGTGCAAGAGCGAGACGAGTTGATACAGAGGGAGGCGTACGCCAGGGAGGAGTTCGAAAACGCACGTCAAGCGATGCAGGATTGGGAAGTGCTAGCCATGGAAGAGCGGTCCTTGCGAGAAAATCTTAGTGAGAAGATTTCCGACCTTGAGGAGCAGCTTGTCAGCATGCAAGACGCCTACCAAAGCGTAACGGCAGATCGGGACGCAAAGGTGTCAACCTTGGATACTCTGCAGAGGCGCGTACAGGAGGAGCACGACGGTAAGATTGCACACCTTAGATACTGTAACACCACTCATGCCTGGCATAGCACGGAAGAAAGAGCTTAGAGAGCTCGTTGAAAGATCAGAGACTCAACTTGAGGAATTGCGCAAGAAGTTCCAATCTGCCGAGACAACGGCAGCGGAAGCCACCAGCAAGTTCGAGACTGCCCAGAAAGAGCTGGAGCGGACATCCGAATTCGAAGCACAAGTGAAGGAGAAGAATCTTTTGATTGGCAAGCTCCGACACGAAGCAGTGATTCTTAATGATCATCTCAGGAAGGCTCTACGTTTGCTACGGAAAGGCAAACCTGAAGATAATATAGATCGGTCTGCTGTACAAACATTCGCGATTGAGTCGCGCTAATTTTTTTAGGAACATCGTTACAAATCATTTCCTCCACTTCCTTGCCCTCGACAGATCCGACCCAAAGAAGTTCCAAATCCTCCAGCTTATCGCTGCTCTTCTCAACTGGAGCGATGATCAACGCGAGCAGGCGGGTTTATCACGACCAGGCGGCTCTAATGTAAACCTTCGCATTCCCGTATCACCTTTCCGTCGCACACCCAGCACGCCAAGTCTTGGTACTGATACGATGCTCACGACAGAGAGCAGCTCCGCCAAAGAAAGCTTAGCGGAACTATGGAGCAACTTTTTGGAACAGGAGGCAGCGGCAGGTCAAGCTGAGGTCAAGGGAAGTCCATTGATGAGCCGTCGAGAAAGTGCTGCAAGCCCTGGGAACGATTCAGACCTTCAGAAGGGAAAGGAGCGAGCAGTCAGTCATTCAGGACTAGGCATATCGTAGCATGCGTTTCGGTTCTTTGCATGGTAACCCATTTAGCACTGTGGAAATTTCGTGTTCGATTCATGATTACCAGCTTGTACTATACTAGACCATACACAGTACATAATTGTACATCTGACACAGATCTGCTCGCGTTGATTTGCCAAGATCCATCAATTCGTAGGGTTTGAGTTTCCCCTTCCTCGTTGCCGGACCCTGCATCACCAGGGCACGTTCCCCACACTCAACCTTTGCTGCTGCAGGCAGACGTTCTAACAAGCCCACCCTTCTCAAATGCCATTGTGCTCGCACATCCGACCCCTTTTGTCCCTTATACATCCCAGAGCATTCGTAAGAGTCCCTCGGTACACATATATCTTACCTCGTCTTTACACAATGGCGCCCAGCCCTAACACCCAAGCCATCGAGAAAAACCGACCCATCGTAATCAGCGGCCCCAGCGGCGCCGGTAAAAGCACAATCCTCAAGAAACTCTTCACCGAATTTCCCGATAAATTCGGCTTCAGCGTGAGTCGTACGTGTAATTCCTGCATACGTCGCCCACCAGCATCCCGCAATCCAGCATATATTGACAAACCTAACCCCAAGACACGACACGTTCCCCACGCCCCGGCGAACTTGACGGCCGTGAATACCACTTTACAAGCCCGGAAACATTCTTGCAGATGGTCTCCGACGATGCTTTCATCGAGCATGCGCAATTCGGCGGGAACCGGTATGGCACCAGTATAGCGGCCGTCGAAAGTATTGCATCTACCGGGCGCATCTGCATACTAGACATTGAGCTCGAGGGCGTGAAGCAAGTTGCGAGCCACAAGACGTTTCCGCGGCCTTTCTTTTTGTTCTTGGCCCCACCGAGTCTGGATGTTTTAGAGGAGAGGTTGAGGGCGAGAGCGACGGATAATGAAGACGCGATTCAGAAGAGACTGGCGCAGGCAAAAGTCGAGATGGACTTCGCGGAGAGAGGGGAAATACATGATCAGGTCGTAGTGAATGAGGATTTGGAGAAGGCGTATAATGAGGTCAGGAGGTTTGTGGAGGAACGGGTAGGAGTGTAGGCCTGTGCATGATTGAATAATGTATGATACCACAGTCGTTTAGACGTTCAAATAAACATTGCACACAAAACGTGAGATATCAAAGGCTTAAGGCGGGATATAATGCGCTCTCATATTATCATAGCTCTACTCCAATAAGGGTACTAAGAAATTATAGGTAGTAAAGAGAAGCTGCCCAGCGCTAATTTTAATCCGACGCATCAGATCTGTAGGTAATAAAATAATCTTCGAAGTGAGTAGGCTTGTCCGTCCTGACTGAAGTACACCCTGGCTCCCAACTCTCCTGTTCATATTGGAGAAGCTGCATATGTGGACACCAAACCCGTCCTCTTGTTGCTAAAGATCCATAGAGTCACAATCCCACCATATCAGCCTCTACCGACAACTGCTTCCTCAATCGTCCGTCTTAATATCCGTTCATGGTCATCCTCTGGCTATTCCTGCTGAGCTCACGGTCAGCAGCAGGAGAGATAGGCCTGCTCCCATGTCCAGCAGCAGAGCTCTCCTTAAGCGCGAGAAGCTGTTTAGCACGGAAGGACTCGTAGTGGATCTGCGAGGTTGTTTCGATAAGGTCTTGAAGGTGGGTGCGCGTAAGGAAGTTTCGTAGATAGACGAATTCGCAGTGGTTTTCATCCTCAACTATGCTATGGTTAGCCCTCGGTAGTAGATATATAGTTGGTAGTAGATTACCATTGATAACGCCCCATCGGTTTTGACGGCCGCGCACCTGCTTGCCGTTGACGACAATGGTCTTCTCAGATCCAACAACGGCAAAAGGGATGATACTCTGAATATCTGTCAGATACTGATAGTCTCTGGACATGTCGACATATAACTGACCTTGATTTGCGCGTTCAGAGCAACCTCTTCTTGGTCAAGCTCATCGTTGTCGTATGGGTACATCCGAAGGTTGTGGAAAGCAAACTCCTCCTTTATCCTTTCCTTGAAGGCAGCGCGCTCTTCCAATGTTAAAGTATCGCTCTTGGCGATAACTGGAACCACGTTGACAAACTCTGACAGCTTCTTCAAGACGACAATGTCGATGGGCTTGAGAGCATGTCCTGATGGCTGGATGAAGAACAAGCAGCAATGAATGCGGGTATCCTGGAGATATCGCTCACGCTGAGCGGTCAATTCCTTGCGCAGGTATGCGCTGTGTTGATCTTTGATGTACTTGACGATCGGGTCCCAGCAGCGGTCGTTATTGATGAGGTCGCCATAACCCGGGGTATCGACAATGTTCAGTCTCAGACGTACACCGTTCTCTTCAATGATATGAGAAACAGACTGAATTTCGGTGGTGCTACGAATGGGCTCGTCGGGCACGAGACGGCCCTTGCTGTCCATCAAGTGCGAAGCGAAGATGGTGTTGATTAGGGTGGATTTGCCGAGACCAGTTTGACCTTATATGACCATTAATTCCATGTTGATAGAACACAAATATGAGATTCCATACCAACGCAGATGACATTGAACTGGAAACCGCGCTTCAAGAGCTTCTTCTCAATCTGCTGCGTGATGCTATCGAAACCGACATGGCTCTTTGGGTAGACTGACGGTTGCTGTTGGTTCATGAGGGTGGCCATATTGAGATATCTGCCTTTGCAGTCGACGATATAGTGACGATCGGAAAGGTAGACAGAAAAAGAGGCGGTATGGACGGTCGCACAATTGATGTTGTGGTGAGGAGAACAATTCAGGGTCGCTGGCCAAAAAGTTGGAGTCGTAGATGGGGAAAGGGGCAGCTGCGACGCGATCCCGGAAGGGGAAAGGTCGCCGCAAAAGCCATAGCTTCACATTTTGGTCTGGCGTGCATGCAAGGACTGCAACTGTTTTCTACTCTACTATCACCAACCTCACTAACCACCCGGCGAGAGTACCTCTTGAGTCCTCTGTTATCATGGCACTTCGCCAATTGTCATCGCCATCGATGCTGGAGAGCCTAAATGCGGCCATTAACGGACCTATGCGTGCTTCCTTTGCACAACCTCTATGGCGACCTTTACCACAAATTCTTCCTCCTATCCGGATACCACTCGCACTCACCGGAATTTTCAGTATACCATCTATACTTGAGGGTATATGGGAGTCTATACTACGTGCGGTTCCCAAAAAGAAGACCTCGTACAGGAAAAAGAGACAGCGACTATTAGCTGGCAAGGCATTGAAGGATATCACTGAGCTGAATCGGTGCTCAGCTTGCGGTAGGGTGAAGCGAGCACATATCCTTTGCGCATTCTGCGTTCAATGTAAGTGGGCCTAGAATAAGACTTGGTCTAGACTTACCTTAACGCCAGCAATCATATCGAGTCGCGCGAGAAACCTCACAAAAAATATTTGGAGCCTTAAGCCTCTATCTTCAAAGCACAAGTGGGATCAGAAACCGAAAAAATTGAATATGGATGTAGATGTAGATGTCCAGTCAGTCGTCTCGACAAATGCGAAGGAAGTGAATGTCCGACCAGCTTCCACGACAATGAAGGTAGCCCGAGCCCAAGCTCGATCAGCTTCATCTTCTACTAAAGCCAAGGCCAAATGATTATATGTGACCCATGGATGTAGAATGTAAATACAAAGCATTGCGGGAGTTTTACGGATATCGGTACGGAAGGACATTCCCTTCATGGGACGCAAGACACAAGTGCCCTCACCGATGTAGAAATTGTACAATTATAACAATATCCTAGCTTGGCCCGTGTTTGAATGATTGCAGCTCGCTTTCGCTCGTGCATCGTGCGTCATGATATCCATGAATCAAGACTTCATCCCGCAATACTGACAACCCCTCCACCACACCTAAACTTTCTCCGCTGTACGCGAACCTACCCAACCTTCTACCCAGTGTCACAAACGTGGTGAAGTGCTGCAGTTGCTCGGCATGGTATGCACTGACTATATGAGACCATGATATTTCACTGATCTCTCTTTCAGTCGAAACAGTACCTCACCCTCCGAACGATTGAAGACGGTGCGCGACGCCCTGTTTTCACCCTCGCAACAGCACCAACGCGAGACCTCGAACTGACGATTCTCTTGCAGCTCACGCTACAGACATCTTTGCGATTGCACCGACTAAAACCCATCTCATCACGGCAAGCGGTGGTTCCAGCTTACGCGTTTATGACACCCAATCGCCCGATATCCCACTCGTACAAGAGCTCAAGGGAGCACACAAGCTAGGATGTCACCACCTGGCAACCAGTAAGAATGGCAAGAAAGCGGCGAGTGCTGGATTTGAGGGTAAAGTCAAGGTATGGGTTGCTGGCGAAGGGAGCGAGTGGGTAGAGGCTGGCGAGATCGTAGGTTTGTCTCTCGAGCTTCGTGCGCTGCTTGCTTGAAGGAGATTCATCGGATATAGCACTATTATCTTATGCCTTGGTCTCTTATGGAGGCAACAAATACTGATGCACGCGGTAGATTCGAATAAGGCGGGCGAAATATGGGCAGTTGCGCTCAGCGAAGACGGCAGTTATCTGGCCAGTACAACGTACGATGGGCGTATCAATGTGTGGGATCTCAAGACAGAAGGTATGCCAAAGATAAGGGAATACGAAACGAAGGGCAGCTTTGGCATGTGCGTAGATCTGGTTCGTCACCTCTGCTACTTGGTCGATCTTTGCAGGTGCTAATGAAATCAGTCTATTGATGGTCGATTCACAGCTTCAGGTCATGAAAATGGAGGTGCATACATTTTCAATAATGACTCTGGGAGAATGCTTCACTCGCTTCCAGGCAAGTAACTCCCTATCAGATCTTGATAACTGTGCTGATGTCCAGCAGGTCTTGTCAAACCTATTCGCTCTGTAGCATTCTCACCTCTAGGTACGCTTCTCGCTGCTGCTGGAGACGCCCGAATTATCGCCCTCTACGATGTAGCCTCTGGTGAGCAAGTCGCTAACCTTTCTGGCCATGGCGCGTGGATCTTCAGTCTGAGTTGGAACGAAACAGGCGAGTATCTCTTGAGTGGGTAAGCATGATCTCAAAGCACCTTATAGGTCACCTTGATATTTACCGTTCTTAGAGCCTCGGACGGTAGATCAAAGGTATGGTCTACAGATACGAGACAATGCGTCGCAACACATTCCGAGAGCGACCAAACCATATGGTCTGTCACCTGGTTGCCGAAAACTGCTAGGAGCGAGATGTTCGTAACAGCCGGAGCAAGTAGGGGGATTTCTCTATACCGCGAAGCTACCGGAGGCTGAGAGTCTACTCCGGCTCGACACAATACCAACCAGGAGATGATCTTGAAGTGGTCGATGTTGCTGGCCATCTAAACAGACAAATCAGGCTTCGTCCGATATGATCTCTGAACACCCGCAGCAACGCCAGCATCAAGAATGCTGAACTTGCGATGTATTACGACCAAGACGAAAAAGTCGCGTGTCTGAAGGACCTTGCATTAAGAACAGAGAGTATATAAGTAAATCAATCATCACAGCTTCACAGAACACACCACGTCCGAAATCCTATCAACATTAACCTAGTACTCCCTACGGGAACATGGGTATGCCATTCTCAGCTTGTAGTACCTAGCTGTCAGACCGCGTTATTCTAGGTTTTCGCGAAAGCGCAACTCACGCATCCACATACACAGCCGAAGCAGCTAACCGATGTTGTAAGGGCCTAGAATACCAATCTTAATCGCCATGCTGATAGAAAATCTCGAAGTTGATGCATAACTGTGCACGGTGACAGACATGTGTTGTGTTGAGTCCACCGCTCCCCAACGTATAGCGCCATATGGAAACTCGAGCGTTTAACGGGGGTATCCAAGTCTATACAGTCATTACCCGACGATAAAGTTACAGACTCAAGTATCGTCAATACCAACCTATCACTCGACGTTCATACTCTGACTCAGCTTGGAGGAGTGATCATTCTCCTAGCCCCGTGTTGCATTCCCTGCACTGTATCCCATAACTGAACACCGTCAACTTTCTTCCTTCTTCCAAGTCTGCATGTCGAGCCTCTTCGTATCTCTTCAACACGATCCCAGACATCGAGCGCATAGCACTAACAGATCGAAAGCACTAAATACCTATGCGAGAACGACTTGTAGCCAACACAGCTAGATGTACAATGGTCAGGCAAAGCTTAGGATTTCTTGGATGCAGAAAAATGCTTGCGAGTCGGAGGAGTGTCGTACGAAGCATCGAGGGGGCGGTGGCGAGGGTTAAGAGGATAATGCTGTTGGTGAGGGTTAAGAGGATAACGCTGTTGGTAGGCGCTCCACCCGCATCCGGGAGATCCCCAATAAGGGATCTTTGAATCTTAGCAATACAACGAGGCGGCTCTACATGGACGAAACGAAGAGACGGTGATCTATATCGGCGATGATTTCATCAATCTTATGAACAGGAGGAGCACAAGACCTGGGGTGCTGCCCTCGTCCAAACACATCGTTAAGATATCAAGTAGTCATGCCTGAGGGATGCTCCGCATATGCCCAAGACGAACTGCACCCACCACCTCCATCCCCAGAGCTTCAGAACTAGGGTGATAGAACAGCTAGACAGATTGAACCCGTGTAATCTTGTGCCTGAGAACCTCTTTTTGCAAATACATGCGATGATGCGTCATTGTTGGCGAACGCGAAAGGTCACAGCCGCACTTCTCGCTAGCCTCTCTGTCTTGTGAGTTCATAGGCACAGATCGCTGTGACATGGAAGAAAGCTAGCCTCCATGCGGTAAAGTACGCCTTAGTCTGATACTTATCTTCTCTACAGCAATATATTGTACCAGTACACTAGGGCAAATACCAAGTCATGATGTTGTCTGAGTATAATGGCGGCGAGTCTGCCTATAAGCCTGATGAGACTGCCGAGCCTAATGAGAGCGAGTCCGGCTGTGTTGATGATCGGCAGTCCTAATGATGAGTTTGACGGGCCTGGTGATAAGTAGTATCCCGAGGCTGACGAGGGCGGTCTAGAGCACGCAAGAGGGTGACAGTCATCGCTGGATACATGACCGGTATACGAACGTGTTGATATGATGTCTCGAAGTGAGAAAAAGGCTGAAAGACACAGATGCTACAGAATGCGTACTATTTTGATTAGTCGATAGCGAATGACAGAAAGGAGAGAGAAGGATCATCTATGTTCAGGTTGTCACCTTTGTGTTTCAAGTGTGAGTTTATCATTGTCCGGTCTTGGACGTATTGCGCCTTTCTAACAATAGATTCTCCCGGTCATAAAGATATATATCCGTCTTGTCTTGGATGTATCGCGAGAAAGTACGCATCAACGACATCTCCCCAGTGACTCACATCTCGGATAAAGCTTATACAGGATAGTAACTGTACATTTGAGTCTGCTAGGCCAGCCATAAAAGACATAAGCACCTGAGAACTCAAGAGTTTCCATGTATTTGACAAACACTGCTGAGTCTATGATTGGTGGCTATACCAGATTCTGCTGAGTTATCTACGTCTATATATTGAGCATATTATCATGGAAGAACCACGAGAATCTCAACTTTCTAGAGGTAAATATGGTCCTAGCTCTAGACGGAACTATCTTAGGCGTGGATATCACACGAAAAGAGCACTGCTTGGCTCCGGTCAAATTGGGTATCTTTCAGGTCGTACCAAGAAGTTACGCATGTGTAACTTTCTAGATCTTTCTTTCCACTGAATGGGGCATATAGGCCACATTCTCTAAGTCATGAGGACCTTCTTCTTTCTAGTACGTACTAGTATTCTTTATTGGCTCAGAACAGCCATATATCCTACAGTCAAGAGTAAATTGAGGGCCATGGATCTCGCAGAACTGCTTCTCCTTCCTGAGACCTACCACTATTCGACGTCCTTCTGTTCGTAGAACGGCCGTAGCACGTAACTGTGTTCACACAACCACCATCAGTCTTATGCAAGAAATCGTCGTACACGCAAAGACACAATGCATAAACCACTTTTGTATTTCTACAGCTCTCCATCTGCATCTGCTGCCAGCACTATTCGGGGGGTTCATAACCCCGACAAGCCATCAAACAAGCACCCACCCCCTCCCGCAAACACCCCCTTCCTCTACCTCCAAACAGCTTCATCCCCCCCTTCTCCCTCCCTCACGCCCGCACCGGATATCTCCCCTCCACCAGCTCCCTCGCCTCCACCTCCCCTTCCTCCAGCCCACCAAGCATCCACATCCTCTCCCTCAACCCCTTGTTCTCCGCCCACGTCTTGCGATGCTCCGTGCACACCTCCCGCACCATGCTCACCACTCTCTCGTCTTCCAGGGCCTGAACGGCCGCTATGTCGGCCCTTGACTGGCCGAGCGCCTCTTCCCGGGTGATGTTGAAGAGGGGACCCTCTCGGAGCGGGACGTCGGGGGCTGGGAAGGGTGGGAAGACGGGGAGGGGGTCCTCGTTGGTGGTGGTGGTGGTGGTGGTGGTGGAGGCACGTGTGCGGCGGCGTTTGGCGGCCGGCTGGTGGGTGTCAGAATGAAGCTTTTGAAGGGTAATATAGAATAAGTTGTGTGTGGAGATGAGTCTACAAAGGGGGTTTAGACACGTAGGAAGAGAGGGACGAAGGTGGATGCACGTGAGATGTATATGAAGGTAGGCTTACATTCTCGCTCTCGGAGCCCTCTTCGGGCTGCTGCTGGTCCAGCTGAACCTCCTCGTCTCCCACTGGGAGCTCAGGATTCAGGGCTTCTGCGACCCTGCGATAGTTCTATATGCTGTTAGACTTGTTGTAAACGGGATGCAGCCAACAAGAAGGCGACAATATTCCTTGCAAGCCGCGCTGGATTCAGTCTCCTGGCAGGGGAAGAACGCCGAAAGAGACGTCTGGGTCCGCGCAATCAAGGCAGTACACGAGGGATCAAACCGACATCAAACGTGTGCTGGACTCCATCTCTGAAGCCAGCGGTATGGCCAGATTGCCATTCCAGGGTCCTGCCGGCGTCGAAAGCCGCCCGGCTGTGCTTCTCGATCAGGTCCTTGACCGTCTCGCAGGTGAAGGTGACGGTGAACGGATCGTGCAGGTTTGCACCCGCATTGACGGTTCCATGGGTGACAATGTCCGTGCGGATGTTTGTGCCGTGGACCTCCATGAAGTTATCCATAATGTGACTGTATTCGTCACGGACGTACGGCTGTAGTGCTTCTTGCACGTCACCTTCGTTCTCCGCGCCGTTACCTTCGCCACGATTGCGTGCTTCGGCCTCGAGATCTACAAGTCTGGCCTTGTACGCGATATTGAGCGCTTTCGACACTCTCTCGTAGGTGAGCAGCCACAACAGCGCCTGGCGCAGAAAGTCCTGCGGTTGACTCTCGATCCAACCAGGCTGGGTCCACGTATCAGTGTATAGGAAGGCGTGCATGGGAACATTCGACATGGGATTGTGTAGTGTAATCCTGGTGGCATTGCGTGTGAGCGACGCCTGACGACCACCAGCTGAAGAAGGACCAGCGTCCTCCGGGCCTGTCTCCGGTCTACCGGCATTTCGAGATCTTGTTGAACGGGGAGCTGTGGTGCTAGTTGTACCGTCTTGAGGCGTGGCAGATTGGTCGGAGGCCAACCGCTTGCGCATGGTAGACTTGAGCATAGAAGAAGCCATAGCGAATATGATGAACAAAGAAGGTCTTCTGACGTAAATTTAAAGGTAAAGGAGCTCGGTATTGAAGGTTGAAAGTTGTGTCGAAATTATGTGCGGTGTCGATGTAAGTCCTGAGTTCGGATGGAGGAAAAGAGGTACGTCGAAGGTTAAATAGGGAAAAACGGAGTGAACCAGTAGCGTGAGACAAGTCTGTTCGGTTGCAAAAGTGAACGAAAATTCTGTCAGTGCCGTTGAAAAGTGAATGACATCGCTGGACACTTCGTGGAATATCGAGAGGGAGTCAACAGTGGCACACGTGGTAGTCACCCCTGAAAACTTGAGCGAAGAACCTACGTTGGGGATCATCTGTGGCTCAGGGGCCATCGAGAAGTGAAAACAGATAAGAATTGAATAGGAAAAAAAGTGTTGAACTTGATATTTCTTTGAAACTCACATCAATGGTGTACCGAGCAAGGAGTCGTAACATAAAAACAGATGTCACAAATATTCCCTGACTGACAAAAGGCCGTCATCCTGCATAACGACGAATAAAATGGGTATCTATACTCCCGGCAAGCTCTATACTTATTTGTGTACTGGTTCGCCGTTCTCGTCAATCAGATGCTCGTCAATTTTGATTGGGCCCTCGCCCACACCCGTCAAGATGACCCTACTAATACCATTCTGTAGCGCTCCGGCGCTCTTCTCGTCGAAGTTCGCAGCACCAGTCGAGTTCACTTCGACTGCAGCGCCCCTTTCACCAGCCCAGCCGTCCTTTGACTCAAGCAGAGCCTTGAACGCACCAGCGACCTCCTTCTCATCCTTCTGCAAGTAGTAAACAACAGCATTCGGACCAGCGTCGAAGGTGTAAGCAGCAATAATCTTGCCTGCAGCCTGGTTGATAGCATTGACAGCCGTGATGGCGGCCCTAGAGACATCGTTCAGGTAGAAGATTGGTGGCTCTGTGTCCAGGCACGTAGCATGGAAGCTATTGCTGTCCTTCATAGTCAACCTCGCAAATGCCTCAAAGTCTTTCTTCTGGATCGCCTCTGTCATCTCCTTCATTCGCTTCGGCACAGTGTCGCGTGCACGCTCGGCGAACAATGTGCTCGTGGCAACAGTCGTCTGCATACCCGTCGTGCTGCTCACGCCCTTCTTCTCGGCGCTCACAACGAGGATGCAGGCGCGCATCTCCGGCCAGTGCGACGCGGGCGCAACTTCATATGCAACACTGTCGGAGCCGTCGTCCTTGGTGCCCATCTCCCAGGCTGCATAACCGCCGAAGAGACTGCGACATGCCGAGCCAGATCCTTGTCTTGCGATCCTGGACAGATCAGTAGGGTTGGATGGGAGCTCGTAGAGGTTGGCGATGGCACGGACGAGGGCTGCGAAGCCAGCAGCACTGCTCGCAAGACCAGCGGCCGTAGGGAAGTTGTTCTCGGAGACGATCTTGAGGGGGTAGGACGAGAGAGGAGGGAGAGATGAATCCTTGCTCTCGAGGTCTTTCCTCAGAGCTCGGAGTTCCCTGAAGCAAGCCTGGGTACGGGCTCCAGTCACGTCTTGAGGAGCGCCGTTGAGGACGAGGACATCTTCGGCGGGGTATTTTGCACTGCAGGAGGCAGTGGTATGGGTCCGGAGATCGTTCTGAGCGAGGGTGACGGATAGAGAGGAATTTGTAGGTAGGTTGAGCTTCGCGTCACGTTTGCCCCAGTATCTGAAATGATCAGCTCACAACGAATAGTCATTGTGGAGGACAGACTCACTTAATCACCGCAATGTTTACAGGGGCAGTGGTGCTGGCCCGATAGATCTTCTGGTCGGTCATGATTGCTCGATTGAAATTTCTGTGTGTATCACTTTGAATGGAAAAAGGTACACAAGTAAGAAGAAGGATCTGAATTTTAGGACTTTAAACAACAATTGGCGTTTCCACAGCCGGGCATATCGAATAGAAGAAGCCCGCTCGGCCACCGTGGGGTTTGTCTCGTTTGGGCCGTCGATCGGGTGGTGCTCGGTGGTGCCACATTTCGGAAGCACCAGCCACACGCACGGGCCAGTCCATCTTTTTATCAAGCCATCATCCTCATCCTGAGCCTCATTTGGAAACAAACGCCGAGTTGAACCCCCGAGATCACCAATTCTCTTCTCGACGTTACATCTGCCACCATGGGCAACGGCCAGTCGACGCCCGAAGCCAAACCATCAGTAGCAACGTCCACATCCGCAGACGTCTGCCCAGTCGACCACAAGTCTCGAGAAGCATGGCTCGAGAAAGCCCGCATGGCAGAAGCCTCGAAACACCACACCACTCCCACACCCACATCCACACCATCACCCCTCGGCGCACCCAGCACGTGCGACTCCTCCAATCTCGCCTCCGACACGCCCAAACCCCAAAGCACAACCTCCAAGATCCTCTCCAGCGTCGGCCTCTCCACCCACCGCGAAGTCAGCACCATCCCACGCGCACCGCCCGGCGTAGCACCCGCAGCACCCAAGAACTCTGAACAACAACAGCAACAAGAACAACACACCACCCCCGACTCAGAACCAGCAGACGCGCACAAGAAAGAGACAAACTGGATCTACCCGTCGCCCAAGATGTTCTACGAGGCCATGAAGCGCAAGAAGCACAGCCCAGAGCCCGCGACCATGGACGCCATCGTGCCGATCCACAACGCCGTCAACGAGCGCGTGTGGACCGAGATCAAGACGTGGGAGCACGGCTGGGGCACGGATGCGTGCGAGGGCCCGTTTGGCGGGACGTTTCTCGAGTCGTTCCATGGCATGGGCGACCAGCTCTCGCCGAAAGCGCGAGTGAACAGCTGGCTCGGGTACGCGAAGCCGTTTGATCGGCACGAGTGGGTGATTAATCGGTGTGGGCGGCGAGTGGAGTATCTGATTGATTTCTATGCCGGGCGCGACGAGGGAGTGCCGGGGAAGAGTCTGAATTTCTATCTTGATGTACGGCCGAAGTTGAATAGCTGGGAGGGTTGGGCGATGAGGGGGGCGCGGGTGCTGGGCTTGAGATTCGAGAAGGAGAAAGGGGCGACAGGGAATAAATACGCGTCGAATAAGTAGATGAGAGAGAGAGAAAGAAGGAGGTTGTATATATCGACGATGGAAGTGTTGTATTAACATGTAACATATCAAATGATCCAGGTTCTACATTCTATCAATATCCGCTACTCTGACCATGTAAACTCTTCCCCTGAGGTAGCGTCATGGAAGCTGTTTTAGGGAGAGTAATCCGACACGCTAAATCAAAATCACTCACGTATGTTATGCACTACTGAATTGCTCGCAATGATTAATGCCATACCGAAAAGCTCATAGACCGGGAATTTTTCATATACCCAAATCTAGGCCTAAGCGCTATCTGTCTGTCGCGAACATGTAACGCACACCACCCCGATTAAGCTTCAGTAACCAAGCCACAAAGCAGCATTCTACTAGAACTGCTATAATTTACACCCGTCAGCCACCATTAGCCAACAATCCGAGACTGTCATATCCGGACGAGTGTTATCAGCCGTAGAACAACGCCGAGCTGTAATGCAAATGCCTGCGGGCACGCAGCACCCAGGGGAAGAACCCCCGAGCATTATATTATTGTACAAGATGAGAGTGAAAGTGAGAGTCGTGAGGAGAAGTTTCGTTTTCGTAAGAGTGTGAGCGCGCGGGGAAAGGGAAAAAGGTATTGTCAAAACTCTTAGTTTTGCAGGACAGACGTCTAGATTGGTGACGACGTCCCCGCGATACCGAGCATAGATGGGATGGGCTTGCGTTTGGCTTTGACTTGAGCGACGCGTGGTACGCCTTGGATGACGCGAGGCTCTTTCATAAAGCGCTTGTCAAGTTGATCGGGGACTTTGAACGGTGTTGATTAGACATGGCTCGACGCGGCGCGAAGATATAGACTTACTACGGCTGATGACTTCTCGGTAGTCGCCTGGAACACGGCCGTTGGGTGGAGATGCTGCGGCAGAGCGCCACAGGTGATTTGACTTGTCCGAGAGGAAATCGATATCTGTGCCAAATATTAGCGACGCATGTTGATAGAGACAGAGGCGTACTGACTTGATCTGCCGAAAAAGGATGCCTTCCCACGGTTACGTTTCGACAGGATGACCTCGTCAAAAAGACGTACGCTCGGGTTATCGCTCCGCATAGATTCGCGCTCGTGGATGAACTCGTTGAAGGCTGGGGTGAATCAGCATATTGAATGGGACCTTGTAGACAGAACATACCTTGAGTTTGCTGCAGCATGCTCATATATTGAGAGTTTTCGTGTGGCATGCTGCGTAAGAAGCCATTCATATTGAAAGAATACATGAGACCAGACTTCTTCTGAGCCGAGCTCGCAGGCGACATAAACTTTCGGTATGTGTAGAAAAGACTTGCGAAGCAGCGGACAAAGGCCGCACGCACCTGATCTTCATGAAAAGCGACCGGACATACGAGGCTCACTTGTGGAGCACAGCGACTATGGGCTACCATGCCACAGGCAGAACACCTGTAGAGTCCGTCGTCTGACTTCTCATCGCATATGGAGCAATTGGACTTGTCGTCTTTAGGCCGCCATTGTAAGCAATGGCCCTCCACCCATTGGGTCGTGTCAGTGTTCCGTACAGGTTGCATGAGCATGTTTGGCATGATCGTCGATGCAGCTAGAGTAGAAGCAGCATATATCGATGGAGCATACTGGGAAGGAGCTCGAAATTCCGAACTTAGTGACGAAGTTGACAGGCTTGGATTGTGGCCGAGATGAGAAGGTTGACTGGGTCGGCGAAGAGTCGGCACGCGGTCCATGTTGAATGATGAGCTTCTGCGCGACATGGCATCAAAGTGACCTGAGCGTTTCTCGCGAAGATTGGCCTGAAGTGAGTATGCCGAGTCACTTCTCGAGACCGGGGTGGTTGGTATAGGTGGTGGAAACATCGTTGAAGTTGGAGAGCTCCTCGGAGAAGGCGGGGACGCATTTGTTTTTGTTGTGCAACTTGTCGTCGGCCTATCGGACCCACGACTATTTTCTCTTCGCGACTGGAGGAAAGCATTGAAGATGATGGTCTTTGGGCCAGCAGCTGGCATATTGGACCCGAAAGCAGACGAGCTAAGGCCGGCATAGGTCGATAGTGTCGAATTAGGGGCATTTGCAGTGAATACAGCAGTGTTCTCCGAAGTGAACGAGTCATACGGGAATGCTTCCTGAGCATATGCAGGAGGGCCTGTTGGTACGCCGTAACGGATATGATGCGAGGCTGCCAGTTGTAGGATGGACATTAGCTTTCGTCTTTGCTGGCGCGGCAAAGGTGTGGGTGGAATGGTGCTTTCAATCAAGTCGACGTCCAAGTCGACCAGAACAAAGTCATCTTCTGGCAATTCCACGTTTTCATATCGTCGTTCGATGCCTACGATATACGGACATGGCGCATCCAGAGCTTGGATTAAGCGGGCTGGGAGGACTGGGATGAGAATGCTTGCCCACTTGAGTGGATAGAGCAGATTGACCAGAGCTGCCGTTGCCAGATGCAACATTGCTGTGTGCGAGGAGAGAAATATGATACGGGACTCTGATAAGGCATACTCGAATAGAGTGACGATATTGGCGATGGAGAGAGAGCGGAAGAGGGCGAAGAGGTCGGTGTTCCGTGAGCCGGGTAACTCGTTGTTCGCCTCCTTGCGGGCATACAGTCTAAGCTCTCGTACGCCTAATTCGACCTGTGTCAGGCTGGATATGGGACTGAGGGCCTCTGCACATAGGTTGACCACGTAACGTTCCAGTGGCTGCCACATGCCTATTTTTGGTGAGCTTGGTGGAACCCTCAGAACTGCCCCCTGGGTCATTGGCACGACCACGGCCCGAAGCCACTCTTTCCAGAAACTTGTCATGCCTGCCTCTCGGCCTAGGACACCGAATGCGCGAGGTATCCACAAGCCTGTTTCACCGTCTGTAAGACCTTCGATCTTGGAAGCTGCGCCATGCCGAACAGGCCGGAGCAGATCTGTCATGAGTGAGATTTTCTCCTCGACTGCGCTGATGTCGTCTTCAAGATTCTCTCGCTCGTCAGAGCCTGATGGTACTAATGGCAACTGACAAAGTAATTGGGACAACTTGGCGCGTTCTGCAGCCAATCTCTCACCCAGGCTACTTGCAAGCTCTCGTTCCTCTCCCGACATGTTTGCACGCCTCCACTGTTCGCACTGTCTTTCAATTCCCTCTGCTGCTTCGCGTTTGAGTGGAAGCCAGATTGTGAGACAAATGCCATAAAGCTTTGTATTGTCGGCGCTGGTCATAGCAAAGCCATGCCACGTCGAGCGAGGTCGCTCGTCCGAAGACACAACATTGATGTCATCCGGGAAGGCGAACATAGGAACATAATCGGGAAAAGGATTGCGTCTCTTGCCTTCGTCGATCATATCTGTTGACGGATAGCGATCCAGAAGCACGGGCTCGTACCGCCTCTTGAGTGGGTGCATATTCGGTTCGGTTTTGAAGGGTTGAGGGGTTGGAATGACGGAGTTGTAGTTGCTCATTCGTTTAGCAGTTCTCACAGAAGCTACACGTAGTCAGCCAAGTGCCAGACATGAATTATTTTGGAGACACCCAGGTTACAGTAGTAAACAGACTCACATTGCCGATTGACAGAGGAAGCTCTCTTCATGCTGCTCATGCCTGATAGCCGTCGCCGCAGACTGCCTGCGACACTCGACCTCAAGTTATTGACATCTCTATCGTCAGACACGATGCGCTGGGCTCGAGGTCTTGGCTTTGGTGTTTTGGTGGGTGTCACAGCTCCCGACTGAATGGATATTTCGTCCAGAAAGGATTCACGTTCAGAGGCGAATTTCCGCAATGCCTTGTCAAAGTCGGCCTCACTCAGGCCAGTACCACCAACCTGCACGGCCCGTATGGTTGCGCTGCTTCTATTGCTAGCCGTGGCAGTCTGCTCGAGGTTAATCATGCTGCCAATGGACTTTCTGGCATCCCAGCTCATTCGCACAGACTTTCGACGCTCTCCGTTCAGCGTGTCTGCAGCAGAAGGTGGACGCTCTGGACTTGTGTCCAAGGGGGCATCTTCTTCAATGGTGATATCCAGATTGTTCGGCATGGCGACGCCATTGCTTTGAGCTCTTTCATCGTAGACCTGTGTGGACTCAATTCCTGAAATGAAGAAGAAGTCGGCTAGTGGGGCACTGGAGGACTCGGAATCGGAGGCAATTGGAGCCATTGCGGAGATGACGGACAAAGGAGAAATGGGCGATGGCTGATAAGGAGCAAGGGCGAAGAAGCGAAATGAGCGGACGAGCTCCAAGGGCCGAACAGATGAGAGGTGACGGTATCAATCAATTCATCTGAATACCGGAGACCCGCTCGACGGTACCTGTGTAAGGTGTCGTGGCGGACGGGCAGCACAAGTAGTGACGGCTGTGCGAGCCGGAGGAGGTAGATTGGTGCGACAAAAACGGTTGGGATTGTATGTCGGGTGACAAACTGGCTAGCGCTTGGTGACAGGAACAGGATTAGGGCAGAGGCGCTGGTAAGGCTTTGCAGAAGACGTATCGGCGGTGTGACAGTAAGGGATGTGGTGGTGCGGTGAGAAGTATAGAAGAGCGTTGTGGTGTGGTGTGGTGTCTTGGTTTGGTTTGAGGGTTAGGGCGAGGGCGAGGGCGAGGGCGAGGGCGGAGAGAGAGGTTGGCTCGGCGGAGTGGGCGAAGATGGTAATGTTGGCGGAATCTGTGGAGAGTCGCGACGAAAGTGTATAGGAGGAGATAAGTCGACGGAGGAAGTGGGTGAAGTGAGGGAGGAATGGGAGGAAGATGCAGTCTGATTGCGGTATCTCGTTCAGATATGGATGGGAGATGCACAGGGGACGCAGAACTAAAGAAGCTCGTCCCTCCCTCCTACCTTAGTGCCGCCGACTCCTACCCAGCTTTGGCCGTTTGACCGCGATTGTGTTCGCCCCCCCCCCCCCTCCCCCCTCTCTTCTCTCTCCCTCTTTCGACAATCTGGCCTCAAAGTGTAGAAGAGAGGATTGGAGGAGGTGGTTAGGACAATGTTGTTGCTGTTGCTGTTGTTGTCGTTGACGACTTCAGTCTTTAGCATCAGCATCAGCATCAGATAAACAGTCAGTGGAGTGGCGTTATGTCGAATCCATGTTTGTTTGCTATGTAGTTCCTTGCCCCTACTCCCCAGAAAATAGTAGCCAGGCAGAGGCAGCTAATTAGGGACAAGAAGGTAATATGACTATTATCTTCTCCATCCTTCCCATCTTTCCATCCTTGTTTGGTGTCACGGCGGCACAGGGACGTCTACCTAATCAAGGTATAGGTAGAGAGTCCTGGCCAGCAGAATCACGATTGTAGGTGTATGTGTGTGTGTGTGTGTGTGTGTACGTGCTAAACAGTCAGTGAGGATTCTGTTGATGACAGGCAGTATTAGCATAGAATGAATGCATTGATTGATATCAGTAGATGGAGTAATTAGAGTAATAGAGAGGCAACACTGCAAGCAGTAATTGATAGGTTAGTGGCGTCTGGCGTCTGGCGTACCCCAAGCGCGTCGGCTCGACTGGGCAGTGGGCGCTGGGCACTTGATGAGTGGGCGGGTGAGTGGCAGCTGGCCAGGACTGCCCGGCTGTGTGGGCTTTTGACTGGTTGACTGACTACTTACTGTATGCAGTCCAGCGCTCCAGGGCTCCAGCGCTGTATTACTGTCCCGGGCAGCAGACACTCTGACACCCCCCCTCCAGCCTAAAATGGCGCCCCTTGCTCCCTCTACTCCCTCTTTTTGGGGCTCTGGGTCTGCCGAGTCTGCCCCAAGTTGACCTGGTAGTTAACTAAGCTACAATATAGTCAATTAGTGGTATAATAGTACTGTGGTTGCTTCTCCAGGGCTGACTGCATACCTGGCATTCCCCAGTCAGTCAGTCAGTCAGTCGGACAGTCTCTCATGATAATTACCTGTAATGATGATAGTAGTATTGCTACTCACCAATCGGCCAACAAGTCCAGACTGCAGCGCCAATTCATGCCCGCTCACATTCAACCCTATTCACCCTTCTAGGCCTGCTTAAACTTTGACTTCAACGCTCATCAAGAGTGCGTCGGCTGTCTCATCAGGCCTCTCCAAGTCTCGAAGCCGACATGTCCCATGGGTGCCACAGAGAGCAACAGGCAAATCAGCTGCCTCCAAATGAAACGATAGAGCCTAAATCTCTTCCTTATCGCTGCAGCTCTGCCATTTCTTAGCGGCCCAGCTTGCCCCGGGCCATCCATAGGTACAGTATTAGTACTAGGTAAGTAGGAGGGTAAGTGTAAGGTAATACAGTAGTAGTGAATGATTAACTACCCCAAGCTTTTACTTGTTTGAGTGCCTGCAAGTCATCCGCTCGCTCCGTCTCTCGTCTCCATAAACCCCCCCTCCCTTCCCTCTCCACCTCACATGCAAACTTATACCGCTATCATCACAGTCAGCTCTCCTAACCTCACTTTTACCTCTGATCGTTCGTTCGAGAACCTTCATCACTGTTTACATGGACAACCATATCATCGCGAGCGACTAATATGCCATTTACAAACACGACGCCGATTCCATCTCCACTCCCATCTAGCTTATCCTTAGACATGGTTACGTGTACATACGACTAGTGGCACTGTCGTGTGCCCATCTTCGCCAAGCTACCACGTCCATCTCGACCACGATGATTGTGCCGCTTTCTTGCTTCACACAATCAACAGCCATTAATCTTTAAATATTCTATCAAGCGCAGCCAGCCATATCCACCTCTTCTTAATCCTTCCTGACTCGTAGTTTCCTTGCTGAAACTCCAGCTATCCTCCACATACTTCACCACGCCCCAACCCAAAGCACACTGAGAGTCTGAGACAGTAACCGCGCTAGTTCTGCAGGAACACATGTCCACCAATGCCAGGTACCCTCCTTCGCTCATTGGCCGCCTTTCACCGCTCCAGCCTCGTCTTGACTTGAATGCTCTCTTCTTTACCTCCTCGACCTTACTCGTGTCGTATTTGACCTACTCGCAAGCTCCCTTATACTGACTCGTTCGTATAGATGATGAATGAATTATCATTGAAGCCCACCGAGTCGTCCTCGAACGTGCTTACATAGTACATGTCACCCCGGCGGATACGGGGAGTACGATAGCCGGTAGCTGTCCTTTGCAGTCTTCTGACCTTGCCTATATCTCTGTCTAATGCCACTACAAAAGCCGTTGAAGATATGTCCTTGACGACGAATCAGAGACTGACTCTGTTAGAAGAATAATGTTGTATGTATCCTTCCATACTCCCGAACGGCGAAGATGATGATCGACAGTGTGCACTCAAGCCTACACTTGAAACACCTTCCAGGGTCCCACGTCCCCTCCGATGTGATCGACAGGGTCTCATCTATCTATCCGTACATGCACTCGTGGCTTACTACCACCGACCGCATCATGCCACTGCCGCAACGGCGCAGACGCTGCATAGATTGATTGAGAAATAGAAAAACCTTTGGCGCGTCGTCTCACGGCTCACCAGGTCTGTGTTGAATATTCATTGCACTGCATTGGTCTCGCCCTGACAAAAAAATCGCCGTCGAGCTTCGCCTGTTATTCCACTCAGGGGGCAGCAGCGTCAGCGCCACAAGCCACCACCTGCAAAACCGATGGATGCAGAATTGTCATCCATTATAATTAGGAGAGAACATCACCATCCCTCCACCACAATAACTTCGCTTCACTCAATGTCATGCTTGGCGAACAGAACACGTAAGTCTCCTGAATATCGTCTTTGCCACGTCGAACGTCGTCGTCGTCGTCGTTTGATGCATCTTTGTAGACGCAGTGGTGTGTTGATTCCACACCACTGCATTTCGCGCATACCACGCCCGCACGCATTCAATGCATGCAGCAGATCGTCCTGCTTTCATGGACGTGCGTGCTCTGCATGCTTCGTCTTCCGTCCGCGCGTCCAGACGTACTGTAGATATATTCCTCGGGAAGCCAGGAAGGACATTAACCCCCAAATTCCTAGGAGACGCATCTCATTCAATGTTTCAGAGACTCTACTCCACATATTGCATCTGCTCCTCAACACCATCTTCTAGCACGTGATGTTTCGGAAACGTTATCGTCAGGCGTGGACATCAAGAAGGAGCGACACCAGCACCGCGCAACTGACAGAAACAATGACCGGGTACTTACATCATCGAATAAATAGCAATCCACTAAGCCCATACGCCTTTTCCTCATTACCATGTCCATACTGCCAGTACCTTATACCAATCTGTATCCAGCCCTGTCACACACAACACCGAGCAACACCGAGCAACACCGCACAACGTCGAATGCATATGAAGTATGCATAGACCACCGCTTAATCACAACTACCATAGCACCACTAATTACACCACACTACACTTGGCCGACACACCAGCCCAACGATCTGACCTGCCTGCTAACGGGCCGATGCAGATGGGAGACAAAAGCACGCGATAGGGGGGGAATGTCAACAATGGCACAACAGTTGCGTCATTTTGTTGGGGCCTTGCCATCCACTGCATGAATTACAACTAATCAGATGCTAGTAATCAGCCTGTAGGTAGCTTACCTAGTACGTTACCTATGTACGCAGGCACGTTCGCAGGCTCGTTCGCATTGAGCCGTGCTCTTCTACCCATTTTGCACCCACAATGGGGATCGATGATTATATCCAAACACCCCTCCTAACCCCCCACTACGCCTGAAACGCGCTGCCTGTATGTAGCCACGCCCGATGAATTTGTCTCATCGCTCAAAGATCTGAATACTGTATTGCCCATCACGAATTATCAAGCACCTGACCAATCCATCACCCACTGCCGCCCCTCGACATGATCCTCCCACCCCGGACAACGCCCACACTAACGCCCGCTTCCCCGGTCATCCACCCGGGCATTCTCGCCCCGTCCACGACCCCAGCTTCCACCAACGCACGTAATCCCGCGAACACGTGCGGGCCCTGGAAACTGATGCGCACATCGGGCCGCCACACTTCTTCTTCTTCTTCGTCCTGGCGTTCGGCAGGTGCGGCGTCGAGGATGGACGGAAGGGATTTGCGGCCGCGTTTGGATATCGTCGGCGTTGTGATGCGGGTTGTGGTAGATCGTGTAGGATGAGGAGGATGAGATGGTGTCAAGGCGCCAGGATCAGTAGTGGGGAACGGGTCTGCGATGCGAACGTCCAGGCGTTCCAGGGCTGCCGTGTCAGCGGGCAGACCTGCTAGGCCGAAGCGTGAAGCTGCGAGTGCGATGCGACGTTTCTTGCTCGAGTCCTGCCTTTGCACATTGCTAGCAGGCGACGGGGCCCGTGTGCGTTTGGCCTCTGGTTCTGGCCTGTCATTTTCTTTGTCGCCGTCCGAGGAGCCGCTCAGGGTAGGGTGTGGCGCCGCGGGTGGACAGGTCAAGTCTGGTGGTGGGCGCACGCGGTAGTCGAGTGCTGGGACGCCGAATGTGTCGGCAACGAAGATGCCCCAGCCGCCCTGTGCCGCGTTTGACCGACCGGGGCCGCGCAGAGAAAAGATTGTGGTGAGGGATTTGGTGGAGAGGCTGGTTGGAGTGAGGGTGTAGCGCTTGCGTGGGGCTGAGAGTGCGGTTGAGAGTGCAGAGAGCAGGACGGCGTGGACGCTGCGGCGGTCCAGGGTGGATGTTAGGCTTGTGGACGCAGAGTGGGATATGTATGCATATGGCGTGTTGTCAGGGAAGAGGACGAATGTTGTCTTCGTCTCACCCGTCGTTGAGGAGGACTTGGGGTGGGTGGCATCGAGCGCTTGTTGGGTGGTGTTGTAGGGTGATTCGAAGACTGAGATGCGGAGAAGGGTTGTGTAGTGGGTGGAGAGACGGGTGAGGTAGTAATGGGCTTTTGAGAGCGGTGCGAGTTCTTCTTGGAGATTTGCGAGAAACGTTGGTGCGTGGAGCCGGGGAAGAGGATTCTCGAGCCTCTCTTGGACGTCGTCTCTGTGTGCTTCAGTGGAAGATATGCGTGTAATTCGAAAGGCGGTCCAGCGATTGCTCGATGCCGTGTGGTCCAGTAGACTCCTCGAGTCTGCTGTTGCAAGCTGGTAGAGTGTAAGGCCATGCCTCCAGTCTCCTTCTACAATCCGCTCTACGATCTCTTTCTTTCCTCCTTTGCGCTGCTCTAGCTCCTCGTAAATCTCTTGCAGCTCTTCGATAGATTGAGCCGGCGTATATGGCGCCTCTTCATCTGGTCCGTCATCATCGTCATCATCCTCGGACAGATACGGCGTGCATAGTGATATGTTCTTCGGCGATAGCCATTCCAAAGCTAGTGAGATGAGAGACGGGCGCGAAAGTTTGGAGAGAGTCCGGGAGACTTCCGGGCTAGACGGTGGTAGTCGATCGGAGTGAGATAGCGGCAGGTTTGTTGGTATTGATAGCTTTTTCGGACGTGGCATGTTTGGGGTATATGGGATTGATCGGACGCTGCAATGATTACTGTGAGCTCGCAGCGACGACGTCAACACCAAGAAACATCGAGCGCGTCGCGTCGTAAGGCTGAATTGTAAGTGGAGCCTCAGGCAACAAGTCGGACCGCAACCCCGCGGGCACAAGGAAACGTGGAGGGGGAATTTTATCCGACGGCTTACCTGTTAAGACAAGTCTACTACTTACTTGGGCGTAGCGTAGCAGTGAATGCTGAATAATCCCGCTGCAGCCACCGTAGCCCCCCCGCGCCCGGCAATGTTATCTACTCCGATGACAAATCAGCAATTCCTTCCTTCCCGACCATTCTGTCTGCAGCTCTCTCCGTCTTGTGCAGCAATCACAATCAACAACAACAACGACAATTCACTCGTATCACCCAGGCCTTGGCCGTCGCAGCTCACAACGATCGAGTACGCTGGCAATTACCACGAAGCGCCGCTGCTGAGCATTTAGCAGTTCGCAGAGCTAGGAGGGGCTCACCTGCGATCTTCGGCCGATACCGCTACACTCAGTTCACTCTAGGGCTGTAGCTGTTACTATTACACACACAAATTTGCATTCACACGCTCTCGGCAATAGTCCCTCGTCTCGAACGGCACCGTAACACCGCATCACATCCACATCCACATCCACTCCCCACCGAGCAACTCGTCTTCAAACTTCTTCATCCGCTTTCCCACTCGACAGAACACACATCGTCGCCATCAATTCAACCTTTTGCCACTGCATCGACCTACACGCCGCCGCCAGTCATTCTGACGTCGACGACTATCGTAGCTTGTTCATGAACTGAGCTACTCCACTTCTCCGGTTTTCGGATTTTACATACACCTACCACGGCAACCCGAGACCGTCGTTACACCTACGACTGTTCTTTTCGCCATGTCTGGCTACAATGGACGGCGGCCCAATGTCTCGCAATACATTGCGGGTCTAAACACGATTCCCAGCCATCAGGATCTGCTCGCACAGCCCGCAAGTCTGGAGGAGGACCTGTCTATGTTCAACACCGACTTCTTCGACTTTGATGCACTCTCTGGTCTGGATCTACCGGATCTCACGCAGCAGAACTTGGAGTATGACCCTGCGGAAGAGGAACGCGCTCGCCGACATAATGCTTCAGGTTACAGGTCAAAGCACGCTACCGAGTCCCTAAAAGGGAAGGATGCTCTTTTGGACAAGCAGGTTGAATTCAATACGGGCATTGAAGGTGAGCAAACGTCTTATTTCTGATGCCATAACCCCAATTATCACACCTTTCATCACAATGCGCATCACGAGGTTGTGAGGCACAAGGCCCAGCAGCCCCCGCACTCTACAGGCATGTATTGCGCGATGAGTGCATGGCGCACGGCGTATGCTGCAAAAAGCATCTGGCGCTGCAGAAGGCATGCATTCGTTCGCGCAACGCCAGACTAGTGCAGATCCACACGCTCTGGTTTTGTTGTGGCTCGGCAAGTTACACTTGCATCGCACGCAATATCCCGTGACCCCGCGTGGTTCAAGCACCTCACGCCCTGGATATGCCATCATCGTCCTGCTGCGCCGTGCTCCACAACTCCTGTCGTCCGATACTCAAGCAAGGAGACCTACGTTTGCTAATGTACCATCCAGGTGCTGACTATCAATTCTCGGGCTTCAACTTTCCAAATCTGGTTGATCCCGCGGCTCCCGCAAACTTCCAGTCCCAGCAACAAGTTCAGTACAACATCCCGACCCAGCAAAGCTCTCCTAGCATCGCCTCTCCGACCTCGCCTACCAGCGACGGTACCGGCATCAAACGCAAGTTCGACTCTGTCGGCGACCTCAACGGTAGCCACGGTGTTGAGGACGCCTCCCGTCACGCCGCTGAGGAAGACAAACGTCGTCGCAACACCGCCGCATCTGCCCGCTTCCGGGTCAAGAAGAAGCAGCGCGAGCAAGCTCTCGAGAAGTCAGCCAAGGAGATGTCCGACAAGGTCGGTGCGCTCGAGTCAAAAATCACCAAGCTCGAGACAGAAAACCGGTGGTTGAAAGAGCTTCTCACCGAGAAGAACGGCAAAGCCACTATCGCCTCCATGGTCGCCACGAAACCTCCCAAAGAGTCTAATGTCGTACGGAGTACCGGCGATCACACCACTGGCGTCGGCACCGATTCCAAGGAAGTAAAGGCCTAAGCCAAAACCATTTCTTTTACCCCTGTGGCATCTTTTACGACGTAGACGTATGATGTTGATGTCTTTGCATATTTGGTGATGGGGAGCGTGATGGTGTTATTATATTGATTTACTATAGTGTGCTGTGGGTAGCTCATAATGTTGCATGGAGCAGCGAACATGAGAGACAAGGCCGGTCAAGGATTGAGGATAGCCGCCTGGTCTTTTGATATATATCGCCGTACGGCCACTCTTGTTGTCGTATTACAGAGAGAGAGAATATGGATTTGCAGCTAACATGCCGCCTACTGCACCCTCAATCTCGACGAATGGCTATTGCATCGTCATTTATGAGTTGTTGATCCAACAGTCGTAGCTCATGCACTATTTATTACCTATGATGGTTCCGTCTTGGATCTGTGCGATCTATGCTTGTATGCCTTATTGATGCCTGGCGCCATCCACCTCTCCACCCCTATCTCCGTCTCCGCCTCCACCTCCGCATCCATCTCCACAGTAGGGGTTTAGTATGTTCCCGGGCTCGGCATGAGATGCACCTAGCCGAGTTTAGGCTTCTCTGTATTGTAAGTATATTGCCAACCTCGCAGTCATTCATAGAGATCCGTCGTGCATCATCATCACGTCCAGAGCATCAAAACAGCAATTGGATTGAACTATGATTGAGCTGAACTGAACTGAACATCCGAATGAAACCAACACACTGGGCCATGTCAACTACATCTAACCCCGATAACACGCTCATCACGGCACAAACAGTACAGCAGCATGCATGTGCCGACGACTGCTGGCTCGTCATCGACGGCAAGGTCTGGGATATGACGGCGTTTGCACCACGGCACCCCGGTGGTTCGCAGAGTATGTGTCTTCTCTGAGTCGAGAGTTCGGTTTGATCGCTTCCGTCTTTGTTCATTTGCGGCGCTGTTTGCTGCTTGTGATATTGTTGGAACCATATTCCTGTATCCCGGCTATGTTTGTATATATATGCATCACGGATGCCGAAGGACATGTGCCTGCATACCTAGGACCGACAAAGCTGACAAACACTCAGTAATCCTCACCCACGCCGGCCGCGACGCAACAACGGCATACAACACCATCCACGCACCGTCGCTCATCGAGGAAGAAGTCCCAGAAGCGTACAAGGGCCGCTTGGATCCCTCGACAGTTCCAAAGTCATGGACCACCACGACCACCACGACCACCACCACAGCAAGCACAAGGCCAGCCCTCACAAGCATCCTCAACACACACGACTTCGCACACGCCGCACAGCACAGCATCCCGGCCAAAACATGGGCCTTCTACAGCTCCGCAGCGACAGACTCCCACACCCACGCCGCCAACACCGCCATGTACGCCCGCATATGGTTCCGGCCTCGCGTGCTGCGCGACGTCAGCAGCGTGAGCATCAAGGCACGCTTCCTGGGCTGTGCGGCCGTGGACATGCCGATATATGTAGCGCCCGCGGCAATGGCACGCATGGTGCACGTTGAAGGCGAGCGAGCGATTGCGCGGGCATGTGCGCGAAAGGGCGTACTACAATGTGTAAGTCCCCAACATGCTCGGAGCCCAAGTCCCTACCTCCCTTTAACCATCCACCATCCGTCAACCCACGCGAGAGGTCGAATATACATACATACACACCCACACCAAAGCACCACAACTAACCACCTTCCCCACCCCCCCTCACAGATCTCAACCTCCGCGTCCTTCCCCGCATCTCAGATCGTGCCCGTCGCCCCACCCGCACACCCGTTCTTCTTCCAGCTGTACATCAACAGCAACCGGGCCAAATGCGCGGCCCTGATCCGCGAAATCGCCGCGATGCCGCAGATCCGCGGTATCATGATCACGGTCGACGCGCCCGTTGTCGGCAAGCGGGAGGCCGACGAGCGTATCCGCGCCGACGAGACCCTCCACGCGCCCATGTCGGGGCAACAGGCCAAGAACGACGCCAAAGGGGGCGGCATGGGCCGTGTGATGGGCCGGTATATCGATCCGAGTTTCCACTGGGAGGAGATTGCGTGGGTGCGGGGCTTGTATTCCGGGCCGCTGATGCTGAAGGGCGTGCAGACGGCGGCGGACGCGCGGATGGCGGTCGAGTATGGGGTTCAGGGGATTGTGGTGAGTAACCATGGAGGGAGGTGTTTGGATACGAGTCCGCCGAGTATTCTTGCGCTGTTGGACATTCAGAGGAATGCGCCTGAGGTGTTTGACAAGATGGAGGTGTATGTTGATGGGGGGATCAGACGGGGGACGGATATTGTGAAGGCGCTGTGCTTGGGAGCGACGGGCGTGGGGCTGGGACGGCCGTTCTTGTATAGTCTGGCATACGGGACTGAGGGTGTGGAGCATCTGATTGACATACTGCGTGATGAGATTGAGACAACAATGAGGTTGCTGGGAGCGAATTCGCTGAGCGATCTGCATCCGGGGATGGTGAACACGGCCGACGTGGATCATTTGGTGCCAAGGGGCCTGGACGGGCATCCTTATGCGCGGAATGTAGAGAGGGCGAAGCTATAGATGGATGGATCCAATCAAGTGCAAGTGGTCTATGATATTCATGAAACATTAGCTTTATGAACAGTGCGTCTAGTGGGTGGTATGGTCTTGCGTAAAGATATCATTTTTAGGGTGCTTTGTACAACGCAATGCTTGGAAAGGCAGTGCAATTCGATATCCGCCCGAACGCCTGCCACGAGCAGCAAAGTCTCCATCCTACAGAGCTGTGACAAAAGGAAACGTGCCGAGCCCAGGCTAAAGTCTTCACATATCACCAAGTCCTAGATCTCGGCCGTATCCTATCCTATATCATCTCTTGTTCACTGACACACGTACATGCGTTGTTCCGACACTCTATACGGAGAACCAGAATACACTGATTACGACGTCCATGCCCTTGGAGTCGCCCGCCTCGTACTTGTACGACCACATGCCATCTTTGTCTTCGTTCCAGAATGCACCGGTTGCGCTATGCATACCGCGTCGGCCAGCATCCTTAGACTCAACGCCGGCTTGAGGCTCGGTGTGTTGCACGATGGTGCTATTGACGGCGAACTTGTACGGTGGTTGGTTCTGGCCAGAGGGTGTTGACTCGGAGATGACTTTTTGGAGGACATTGTTCTAATCGGGCGGTCAATTATGCGAAGCTCTATTATATGCATGGACGCGGGAAACATGGTCCGATGCTCTCCTTCTGCAAGGAGCGCGCGGTAAAAGTGCGCAGAGAGAAGCTGGAGATAGGAGACTGAGAAAACGTTCAGAGGGCTTACAATTATGGAGGTGTTCCAGACAGAGGTCTGCGAGTGTACGTAGGTTTCCGCATTGCTGAGAGTGCTGTTACAGGCATCATCGGTGATCTGCTTGAGACGGAGGTCTGAGATGGGCTATGTGCGCAAGAAGTCAGCAAGCTGTGACGGGGATGCTGTCGGGCATGCTGAAGGATTTAGCTTACGCCTGGTGCCATTGTGGATAGTTGTGTATGGAAACTGTGTTGGGATGAATGGTCTGTAGCAAATGAATTACGGATTGGGTTGGAAGAGCGTTGGGCGTGAGGTGGTGGAGTTGTTGTTGAATGTTGCTGTGTGTTGCTGGTGCCAATGAGCAGGGATTGGGCAGAGTGATTGTTATGATGTCCGAATGCAGCATCACGTGCCAACGCCAGGAAACTTGGCCAACTATAGAGCGAGATTATTGCTTATTTTACCGGACATGGGCATACAACATGGAATAGTCTCATCTTCTTTACTATTATTCTATTCCAAACGATGAAAATGGAATTGCAAATGCAAATTGTCGGTCGTGTGGGTTGTGAGTTTCAGTCGTGGCTTGTAGCTGGTGGCTTCCATGAGCTGTGGCTGATGACAGCATGAAGCTTGGGCCCCGTTGCCGTTGCCGAAATCTATGGCTGTGCTGTTTGTTATGTGGCTGACACCGCACATGCCCCTCGTCCCGCGCTGCCATTCGCTGCTGCTCTCTGCCTCCACATTTTCCTCTTCCGACATCATCGACGTCCTCTCTCCCACCTGCAAAGGTCTTCTTCTCGTTCTCTGCCTTGTTCATTTCTCGGTCAACGGTCTGCTCCTATTCAATTGGCTCTATCTTCTTAGACTGTGCTACCCCAACCCGGCGCCATCTCCCGCATTCTCCGACTCCGCGCTCTAGAAGTTCCGGAGCTTTTCAAAGACCAATCTCGGGTACCCAGCACCAGCCTCTCTCTTTGCACAGCATTTTTGGAAACAGACTTGAGCTGTAAACAAGAGAACCGCCATCACAACCCCCAATTGTAGATTGCTCTGTCATACTTTATCATCACAATGTCTAGCCAGCCGCTTCTACAGTCCGCTCCAGGTATGTCAAACTGTCAACTCTATGCTCACTTGAAGTACGTCAGTCAATGAAGCGCTGCTAACCTATACTGCAGGCAAGCGCATCGCCCTTCCAACCCGTGTTGAGCCGAAGGTCTTCTTCGCAAACGAGCGCACCTTCCTCTCATGGCTCAACTTTACTGTCATTCTGGGTGGTCTAGCGGTTGGTCTCCTCAACTTCGGTGATAAGACTGGACGAATCTCCGCCGGCATCTTCACAATCATCGCCATGGCTGCAATGTTGTACGCCTTGTATCAATTCCACTGGCGGGCGAAGAGCATCCGGCAAAGAGGTCAGGCTGGTTTCGACGACAAGCTTGGTCCGACCCTGCTTAGTTTGGCTCTACTCGGCGCCGTCATTGTCAACTTTGTGCTGCGTATAAATCAAACAGATAAGAAACAGTAATAATGAAAAGCGAATTTGGATGTTGATGGGAAGTGGGACATGGGAGACTTTGGGTACGAAGCTTGTACTATACGCATCGCTTTCAGGTTGGCGGAGACACATCTATCAGTGCGAGACTCAGCATTTCCAACACAGGCTCGATCATAAAGGCACGGTGTTACAATAAGTACATATTCAATCATGTTAATCAATTCGCCTTCGTGCTCCAGGCTACATCGATGCTGACAGGTAGATGCATCTTTTCCTTTTAAGCTCTGTTCCTTGGTACAGACTGACCATCTCACGGTTTCGGGAGACATCGCCGTAAGTGCCGTTTGTTTAAAAAAAGGGGGAAATGAGCATTGATCTTGGGGAGAGCTTTAAAAAAACATCGTAGGGTATCATAGAATCGAGAACATCAGCGCGTCAAAGGTCGAGAACCTCACAAACGCCATTACTCCCTCATCAGCCCAGCTTTCATCCGACTGGCTAATCTCTCCTTCTTGAGCGAGGGATATGTTTGTCTCTCGCGACTGAACTCTTTGAGTAGTCGCACCTCGATAAGCTGGCGCTTGGCCTCACTCAGCCGTATGTACTGAGGACCGTTGGTCCTGACAAAATATTCAGCCACCCTCACCAGTTCCGCACCCACAAGCTCCTCTGGTAGGCTCGCCAGCACGAAGATCCAACGCTCAGAAGAAGCCTCGAGCTCGGCAACCAACTCCCTGCAGAACGGCCACGCAAGACTCTTCAGGAGTGTGTTTCGCAGACACTGATCCAGTCTCGGCCCACCGCTATGGGGATGAGACGGCAAATACCGTCCAGTCAGGCGCCAACAGCTCCATTTCTCATCCTCATACATGATGTTGGCGTGGCGCAGGCCGTCTAGATATGGCACGAGCGCGCGTATACGCACTTCCAGATCCATGCCGTCCATGGCATAGATTGCCAGGTCCGACAGCTCGAGCGCGCCAAAACCCAAATCTGCATCACTCCTTTCTTGCCACGGTGTTGGGCCCTCTGCCATCTGGACGCAGTACTTCTTATTCCACGCCTGCTCCTCCCTGCTTGCGTCTCTTAGGCCTTGAAGGATTATTCGCAGCGGACCCGGGTGCACGCCCCGTATATCCGGCATCTCGAATTTCCGGAGTCCTTTGCCGCTGGCATCAGAGATACGACCCAGAAGCCTTAATGTGTCCGCGTCGGACAACTCATTCGACGGCGAATGGGATAGGAGGCGTGGCAGAGCGCCGCCCGGACGCGGCTGTGCGAGCAGGTCGAGGCGGTGGTTATAAGGCGTCCTCGCGGCCTCTCGCTTCTTCTCGCCCTTTTTCCTCGCAACAGCGTCTTGTAACACGCGTTCAAACATGTCTGGCCTGTGGAGTTTCGTGCGGGCAATCCAGTCTCGCTCGCTCTCACAGCCCTGATACACCGGTCGCGTACGTTCCCAGACGGGCGTCACCGCGGTATCCGCCACTGGCAACTCAGAAGACCTCGCCTTGACCTGCGAGGATTCAACACAAGCTCCACTGGGAGCGCACGAAACAGCCTTCCCACCCCGAGAACCCGCCACAGAGACTTCTGCCCTACTCCGAACCGTCCTCGCCACCGACGACAAGCCCCCAGACTTGTTCACTGGGACCATCGAAAGCGCACCCTGCACTGCCGAGATGGCCTGCATCATAGATGCGAACTCCTCCGACGGCTCTACCGTCCTTCCAGAACCTCCAATTCCGCCACCAGACACCTTCGATTCCACGCCGGGCGAACTCACATGGCCCTTCTGGATGGCCAGAATCTGCAGTGTAGGCCCATGTGTACTCACCGCACTGTCGTTCCGGGCAGCAGTATCGGCACTTTGCGGCGCACTGGGTACTGAACCATGCGTCTTCGGACCCGAGGAACCCCCTTCCACGCTGCTGGCTACGCCAGAAGCCGCGGCCGTGCGAGGTGAGATACCGGAGCCAGGTAGATAGCCGTGCGTGCTCTCGGCATGTATCGGACGCGATACAGGCACGGCGGCGGCGGCGGCGGACGTAGAGCTGCTGTTGGGCAGCGTAAGAAGGGGGATTTGCACGGCTGAGTATGTGGGAGCTGGGCGTGCGGAGGAGGAGGGAGCTTCGGGCTGCCTCAGGGGCAGCGAGGGAGTGCTTGTGCTGCGACTCGCTGGGCTCATTGGTGGTGGCATGGTGGTGACATGGTGATGTGGTGGTGTGGTGGTGTGGGTGGAACTTGATATGAGAGTACGAAGAAAGTGGTAATGGGTAAGTGAATGAGTGGTTAGGTTGGTGGTGTATACGTGTGCGATACTCAGACCATGAAATTGACTCAAGTAAAAGTAACGAGAGAAAGTTGGGAAAGAGCCAGATTGAATAGACAATCTTCTGTCGAGTCGCACTTTCTCTTGGGGAAAATATATATATATATATATCAAAAAAATTGAATTCTACCATCTCATCCAATCCATGGGACTTACACTTCCTAGCTCTTCCCTCCTAAGTACGAATTCCACGGTCGACACTTCCTCTAAACCCAAACACAAAACGAATCAACGTCACGTATGTAACCACAGTCGATTTCAAAAGTTCTTCAATTAAAAAAAACGTAAATTTATCAACATCCACTCTTTGTAGCCAATGGTAACAAACACCCATATCCGGACTCCACGCTACTGAGTATCTTTGCGAGAACGCTACACGCTGAATCAGAATCGAAACCAAGGTTCAAACGCAACCTCCAAGCTGAAAATCCGCTCTATGTCGATGCAGATCCACGGATGCTTGTTTACATCATCATACTGCGTCGCCTCGACGCAGCTCTCTCCAAGACGGCCGACTTGGTGTCCCTAGAGACCGTATGCGTCTTCTTTGGATTTGAATCTGCTGGCGGAGGTTTCGCGGCGGAAGAAGAAGAAGTAGCTGTTCTCGTGCCTCCCACTGTTTCGCTCTTCGATACCAAGCCCGCTACAGATGAGTGTCTTCGAGCCGTTCGAGCTCGCGCAGATTCTACACGTGATTTTGGAAGTTCAGGTTTATCTGTCAGTGTCGCTGGCGAGGATTCAGTGAAGTCAAAAACTGCCAGTTCATCTTTCGGCGTGTTTCTGTCGTCTTTACTACTGTTGGGTTTTGGTTGTTGTTTTGGCTTGGTAGAATTGGATATCAGAGCTGATATCGTTGCTGCTGCACCAGTGGGCTTGATCGGGTTGCTCTCCGTCTTCTCGGAGTCTGGGAGTGGAGGAGCGGATGTGGTCTTATTGCTCAGAGGGCTCCTTTGCTCAGGCGCGCTCTGCGGAAGGCCTTCCCAATCATGCCTATCATCCTCTCGCTCGCGCTTAATTACCACAGTTCGCATCGAAGGCTTCTCTACCGTGACTGGGGCGGATGGCGCATCTTCGGGCTTGACCACAGAAGTAGTAGGTCGTGGCTCCTTCGTGATAACAGCGTCAACGAGCTCTTTCCCAGGACGACGCATCTTCACGTTCAGCTTGGGCTCTGCGTAGCTAACCGCAGGCCTTGACCTTCTCGAGCCGCGGCCGTTCAATTGTTGATCAATGCTTGTCCCATCCAAGTCTGCTGGAGGTGGAGTACCGTCTCTGCGGTCTGGCCGTTCGGTAGAAGCCTCCGTAGATGCAGGGGAAAAGATTTCGCCCACTCCAACCGGTGTTTTTGGAGGCAGATGTATCGTATCCAAAGCTATATCTACAATCTCCAGGACGGGTGCTTCGGTTATTCCAGAGCCATTTATACTAATGGGTTCATGATTTTCGTTCCCCTTGGGCGGCACCCGCACGTGTCTCTTCACGTCTTTGGCTAGCCTTCCGTCCTTCTTGCCAGTAACCACTTGCTTCTTAGGAGACGTTGAGTTTGTGCTCTCTATTTTGATATTAGTAACACTATAGACGATAGGCACTCTGTCACTTACTTGCACCCAGAATCTTCCGAGTCTGTTGTGGATTTGGCGGTGGTGCCGTATCAATGACTGGCTCAGCGGAAGTCTTGCGAATGTAATGGGAGTCATCGTTGGTCGCTATCCCTTGGACGGCCGTACCATCGTCTTCTCTGGCACTCAATTTGCGCTTTGAGCCCGTACGTGGTGGATCATTACTTTCGCTAACACTTCCTGCTTCACTGCTATCCCTATCGTCAATTGACGGCTCGAACATTGACTTCCTCCGGGATGAGCTATCTCTCCTCCTTCTGCGTGTCTCCAGGTTGGCAGGTAGTATATCAGCCATGTCTTGTACATCGTCGCCGTCCTCTAGTGCTGACACTCTACGATTTGTGACTGGCAGGTCGCACTTAATTGGGTCTTCATCTTGGAAGTGTGCTACTGGCGGAGGACCTAAGTCTGGTGATTCCATGGTGCCATTGATGAACAATCCTTTAATATCTTCAGCATCTAGAGTCCTGCGGGGATGATATTTGTCCTCCATGATGGTCGGCAGCAGACACTCTTCCGATTGTAATAAGGCGTTCCTCCAGTTCCGCTCATCCGGTGATTTCTTAGCGGCGACAGGTTGTGGTTTTGCTCTTGGAGCTCGAGTTGGCAGGCTTCCTAGGCCCGCTACTATTTGTCCGAGCTCGCGCATTTTGGCCTCTAGGAGGTTTCGTGTGGCAGCGAGATGTCCTATGGTTGGCCCTTGTTCATAATGCTCCAACTGACTCTGACTCTGAATGATCTGTTCGCGGAGGGAGAGATTCTCTGCAAGGAGCCGCGATATTTCTTGTTCGAGGGAGCGTATCCGAACGGATTGATTCGAGTTGCATCTTCTGTCGCATTAGCAGGAGCATTTGTAGGCTTATCAGTGACGCTCACTTTGCAAGTTCTCTATTTTGCCGGAGGAAGCGCCGTTTTACTGACCATGTTAGCATCCTGCACTGTCAAACATTATATGTAAACACTCACCAACTTCGACACTTTCCGAATTGCCAGGCGGCTCGTTAAGTCTGGCCATATGCGGCGAGAAATAGGTAAGATAATATGACTGAAGCTAAATGCTGAGGTTGTCCGGATATCTGGAGGCATATGGGTTGTTGTTGCCGGGCCTTGAAAGTGAAGTTGTTGCTTAGCCGAAAAAAGGGTCGAAGTAAACAAAACTACGGTAGGCTGTTAAAGCGTTGAGCGCAAGAGTGGCGCTTGGGCCATATGACATCCCCGCGGTCCGCCGACGCGTCTTCGTCTTTGTCGCGAGCAACTCGATAATCACATTGTATGCTGCAGCCGGCCATCGCCAACGTCTCGGTCACCTTGTATGCTGTTGCAGTCCATTACCAACTTCACGGGCAAGAGAGAATTGACGTCCTCTTGCAAATATGTCTTACGCAACTCGCCCAATCGGCTCACATGTCCGTGGCTCTTCTGTTGGCCATTCCTTGGGCGCCTCTGGCCAGTCTGCGGCTCTTGTTCAAAAGATTGAGGACAAAAAAGCTGAGCTTGCGGCGCTGAAGCAACTTCAGCAGCTAAGCGCAGGTGTAGCTGACCAGATGCAAATACTGGAGGAGAAACTGTCTACATTGGCTAATGGTACTGAAGGTAAGAGGGCTAGCTTTCTCAACTTTGCACATTAATTAAGACACAAAATACAGCTGTCGCCGCAGTACTTTCAAACTGGCATAACGTTCTGCGTGCCATTAATATGGCGTCTATGAAGCTACCTAAGCCGAAGAACACGGAAGAGCAAGAAGATGACGCCAAGAAAGAGGAGACACCGCTTCCACAAACTCTTGTGCGCATTCCCACCCAGTCGGCTGCCCTTCTGCCACAGTTGTCCTCGGGAGAAACCGCCGATTGAGAACGAATACGTGTTTCAAAGGAGTAGCGCCCGAGACATGCCCTCAAAGCACTATCTATGCACTTCAACGAGCACAGCAGCATGTGACGTGGGCTCTACTGTAGCCGCACATGGCAGCCAGTTGGTCGGGTGCGAACTAGCAAGGTACCGCGACTCGACATACATACATATGATGTATCACTGTTGGTGTACTGGAAGATAACGCGACCGATGAGCGGAGCGAGCTGCAGCGACCTGCTTGAACACAAACATGGTGTGGTACAAGACGGTATGGGAGATAGAGAGGAGCCCGAGCAGCCCTAGAATCATGCGCCTTTGTAGCCATACCTCATCTTTTCGAGGCCCTCGATGTCTATAGGTTTCAAGTGCCACCTCACCAATACGATGAGCAAATATATGACTGTTGTTGGTGTTAGCGATGTTTGAGCACGGACTCTATGTTACTCGAGTAGATTCACCTAGCGGAAGCACGCCCAACAGGCCTTCTCCTTCAGCCCATCCCGTCCGCCTCCCTTCAACGAAGGCTCTTAGGCCGAGTACTGTGCTCAGCGCGCCATTGAGAGCTACGATGTGTCTGTTGATGGGACCGTCATCGTCCTCGGCCCACTTTCCAAGTCGTAGTCCACCAGCCAAGGCTCTTCGCTTCTCTGCCGGCACGAGAGGTAGAAAGTATAGGATGTAGGCAGAGGCTAGAAGGCTGGAAATGGCAAGAATGGCAGACAAGAAACTCGAAGCAGAGCTCGGACGGTAGAGTGAAGGTAGATGGGCGAGAGCGGAGAAGAGAGGAATGGCGACGAAGGCAGTGGTGTAGAAGGTGGTAGAGGAATCGTCTTGCGACTGAAGAGACGTGATCAGCTGCTCTTGCTCCTCTTCATCAAGGTCGTGGTGGGAGGTATCTTGAAGGTCGTCGGTGGGGTAGGCGAAGGCGCGGCGAAGACGAGTTGATGGCATGGCTTAGGTGGTCGTACAGCTTTGCGCGACCAGCAAACTCGGAGTCTGGCAACAGAATGCTGATGGCCAAGTGTATAGGACGTATTAGCTGTTGAAAGGTATAGCTGTGTGATGTTGTTTCTGCACACCAACGTTAGCTATAGCTTGAGCTTCCGACAGATCCACCAGCACCACGCGAGTTAGACGTTAGTCCGGAGTGGCTAGGTGCCTATACTATGTAGCTATAGGTAGTTGCAGAATGCAGGCACCAAAGCAGTGCTGCGCTCTCCGATGATGTTGCTGATGGATGTGTTCTAGAAGCTTAAGCTTGCGACGTCGCTCAGACAGCGTGATGATATGTGGGACATGTGTCTGTCTGCGCGTTGGAGTAATTACTATAATAGTAGTTGATTATTACTGTGGCATATTCGATTGATCAAGCCACGCGCAGGGAAGGGAGCGGAGGCGGCGTTTCTCTGATTCTAGCGCTCCCGTTGGTTGATTAATGAGAAAGAAGGAAGAAAAGGTGGCCTGCCCTGGCTGCCCTGGCTGCCCATTAATTAGCGATAGAGCCCCGCCCGCCTGCCCGCCTGCCCGCCCCCAGCCAGCCAGCCAGCCAGCCAGCCCCCCAAAGCCAGCCCAGCCCAGGAGCCCAGAAGCCCATTTCTACCCAACAGTACTGGAGGTATTATAGCTAATTACTGTAGCTCCCTACAGCACCCACCCACACCTATTAACCTGGTGAACACACGACCAGCCAGGGATTTGGAGGGGGGAACTGTTGACCAACGGGCGCCGGGAGACGCCCCGACTAACCAATTCACTGCCCTGCAACTCTCCCACCGGTTGACCACTCTCCCACGCCAACGTCTGGCCGTGGCCTCACTTTCCCACTAAACCTAATTACCTCCACGCCTCTACCCACTCCACTCACTCCTACACTAATTACTACTACCACCATCATCATCCATCCACTAAACTTAACTCAACTTCAACTTCCCAGCTCTCACGGCATCCTTCCTCTGAGCCAAAACAATCCCGTCTTTGCTGCTCTCTGCTCACAGCAACACCATCCTCTTCTCTCTACACTCCTTTGTCACCGTCTTCTTCCCTTCTCTCTCCGACTGTGGCTTGCCTACCTCCGCACGCGGCGTTTTCGCCAGACTCGTTGCTCCCTATTACCTATCCTAGCAACTCCTCCTCACTCGCCTAATCCCATAATATTTCCTTCCTGCGACTCCGCCCTCGACATCATGTCCGCTGCGACCAACGCGGCCTCCATCAACGGTACCAATACCTCTTCATCCTCGCAATCCTTCAATGCTTCTGGAACAAAGGCACAACTGAAGATGAGCTCGAGCGGAAAAGCGTTGGACGGTTCGCGCAAGCAGGCTGGAAGTCCTATTGACAATGCGCAAAGGTGAGCTATTCCCACTACCATCACTCGTCCTCTCTGTCATTTGATCCCATTGGATCTATCCGTCGCTCATGCTTCCGATCGTCATTCAACCTTCTGGTCTTCGTTCATTTCTCTTTGTCGTTGCTGCGTGTCGTACATGCCTCAAGACCTGTCACATGCGTCTTGGGCGCGACATCAATCGATATGCAGTCCACAATAGCTCAGACTCGCTCATTCATCCAGACCATGTCCTTCGTCATACCCTTTAGCATGTCATCCCCTTGACAAGTAAGAAATTCGTTGTAACTGAACTGACAGTCATCTCACAGAAAGTCAACCCCCAAAGCTTGGACTGGCAACAACAATGCCATCACACAACGACCCTCAAATATGAGCACATCGAATGGCGTCGTAAGCAACACAAAGTCTCTTGCTGCTCCCAAAACAGCAGCACTACAGCCCACAGAGTCGAATTCTATCATAGCAGAGAAACACGCCGCCGACCGCATGTTGTTTCTCCTCGCAGGCTTCGTGGTAAGTCGCGTGTAGACCTATCCTGGTGCCCTTTTGCTGGATATGCCATTGCAGAGTGGCATCGTGGATACAAAATTCGTTGTCATAGGTAGCTGACATCTTGCTCAGGGCCATCATTCTTTCTTTACTCTCAAGAATGGAGACAAATACTCGGGCATATTCTCTGGTGCATCACTTGAAACTTCAGAATCGAGATATGTTTTCAAGATGGTCAAGCGCGTACAACAAGCCAATGGCAGCCCTGAACCTATCGACGAGTACATTGGTACCGGTGGTGATCACGTCATGTCCGTCGACATCGTCGACGTTGTAGATCTCGATGTTCAACAAGTCAAGCTTGATAGAATCCAGCCGCGTCAGCAAAACGGTGAGACACTCCCGCTCGATGTCACAAACGCCCACTAATCAATTACAGGAATATCTTCTTTCCAGACCGACTCCGACATCTCTGGTAACCTCGCTATCAAAGAGCGTGAGCTCAAGCCTTGGCAACCGGCAGACAATGCGGGTCCGGGTCTTTCCCTCGAGGACTCAGGTAAGCCATGGGATCAATTCGAAGCAAATGAGCGTCTTTACGGGATCAAGAGTACTTTCAACGAGAACGACTACACCACCGCTATTGACAAGAGCAATCCATTGTACAAACAACGCTTCGCGAATGCTGAGAGGATAGCGCGTGAGCTTGAGGGCTCTGCAGCTACTAGTGCTCACGTTGCTGAAGAGCGCGGGCTGACCACGCATGACGACAGCGGTCTAGATGAAGAAGACAAGTCAGTAGTATCTGTTATCCCAACACATGATGCCTTTACTTACACTTAACAGGTATAGCGGTGTACGTCGAGATTTCCCATCGCTCGCGTCTGGCCAGCCAAATAAATACACGCCGCCAGCTCGACGAGCCCCTACAGGTCAGCCTACGGTTCCAGGTGCACCTGTAGACCCTGCGATCATCTCTGCATCTATTGCTCGTCCTCCATCTACCACGACCTCACCGACCAAAGCTGACGAGGTTACTCCTCAGCTTCCTGTACCTGCTACGGACAAACCCGCGGAGACATTGAAACAAGCTGTCACTGCCGTACCGAGTGCAGGGGTCGCGAATGCAAGCACTTCACAGGATCCAAAGATCTCACCACCACAAGCTAGCGAGGCCAGCCAGAAACCTAGCGCAACTTTGAAGCCCACAGCCCCGGTAACAGCTCAGACGAACAAGTCCACGGCAAGAGTTGAGAATGCTACAGCCAATGTTGAGAATGAGTTGCTAAAATCTTTCAAGCAGTTCTCATCGAATGAGAAGTTTCGCATTCAAGAGCAGCAACGAAGCATGGCTCGTGCTGACAAGGCCGTTAAGCTCAACGATTTGAAGAAGTTCTCGGAGATGTTCAAACTACACACCCCTGTTCCACAAGACCTGGTTCCTATTCTAGCAAAGGATGAGTCTAAGCAACAAGAAATAGTAGAAAAGGCGCTGAAAAATGTCAATGAAGCCAAGACGACGCCAACAAAGCCCGCTACAGCTACTACTCTTGACACCAAAACACCACGAGCAACTCAAAACGTTACTTCACCAGTCGCCCAACCTGACAAGAGCAATGGTTCTCGTCAACAACGGCAGGGCCCAGGCAATTATCCTACTAGCTCTATGAGGGGGTCACATCATCAGAACGTACCCCGTTCCGGTGGTGGCCCCATGGGCCAACGATCATCCGTAACGGGCCAGCAGTACAAGGCTGGCACTATCCACATGCCGGCCTCTCAGCCTCAGCCCATCAACAACATTCACATTCCTTCCGGACCTTCGGCCACTTCAAGTGGCATCCAAACGCCTTCATCTGGCGTTTCTACGCGGTTCAACGTCAAGGCAATGGAATTCAAGCCGAACCCTGCTGCGAGTACATTCACACCTGGTGGTAATCCGAGCAATACATCCAGTCCGCGTGTGACTACACCAGCTCGCCCCGACTCTTCACGCAAGGTTGTTCTTACGAGCTTCTTCGGTGGCCAGAAACCCAAACTACCGTCCGATTCGTCCGTACTTGACACTGCCTTCAACCCCATCGAACGTATGAGGAAGGAGGCCGAGGCCGAAAAGAAGACCAAGGATTACGTCTTGAATGGCGGTATCCCACAAGCTTTCCGCACAGGTCCTTTGTGGGAGGTCCGTCCGGAAAACGCAGAGAAGAAATACGTCGACTGTTTTCAAGTCATGCAAACAGCCGCACAACCTATTGTCACCCACGGCCAGATGGGTGGACCTCACGTGCCCCATCAGCACCAGTTGCCGCATCATCTCCAGCAACAGATCCCAAATATGCCGCAACATCACACCCCGCATCATACTCCTAGGCACCCCCATGCGCAACCGCACCATGCTCAGGGAATGCCCCACTTCGAAGGGGGACATCCCATGCAATTCTCGGCCTCTCAGTCATCCATGCATCCTACTTCTCGTCCTGGACAGAATTACGGAGGGTATGGACCACAAATGCAACAAGGCATGCCTCCGGCCGCAGTCTTCCAGCAATCCATGCCGGGATACGGCATGAGCCCTAACATCCATCACCGTCAGCCGGGAGGGCCGCAATTTGTTCATCAGATGCCTGTCATGGGTGGACATGTCATGACACAAAACCCGTCACAAGGTCCTTACATGGTCCCTGGCAATCCCCAGGTCCAAATGTATACTCCACTTCCTGGTCAGGCCTATCCGCATCATGGAGGTCCTATGCCGATGCAGCCAGCACCTAACGGATTCTCAAGCCCGAGAGCACACGGAGCTCAAATGATGGCCCATCAAGGATCGCAACAGGGCCATCAGCCTCAACCACAGATCATGTACATGCAACCTGGTCAACATCAGATGATGCAAATGCCCCAAGGCCCAAGTATGAACTACCGCCACTATGCCAACAAACGACAAGCTAACAAGCCGGTAGTGAATACGCCACAGCGCCACTTCCAGCAGCTTCCTCAGATGCACTTCGGATCACCACATCAAAGTCACCCTTACCCCCAGCAGCCGCATCGTGGAACGCCTAGCGCAACCTACAGCCAGCCAATGATGCCCACACAGTCTCTTCCACCACATACTGGACCGTCCCCTCACGCTACCAATGGCGAAGAAGCCAAATGAATTGCCCTTTCATCACATCGAAATTGCCTGTTTCGGCTGCAGCGTCCAACACCGCATCGATCGCAGGACTGAGCGTTTTGGCCCAAACGACTCTCTGCACGGCTCGTCGCTGTACAACAGTGGCGTTGACTTCATTCGGCTTCTTTCGTCAAACTTCTTGTGCACGTGCCACACCCCCTTACTGTCTTTATATTGGTTGCTGTTGCATTTAGCGTACCTTGATCAAATCCGGACCTGTACCCGGTACGGCGTCTTCGGTGGCCATGGACGGCGTCCGCGTGTGTGTACCAACGGAAAAAAAAATGGCATCAGCGACTGGCGTTTTCTTTTATTTCTGCATCTCGGTCTCAAGCAGACTTATGGCCCCTCTCGACGCCAACGGTACAGCATAGGCTGAACCTCAGGTGTGTATTGATGGCCTTCCGAAATGAGGTAGGTCGTGCCTTGTCGTCGGCACGTGAGTAGGCATGGAAACATGAACAGGACAGTCGATGGGCTTGGGTGGTTGTTGTATCGGTGGAATGGGAAGATCGTTCGAACAAAGCCTGTCCAATAGGACGAGAAGGCTCTAAAATTAGTTTCAAGTAGAGCAGATCGCATGTTTCTTGGTCTAGATGAGTAGTCTAGACAGTAAATGCAGAAACGTGATGGCTCTTTACCGTGTTCCATTGTGATTTGGACCCTTTGTGTGTTGTTTAACGACCACATGCGTGATGAAGCACAAGCTTCTTCATACATCCTGTGTGGATGACCATCTCGCCGCTCAATGGTCCCTAGTTACTGATAGTTGTGTGTATCATAAACTCCATCGTTCTAAATCCAATGCCAAGTGATGCTACTAATTGATGAGAGAGCTAAGTAGGAGATGACCTACTCCACAGATACAACAAATACAGCATTCACTACCTATGTGCGAACAGTAGTAGCTGTGCAGCACGACGGAGTGAATCTGTTGTGAACGGACATGCAGTCATTGTTCATTGTCATAGTACTAGATTGCAGGCCCCCATATCAGGCCTTTTATCGCTCACTGCACCTAGCAGCACACACCATAACAGAAGAGCCCCCATGTCCCCGACGTCCAAAGGCAGAGCAACAACACGATCCCTCTCCAACCCCCATCCTCAGTGCCCAACCATCGCCTCCGCCCACTCAGGCAACCTCTTCCCCACCGTCTTCGCCCTATCCACAACCGCCCTCATCTCCTCCACCTCCGCCTGCGTCAAGTCAACCTCCCTACTCGCCCAATTCTCCTCCAGCCTGCCCACCTTCGTCGTCCCCGGAATCGCAATCATCCCCTGACTAGCCACCCAGGCAAGCGCCAGCTGCGCCACACTACACCCTTTCCGCGCCGCCAGCTTCCGCATCTCCGCCACGACAGCCTTGTTCTGCTCAAAGTTGCGGCCCTGGAATTTGGGCAGGGTGCGGCGGAAGTCGTCGGCGGCGAAGGCGTCTGGCGAGCTGTAGGCGAAGTTGTCGACGAGCCAGCCGTGGCCGAGCGGGGAGTAGGCGATGTAGGGGATGTCGAGTTCGCGTGCGGTGCTGATGAGGCCGTCGGTTTCGTGGATTGTCTCAAAGGCTGAGTATTCGGCTTGGATGGCGTCGATGCGGGCGACTTTTGTAGCGGGGAGGGTCATATGTTAGTTTTGATTTTGGGCAATTGTTGACGGGACATTTTGAGAAAGGGGGAAAGGTTTGGGGGGAGAAAAGGGGGAAAGGTTTGGGGGGAGAAAAGGGGGAATTGGCGCTTACTTGAGTTTGCCTTGCGCAGCGTTGCGGCGGAGCATTCGGAGAGGCCAATGTATTTTGTCTTGCCGGCCTTGCGGATCGTGTCGAGGGCGGAGATTGATTCTTCGAGAGGGGTGTCTGGGGGTGGTTAGTGTAACACGAACGGCGGGCAGGGAGTGCAAGAAGGGGTCAACGCACTCGGGTCGATGCGGTGGAGGTAGTAGAGGTCGGGAGCGAAGCCGAGTCTGTCAATGGTGCCGTCGATGTATTTCCGGATGTGCTTGGCCGAGTTCGTCAGCTGGCCGGAGCCGAAGCAGTCGAAGCCACACTTAGACGCGACTATGCCGGCACGCACGGTCAGCTTCATCGTATGAAGAGTCTTTTGAGAGAGGAGGGGGGCTGGGGCGAGTTGAGAGAAGGGGAAGGAGGAGCACGCAACTGAAGACCTTGTCTCGGACGTTGTGCTTGCGGATGAAGTCGCCGAGCAGCTTCTCGTTCATGCCGGCTCGGTACACGACCTGGCGGATCGTGTTAGTATCTTGCCCAGCCTCAAGATGGTCTCTATCGAATGACATACAGCCGTGTCCCAGAATGTGCATCCCAGCTCAATGGCCTTGAGGAGCACGGGTTCGGCCTGCTTGGGACTGAGATTGGTGCCACAGCCCATACTGATGCCCATGGCGCCAAACCCTGGGGAAGGGACGGTAATGCCACGGAATGGAATTGATTTCACCATGTTGATAAATTGCACGGATAAAGGGGGATAAGTTCTCTGACTGCATGCAATATAGATGGTGAGTCTAGTAAAGGCTCGTTTATAAAGTAGTATTCATTGTTGTTATAGGGGGAACTGGAAAGGGGATAGCGGAAGTAAAGCTTAAGACCGATCCTGAGGCAGCATCGCCAGGGCAGTGAAATGATATGCCCTCACGCTTCTTCACTGTTGTTAGGGCGTTCCACTGTTAGCAAGGGGTGGTGGTGGCGGGTGTGTGCAGCTTCAGTAGACTGCTGTTTCACTTGCCCAACGTTTTACCAATACCTGCCAGACTCAGTTGGAAAAATTCCTCGTCGAGTCTCCGACTGTGAAGTGAGCGGATTGGGACGTTAAATCCGGTGAGTGCGATCTCCAGCTGCCTGATGACGCTGCACGCAAGGATTGTGGTTACCCCCGACTCAGACACCACCGGCTGTTGGAATACTGCCTCGTAACGGGTATCGCGCAGGCCAACATCAAACACGATCAGAAATAAAAATGCTTCATATATATCGAATCTTATGACCCTTTTATCTGTCTGCTGATCGCTAGGACGGTATGTCTGCTGTCCGACATCTGCGGAAGAGTTTCCAGAACGCTCACTTCAATGGGATGGAGGAGTGTCATTCTAACAGCTAATTATCTGTCTAGTCTTCTCGGCTGGCCAATGGTGCATGGCAGGGCTCGTAGTCAAGGAGCCTTCGATTGTGATATTCAGGTCTCTGGGCCTCAGGAAGATCTTGCTTCATGTCGTTGGCCCTCGTCCTAACTACTAACTACAGAATCTCGATACATACTCGAGAATATCAGCCGGACTCTTAGGATACTTGAGTTTCTGGGTCGGTTCATCATAGCGCAAGAAACACTATCTCGAGGATCGATGCATGCCGAACACGAGGATTGAGGCCTGATGTCTCGTGGTATCATATTCAACCTGTCCGATTCATAGTATCCAAGTCGGAAAATTCTAAGCAAAGCCGAGGACTTGCCAGCATGATCTCCTACACATTCGATATCGCCCGTCTATCGCATCACGCTTTCAAAGACCAAAACCCGCCGTCTACAGCAGCTCCTGTCGGAAATAACCACGAGTCTGGGATATTGAAATTGAAGTTATTGAGCTGCATAGTGTCAGTCACATCACAATTCCTGGTCGGCCTTTCGTGGGCTTACCATGTCAAACGCATTCTCATCCGGCCATGCGTCACCCATCATGGTGTCAATTTGAGCTGGTACTACCATTTCACCTTCTCTTCCAGCGTTCATCTCCGCAAGCCTCGCTTTAAACACTGCAATACTCTCCGTCAAGCTCTTCTTTGCCGCCGCCAGTATCTTCTCTTCGATCTCACTCTGCTCGGCCCCGGCCTCCATGGCATCGATCTGCGCCTTGACACAATCCCACTTTAGCGCACCTTTAACGTTCGTCTCTGCCACTCTCGTCCGCTCTCGCAGCATCCTAGCATTCTCCTCCAGCATACCGTATAGTTCTCGCCGATTCGTCTCCTGTGCCGCAGAAGCCAAATATGACTGTTCTTCGAACTTGCTCATGATGTCCAGACTTATGAACAAAAAGCATAGGATGTACACATCCCTAAACATGCCACTACCAAGCAACTTGACCCGGTAGAACGAATATTTATCTGCAGGATCAGTCTGGGCACCGGCGATGAATACTGCGCACTCCATACAGACTTTGTGCGAGTAGTACAAATTTGCATTGTCAAATGACTGTAGTGCGAAGCCTGAGTGCAATGAGATCAGAAAGCGATGAGTGAGTAGATCGATGAGCTTGGTATGGAAGTCGCGTGGTGGTGTGGTTGCTTTGGCATAGATGCGGAAGAGCCGATGTATGGTACGGCATTGAGCTGAGAGATCGTTACCGAGCCGCGGGACGCCCTGATATGTGAGATCTTTGCGAAAGTCTGCGAGTTGGGTGGCAATCTCGAGACGGATGGGAAAGGTCTTGTTCAGCAAGACCAGCATGGATGTAGACGTATATTGGTCGAGGGGCTTTGTCGTGGGCATTTCGCGGCAATCTTCGGAAAGTTGCTCGTCGTCGATGTTGGAAGGACTCGCTGTATCATAGTCGTTGATGGAGAGGAGAGGGGAAGCAGCAGAGTCCATGGCGCCTTGAAGGTTGAGCTCGACAACAGTGGCCCAGAGTCGACGACGCATCTCAGATTGATAGACGGACATGCATGGTATGTGGCTAGGGTCGCGATGTAGTCCCATGTGTATAGCGGTTCGGAGAAGAGTTCCAGCAGACAGCCACGTCATGTCTCCCCCGATGCCGAGGGCCTGGCGAGCAATCAGCAGTAAGCAATGGATCTGGAGCCCTGCAATGTTTGTGCGAGGCTTCTCGTTGGGCGTGCTGAGCCATGCTTGAACTCGGTGTATCCACTGCGCGGCCACGAGCCTGCTGGCATGCGTTGTTTCGGCAAAGTCGACGAAGCAAGCACCTATCGACATCATTGCTAAGATTTTCATGAAAATGGGCGCACACGCCGTTTGCGGGTTGTCCCAGAACCTGGTGTAGTCTCTTCGGAAGGTCGGTACATGAACTACACGATAGACACCTTCGAAAGTTCTGAGATATGCAGTGACTAGTCGATCTACAATATCTTTCGGAGGCAGAATGGTATATAGTTCCGACGTGGCCATCACTGGCACATCAACCGGCCTCTTGATTTCCCTTGCGAGCTGTTTACACTGGCCAAGCAGACGCGGCACCTCCGCGTCTGGCTCGCGTTCTGCTTTGTGGTAGACACGTAGGATTAGACAGAACTAAGGACATGTTAAAAACCGATAGGTATTGAAGAACGTAGGACAAGTACCTTCTCGAGACAGCTACGCCAATGTCCTTGCGCGAAGAGTCGAGTCTTCTCGAATGTCCACCCAGCCGGCAACTCCTCGCTGGTGACATGATCTGGGAGGGGTTTCTTCTTTGCACGTTCCAACTCAAGGGCACCTGAAAGTTTCTTTTCAAGATCCTTGACGCCATCAATGAGAGCTTGATTAGCATTGGACCCATGTCCGTCCTGAGTTTCCTGAAGGTCCTTCGAGAATGTCGATAATTGCTCAAGTTTATCAAGAGCTGCTTGGAGTGCCGTCTCCGAGGTCCGACTTGACTGTGTTGTGTCACTGTGTTTATTTCTACTAAATATCATGGATGAGGTGATCTTGTGAAAATGATCGGCTGGAGCGTCATCTACATTCGAAGAGTTAGAGCGCGAAGAGCCAGGGTCAAGCTGAACACCTTGGCCAGTCTCCTCTATAGGGGCTGCGAAGCGTCAGTAAGAGTGTTGATTAGGCAGAAAAGCACACACAAGCGTGGCACAGATAGGGATCAAACAACTGTCTTCGCCAGATGCTGCCCCGAGACTTCACCGCAAGGTCATTAGCCACTGCTGGCTTGTCCCGAATTTGATCATCTCCGACTGAAGATATGCTTGTTGGCGGACTCAGAACGATCTGCTGTTGCGGCGTCTGATGCGGTGTCTCGTTCTTTCGAGCCGGGTGCTTCTCTGGAACCCTCTCATCCAGCGTAAATGTACACTGTCTTGTACAACCCATGCGAATACATTGATTACATGGTAAATTCCGATCGCACTTTACTTTACGAGAGCGGCAACGTGTACAGGCAAGTGCAGGACGTCGGCGTTTCTTGGGAGTGACAGAAGAGCTGGTCATGCTTGGATTAAGCGTATCTTGCATTATGTTCGAAGACAAGGAGGGAGATAACGCCACGGATGTATCTGGATTGTTTGCAACTATATCCCGTAACTCACGAATAGAGTTAGTCGAGTTCTGCATCTCGTCCGAGTTGATGTTGAAGCTGTATCGGGAAAATCTGTCGCGCTTTTCGGGGTATAGCTCTTTACTTGCCATAAGACTCGGGCTTTAAACAAGAAGACCTCGAGACATTCAGCCATACGCTCAAGATGCCAGTCTGTTAAACGACATACACTTCCAGCTGTCCTGAAGTGCACAAAATGTGCTATAAAGTTGTTTCCCGGCAAAATGGGGAAGAATCAGAATCAGATTACGTTCGGCGATTGACCAGATCGGGGCCAAATGCCAATACTTCGGTGTCGGAAGCCTACCCGATATCTCCGACCCTCGGACGTAGGGGCTTTCTCGTGTATGAAGAATGGAATGGCAAAATGCAGTGAAGAGAAATGCGCCCTCACATTTCATGATTCCACAGCCGCAATATCATTGTCATTACCGACGTCGATCAAACGTATATGAACTCTCGGTTGAAAGATTGGCAGTGACTGCTTTTAGCAAACGCAGTATACTGTATACATACATAAGAGAATCGTGTGAAACTTTCGATTCCCTATAGCCAACTTGAGCGGATAAGAAGAGCGTACCGGAGACAATGAATACGAAGTACAAGAGTCTGTATTCCGCTGGGTATCCACGCTGCTGTACACCTGACGCACTTTAGGACAACTTCACGATGGTCTGTCGGTATTAAAATAAGTGCTCTTGGAGCTGAAGAGCTAAAGTCACTAGATACTACCCCACAAAGGCAGGATCTATCTAGAAACGAACAGGTGGCAGCAGAGTTCCTATCAATCAGTTCAGTTCAACTTTGGGCCTCTAGTTGAACTGGACTGAAGTACTTCAATCCTAGCCGTCGTAGAATTAGATTAAACTATTAATCCTAGTAGTAGAATTAAAGTTAAACTAGACTAGACTAAAGTATATTAGTAAGATTAGCTAAAAGTCTTAAAGATAGATAAAATTTAGTGTTTTAAGGCTATATATCTATATTACCTATATAGTAATTCTTAATATAAGTAGGTAATAAGCTAAAAGGAGACTATATTCATATTATTAGTATATAGCTATTAGTATAGAGACTTTCTGTGGTACTTTATATAAGAGAGTAGAGGAAAAATCACGTGAGTTTCACGTGACTATCACGTGAAATCACGTGGCATATCATCTAATAGCCCACGCTTACCTAATATACCTAGGAGTCATATAATATATCATGTGATGCGTCATGTGATGCGTCACGTGACATAATATCACGTGACATGGTTCTGATGAATCTATCCGAATCACCTAAGCTCAAGAGGATATCTACTAATATACTATCTATATATAACTTCAGTTCAACTCAACTATTAGCAACTTAATCCTACCCTAGGATTGAATTGGACTGAGGATCCAACCCTTGGCAAGAGGCCTCAGTTGAACTGGACTGAGTCAATTCTGGAGAGGCAGAATTGAAGTTGGACTGATTGATAGGAACTCTGGGTGGCAGATAATAGCGCAACACAATACAATGCCAAGAGTTGTCCCCGTGAGCCTCAATTCTCTCTATCGTTAATCGAACTTGTACTTAGGCTAGTAATTAGTTTTTTACTTAAAGCCGACTGTTTCGTTATGTAAGAGCAGTCTCGCACTTCGGTTCCATAAGCCTCAGACAAAGTCTTTGCGCTTGAAACACCTAGGCTGTGGATTACTTCATCATTGTACAGCGACCATGTCATTACTCTGGCAGGTCAGGCACGGTATGCTCGGTCAAGCGGCCGATGCGGTGGGTGGATGCTTTCGTGGGGGACCTCCTAGATTGGCATAGGTAATACTATAACTAAACTTTGGACTATGGAGCTACATCTACCGCCGCTGGGTCCGTTGACTTTGGCACATATTGAGACTGTGCTTTCGAGGGATTTTACGTAGAGTATGGTGGCGTTGGACAAGGATTGACTTGTGATCGGTGCAGATATTCAATCTCATCATATGCCTGGTCGCTAGAGGACGTGCGTACCTAATTAGAGCGCAACTAATGCAATTAACTTCAACATACCTGCAGTCATGGAAAGAAAACGATGTGTTTCTGCAGTTGCGGATGAAATATACTGATATTTGTGTTCATACGTCCTTTCGAGTAATTCTTACTAATATAGCAAACGTTAAATTTTTACAGAAAAGTACCGGGACTTGACACGAAAACATCGTAGACTTTCAGGGGCTTGTAGTTCATGTCTGGCACATTTCTGACTTAGACGGCTATGCCGCATTCGCATGTCGGATGTACGATATCGTGGGCTCAGGTGACGGAAGTTGCCGATGGGATGGATCAAAGGACCAAGCAGCTAAAGAATGCTAGCTGAAGCTCAATGTCTTGGCTAACGACGCTTTGCGCGCATCTTGGAGTCGGCAAGACTCATGATGCCAAGCAGGATCTTGAACGTCATGCTGAGCTAGGTCATGCAGCTGGGATGGACGTTTCAAAATGGTTCTATTTTCGGAACTTCTCGTCTTACCTTGAATAATGCCTCATATAATGAGACATTAGTTTGTTCCCACGATATCTGCGCGAATAACAAAAAGATAGAATGAAACTGGTAGTTTCGCGACTGGCGCACGTTTCCTATGGGTGAGATTTATAAATTATCTTCGAGTTCATATTAAACTCTTTTCATAAGTTTATCGGCAACGCTCTACTATGCATTTCTTAACACCCTTCTTACTATGGTGGCTGCCACTAGCCTAGTCATCGCTGGTCGTAGACCCCAATTTCCGGAAACCGACCCAAACATAATACGAAACACCGTTACTCTACCAGTCGTAGAGAAGATTATCACTGCTCTTGAAGACCCAGAGCGCAAGTATCCAGATCTATGGAAAGAGGTCTTCTTTCAGGCCGGAATGTACGACGTCTGGGACCAGATTTGGACCGAAGTCATCCATGGGTTTGGGCGTATTCATCTACCGAAGTATTTGGAGAATAAAAAACCTACGTGTGATCCAAAAACGCTGGACAATCAGGCCGACTATGAGAAGGCTCTTATAGCGCAATTCAACGATCTTATTAAAAGTAGTAAAGAGGGTGGATACGGTGAAAAAGAATTCCAAGATGATTTCACGCACACAAACGGCTCTGCCCAGAGTTATGGATGTGATAAAGGCTGTAAGAAGCAGGCTGTGCACCTCAGCGATCTCATAGCCATTCAGGCCGCAATCATGGATTCATGTCGTGGCAACCCCGGTTATGTCATTATTGGGGAATGGCGTGCAGAGTATGGTGTAAAAAGGAGAAAAGAACACACGATGTGTCATATACATACACAATGGTGTTGAGTGCCTAACAATGTGTGAGTAGGCAGACGGTCTAGGGGAACTGAATACTGAAAACCTGTATTGCTTGAGCCTAATAATCAGATGCAAGAGGGATACTTTAAAAATATAGAGATGAAGAAAGACGTTTGCCTGTTACCCGTCCCATGCACTTCGAAATTGCAACCTCTGGGATACAATGTCTGTCAGATACTACATACTACAAGTGAAGAGGGCCGCCGCCTGCTAAGAGCCTAGAATAGACCAACCACGGCAAGCGACTCAGGAGTCTTGCAACGTTGATCTTTTCGTCGTCGTAGCAAAATGCACCTGAGTGGCTAAGCGATTACAATATACATAGCTGATCGCCCCGCTCGGCAGATGAGTTCGCGTTTATGCAAATAGTCGGTGGTAGCATGACCAGTCCTTAGCACCGCACCGGTGGTCTTAGAAAGGATTTCAGCAAGACTAGGGTGAGTCTGAAAGGAAGACACTGCACTACGAGTATCTGCCGTTCAGGCGCTTAACCGCGCGGTCTAAATGCCAGTATGTTCCTAGACTATCTAGACTCCAGGGCGGGAAAGTACGTACCTAGTAAGCCGTGAGTATCTACAAAGAAAGTTCTCGGCATTATTGGCCTAAAGGTCCCAAAGATCGTATGAGCTGGGTCGGCTCGAGTGATTTCGGGTTTTCGGACCGAAACCAAAGTCTTTGTACGATATTAGACGCATCGATGTGGTGTATGCAAGGTGAACAAAGCCTTTACCCAACAGAGTTTGGGTGCATCAATAACAGCCACTTAGGATCAGCGGTCCCAGCATGTAATAAAATAAGGGCACATCAATCGCGTTCATGTCCTGGTTTGGACAGATTTGGCGAGTGGACCGAGCAGAGCGTCCAAGGGAACAAGACAGCGGTCTCCCAACGTCTTTCCTGGGGGTGTTTGTGTGACGGAGAATCTGACGGAAGGATTGGACACATATCATTATGGCGCTGGTAATGGTCCCTTCACCCCCTGCCCTAGCCACGTGTCGACTACGGCTGCATGCGGGGTGGCTTGCATGATGCCGTGGGGACGAAGGAAGCGGAAATCCCCGCCTGTTTTCAGTGGCTCTCACTCTCGGCCTCGAACATGCCTCGGTGACGGGGCCGGGTGCGAAGGAGAAAGGGGCAAAGAGCGAGCGGCAAAGGGACGGCGCGAGCACACCGCCATCTTACCATGAGCAGCGTAGCAACTTAGGCTAGTCTTAGGGTCTATTCGAGGGTTGGGACATGGAATTAATGTGATTGTGTTGGAGGCCCGCCGGGATAGATAATTTGATGACAAGAGAAATTCCTGCATCGGCTCTTTCTCCACCATATGCGCCTAGACCCACACCAATAAAAACAACCGGTCTGCCATAGTAGTTCCTTGGCTCACGTATGAGGAGAGCAAGAGTTGTATTGGTATACGCGGCTCGTTGTTTGATCACGCCGCATTACGATATCTTATTCACTGTAGGATATGCTAGTTCCTGCGACTACACTTCATCACCTAAGCCTATAGGCCCTCGTCCAACCATATCCTTGATAGTCATCTTCACGTATTCATCCTCAGCTCCGGCAGTTATCGCAGACCAGCTCTTTTCTCGAGCCTGTCCCTGAATAGTCTCGTCGTCAAATGTGATTGTCGAGTTATCGGCGCGGACATGGCGGGAATAACCGCTAATATCGTCAAAATACACTAGCTTTTGCTCTGTACTTCCAAAACCTGCGGCTCTTGACTCGGCCGGTATCGAGTAGTAGGTAGCAGTGCCGTTCTGGTGAGTGCTTAGGGTACTTTCGCTTTGCAGATTGCTGTGACCGTATGATTCGTCGAGAAGAAACCAAAGTGCACCAGATGATTTCACATCTTTGCCGCGGTCCATGGTGGCCTGAAGAGTGAAATTGTCGCTGTCTGGGAACGACATGTAGCGAGACGCGACCATAATCGGGTAGCTGAACGAACTAGAGTATGGAGACAGGCGCTCGATATTTGAGGCGGCCATCCCATTGGTCTTCTGCATGTTCAACTGGTCGTTGCCTGAATTGCTGAAGTTGCCAACGTTAGAATATGTGACCCTTTGAGACCACGTCGCGCCGTACGTTCCACTTGAAGTTTGGATCGTCGCGCTTATGTCAAGAGAGCGGTCTACGTTTACGTGGTAGTCAAGCGTTGAATTCGTGCCGTTGGTCGCTTGGCCAACTTTTGAGGCTAGAGCTATGAGTGCTGGTGGAGATTGGATGATTGGGCCAGTCCCAGATGTAACGTAACCATCTTCGTCAGACCAAATGAAAATCTTTCCAGTCACGACCCAATTCGACGCAACTGTCTCAGTCAAGCGCGCATTTCCTTTCCCGTCATCGCTTATGCCTGCCACTCGGATCTCGAATCTATGCTTGCCACCGTCGCAAAGCAATGGCAGGAACGGCGTGATGTCGATCCCATCTTCAATCAAGTCGAATGCATCGATGCCTACAATCGGTCTCCAGAGGCCTGGAACGACACCACCGGTAAATATAACCGGGAACGGCCAAGTAATGCCCGCTATAATACCATCGATGAGCAGCTGTACTTCTCGGAATGGGGAGTATCCGTTGAGCGTCGTGCCGTTGAAAGTCGCTGTATCAGAAGAGAGAACGTTAGACCACCAGAACTCTTCGGCTGCTTGACCGCACGCAGATATGGAGAACACAGCTCGTCTGACGTTCTGTGGGAGCATTAAGTCATTAGTAGCTACGGCGTCTGGCACAATGAAAGCGCTTGGTTTGTCTACAGCCCCCTGACGAGCGGAAACAGGTATGATGAGGTCTGCAGCCTGCAAAGGTGAACTCTCCTTGAAAAACATGGCCGTAAGTGTGGTGTTGAATGGTGCAGTATAGACATCATTGATGAGATTTCCGAGATCAAAGATGATCCTCTGAGGCTCTTTGAAGAGCGCTAAAACGTGGCTCATGTCTTTCAAATATGTCCACTCGATGCCGGTCGATGTTGGCTCCGCAGTGGACAGTCGCCAAATCTCCGTATCGTTGAGATACATTAGTCCAAGCCGGTCGAATTGCCTCCCAGCGGAGGTCACAGTGAAGTTGAAGGTGACACGGTTGAAGTCACATAGCGGTGGTACATAATCGCCTGTGACAAGGTTACTAAGCTGCGAGAGTAATGGTTTTTTGAGATAGCATGTCATGAAAGACGTCAAACTAGTGAAAGATGCTTACCAAGGAATGGGTTACCATAGCTATTGGCAAATGAGTGTACCATCAATACCTGCGTACATAAGGCATCCACAGGTGTTTCAACTGGCGGCGATACCTGGAAGCACTCCAGTATGGCAGCGGCCGGAGTGGAAGCTCGCGCGGTGAGTACATTGAGCGAGGAAATGAATACAGTATTACCAGTAATGGATATAAGGTAGGTCATACAAACCAAAAAAGAGAATGCGGAAGCGAGGACCCAGTAACGCTGAAATGGATAATGGCTGGGTTGTGTCTGCTGCTGGTGTTCAGATCTCATCGGACGATGACCATGATGCTCGATGTTCTTTCCATCCAAGAAGATGACCATTCTGTCCAAACTCTTCCGTCCTGGATCCATACTAGATTAAGATCAAGCGAGCTTTTGGAGACTTGAAAAAACGTATAACGGTAAAGAAGAAAACGCTAATGATGATTACAATGATACGATGGCAGATACGAGACGTGCTAAAAGACGAACGCCTGGACCCCGCAGAATGATGCTACCGCTCTGAATGGTGGTGAAAGAGATGGAGTTGCGCCACTGAGATAACGCGGTTGCAGCCAGGTTCAAAGTCGCATCCCAAGGCTCCAGTAGAGACTGGATTCGCTGCTATTCTACCTCAGAGTAGAAGTCTGCACAGCAATCAACACGGCCGTTTGATCATTGACTCCTAGTATGGTAAGTCATATACAACGCGAGACAGGGCTTGTCACTACACACCTGCAATGGAATGCTTAAACAGATGAATGGGATATAATGTATTAGCCGTGTGAGCCGTACGTGTTCCAGTATCTCCGTATTGCTTGTCGCGCGAGCTCACTTTGCTCGAATCTTGCGCGATAGTAGTTGAATAGTGAGAACTCGTCTCTGGACAAGAGATAGCTCGCCGGGCGGGCGTTGAGTCGTGTCCAAAGTTCCTGTAGACAACTCTCGAGGAAGTGTGCAATATCTGGATGGATGCCTGTGTCGCTATTTCGTGCAATTTCGAGGGCCTGGGGCATTGAGAGGACGCCGTAGCCAATTATATACGGACTGTACCATCCCATCGCTGTCTGAGTGCAATGTAGGGGGGGATACTGTGATGCGATCGTCGCGGGCAGTGCTAGAGCGTGTAGGGAAGGCGGCAGGGACACTAGACAGGTATGCAGCGCTCTATTAACGACCACGACAGTGATTTGCGACAATGCCGGACAGAGAAGAAACAGACCACGACAAACAAACTCCACCGCCGGTTCGGGGACGAGGGCAAAGCGAATGCTATATAACACCCAGACAAGAAGAAGGATCCCAATTCCACGTGGAAGTCTACCAGGCTGATCCCGCCCATCTCGCTCGGACAAAGGAAAAAAGGTTTATGCCACCGGCTCAGGCGAAACTGCCCTTGGGCTTAGGTACCCACTCGGAGGAACAACAGATGGCTCGTTTCTGGTTGCAAACGGTTGTAATTCCACGCTTCATACAAAGGCTAGGATGCTTGCAATGCTAGGGACCCTCATCCTTGTATACCAAGCTCCTGTCGCCCCGGGTTCGCGTTGTTCACTAGCCTAGATATAGTCCATGATCATATATGACAATATGATATTAGCCGCTCTGAAAGTGACTAGGGACTAGAGGCCTGGGGAGTATCAGGGCTAATGTGCCCGTACTCTAAGCGTGCATAGCGGCTCGCCGAAGAAATGGGGTACAAGGTCTACTACTAACGTTATAATAGCATATACTTTTGTCTGCCGTATCGCACACAGGTCCTCCACTATGTTGAAGTCTCAACGGACTTCGGGTTGAGGCATAGGCATGTGCTCAAATTCAGCCGGGGACTGAGCAGGTCCAATATGAGGCCTGAAGACATGGCTGTTGATATGCTAGTCGGCAAGCGCGTTTGATGCCGTGTGCCTGTTCATTCTCCGAGTCGACGTCGGCGCAACAACGGGATCGCGTGAGAAGATTCTCGCAGGAGGCTGCAGGGGGAGCGTAAGAGGACCAGGGGCCTGTCGTGGGATGAAATAAGGTTACAGGATGCTGTGATTGTGGCACATTGGCATTCCGGGGCCAGCAGCATCAGCACCAGCGGAAGGACGTGGACAGCGACACTCAGACAAGACTGGTGCAAAGGCAAAAATGCAAAAGAGGCCATGCAACACAACGTTTCGCGCGCTTGTCCGAGGGCCGTGCTCCTGAGCGAGAGTGGATATCGAGTGGAGAAAGTGGCCTCCGAGGCTCCACCCAGTGACTCGGTTGATGCAGTTGATGCAAGGCGAACCAACAACGGGGCATCTGTCAGCTTGCTCCTTGTTGATCAAGTGAATCGTCTGCGCACTCGACAGGGAACTCCCTGGCTGTCACATCCGCTTGTGGTTTAGTATCAACGGGCCCCATGCAAACGGTTTGGTGGTCTTATGCAGAGAGTGTTTCATGGCACGAGAATCCATGCTTGCTACCTTATACATCAACGTGCTGTGTACAAGACTTTTATTACACCGGACTTGTCGGCGTGCTGAGGAGATGTATTCCTTTCAAGCTACCTTAGTATTTCGATAGTGAGTACATAGTAATTCAAGGGAACCCCGTTGATGGTGTTTTCTCTTTCATCTTTGCTGAACATCTGGTTGAAACTTATGTGCTGTGCGCCAAACTTAAGATTTCCAATAAGTCAGTCATCAACAGACTCATCAAGGGCAACATATGGGACAGACTGAGATATCATCAGATGCTAGGATGGCAGGGTGTGTTGAACTGAAGCTCCAGTATTATCATCTCCTCCCTAGTTTGCATCATCTCCGAGCAGGACATGGAGATGATAGACGGTATATGGGCGGGACATGGGCCCCCAGCGTAAGCTGCCCTGCAATATGATGTTGTGCTATGGTAAAGATGAACTGTATTGAAGTCGATGTGTGCATAATTTGAACAAACTCGACCCTTGTCTTATGAGTGCTATCGAGTGCGTACACAGTATTAGTAGTCGACAACAGCAATCCAAGGCTCAGGCTAACTGGACTCCCAGGGACTTGGCACAAGCTCTCTCCTTCTCTCCGACGTGCACCCCGCTTCTCCAGGTGTATTGATTCACTCTCTCGCATCTACCGAGAGTAGCGGTACGAGAACGAACCAGCCACACGGCACACGCCGCGGGACTCTTCTGCACTCTGGTGGGTCCATCACTACTGTTGAGACTTTAAAGAGAGACGTCACAGAACGTCTAGCCTTTTCCTTAACTCTGTAGCTCATTGCCCTACCTAGCCGCGCCTGCGCCGCACATCTTTCTTTTGGGCATGAATCCTGGAAGCATTTGGTGCTGGGCACCACCTTTTGGGAGTCTTCTCTCATCCTAGGATCCATCATCTCTCCCTCATTCAGTTTCGGTAACTCCCTCTATGATCATGATGGCTTCATCAGGTCCGTAGTTCCGTTTATGGCGCATAATAGCGCCATGTTTTCTTCCTAACGCGTGGAGAGCGGCCTCATTCAGCATTCGAAAGCCTTTCAACACAGCGAGCTTTCGCCTATTCAACTTACCAAGTCTCAGACATTACCGTTACTTAGGTGCCCTATCTGCTGTAGAAGTGGTAGTAGATATGGCCGTTCTACTGGCACTGAGATACAAGTGTGGCACTCTGGGCTCGCTGAATCCAGAATGGAAACCTTAATAAAGCCTTTTGCTGCCTACAACACAAATTGACGTACCCTTTCGGCTAGATTCAATCCCTTTCGCCTCGAACGAATCAAGAAAGATCACAGGTCCCTCTTTGAGAATTACCTTTAACCGCCGTCCCTCATGCAGACGACAAGGTGGGTGCAAGTAGAGTTTGGCCGCGTCAAGCGTAAGGTTCATACATTTATTACTTCATCACTCTATCTCACCAATGGTCGAATGCGAGGGTAATTCAAGACAACCAATCTCTTCTGATTGGCAAAGACCAGTTATAAGACGCAGATATCGCCGTGGGTTGCTGTCCTATTTCTTCCTTCCTTATGGTGTCCTCAGACAGTTCTGGCGCATCCGCAATCTTCATATCATGATTCTACAAATTGTTGAATTTCGCCGCATATGCAAAGAGCCAGCGACTCGCCTGGGTTCTTGTCGTTCAGAGTATTTACGGTGCCATGTGCCATGATACAAAGTCAAATGGAGGCCTTCCAAGCTCCGCAAAAGGTTCCACCAGTTTGCAAGACATGCTGAAATTTTCCCGATACCAACCCACGTAGGGTCCCAGGCGTTATTATGTGCTCCATGAAATGGCAGGATTCGTGTGTGCACATTGCTAAGCGACATCGTGACTCGCATTTAGGAAAGAATAGATAATCGGTGTGCCATTCCTGGAAGGCGTTAGAGATCATTCCGCTATTTTAGATGAGTATATTTTTGCTCATCCAGTTACGCTACGTGAGCGAAACAACCTGAGTATTGCGGACCCTAACTGTATTATGGTTGCTTCTGAAACGGTGCGCAACATCCTTTGCGCACAAGCTCGTTCGAAGCATGGATCTCGGAAATTGACAAGACTGTGTGATGACTTCGCCAGAAAACCAGCATGCCCTTGCTATGCAGCCCCAATATATACGTGGTATGCATGCCTGGACGCGCTCTGCTTTCCATCATGGGTCACAGACCTGGTCACATGGACACCGTGCCAAGAAAGAGGCCACATATATGTCGTGCATACTAGGTATAAGGTGAGCATCACCTGTCGTATGGTAATATTACCGTATCGACAGTTGCCCGTCAGTTTTTAGCGAGGGAGTTTCCGGGGCACTGTGCTACAGTCTCATCTTGATCGATCCAGTCTTTTACAAATCACGGACTTACAATTGCGCGCTGCGCACTTTTTATCTCGATACCATGGATGCAAGGAATGGGTTGTCCTGGAACTGGAGACGAACTTAGAGCCGATAAGAGAGGAAACTGTGCACTAAAGAGATTTCCGTGTAGTTTCTCTTGATATGGGTGTTACAGTTATTCCTAAGGTGCATTCGGTACCACTCGGTAACCGACCAAGTAGCAAAGCTGGGATAATTGAGAGTCATTGACTTTGCCCTGCTTGGTTTGCCATCTCATTTCGTGGTTGGTGAGCCAGCTACTCAACGCAACGCATGGTGATGCTCTCTTCGCCATCTCATGACGGTATTACTGCGACGCATTCTGGGTAACGGTCTCGCTGTAATGATGCTTGCCTGTATGACTACTTGGAGTCAGCACAATCGACTTGATTCCGCGATTCCTTAGTTGGCGTTATGATGCCGCGTTTTATATAATGTCCCAAGAGTGTTAACAGAGGAACCCGACATATCGTATTTCCTGGGCGCGTGAGACTAAAACCCAAGATATGAGGCCACCTTTGCTGGTACACGGCCGGAGACTGTAGACAGACACGACTTACGGTGCTTTTGCTTGTGAAAGTCACATCTCATATATCGAATATAGTAGACGGCAGATGGATATACGACGCGCGGGCGGCGCGTCCACTTCATTGCTCTTCGAGAACTGCCCAGTTTTGGTTCCCGGATGACGTTCGTCTTGGCGTTACTTCCCCTAAACCTGTCCTCTAAAATAAGTAGGACCAGAAACGTGGGCACGCGAGAGCATCGACTTCATCACATGTTATTTTTCTTTCACGAACCCCTTTTGTCGTATATCTATTTGACCTTTTCAATCGCAAAGTCTTGTCCTCTACGACCTACAATTGTCACTCGTCCGTCCTCGGAAGCCTGCGCTCAAAGGTAGCGCTGTCTGAGGCTTTATCTCCCCCTTGAGCAACTACTATTACATCCAGCAGAGAACAATTGCACACCTCCATCCACCTACATTTGCCAATTCATCTCCCTTCCAGCGTACGTTAAAAGATGCCTCCGAAACGAAAACGGGCGAACACTGCGGCCTCGACTCGATCAGCTCGGTCGATAAGAGATGCCGTGCTGGATGTAGCGCAACCATCATCGAGGGACGCCTCGGAAGAAGATGCACAAGACCTGGTGCTACAGGATGTCAGTCAAAGGAAGTCAGATCAGGTCAATCCGTCGAAGCGTTCACGGTCTGCCAATGTCGATGCACCGTCTGAAGACGCCGAAGATGCTGATGCTGACGATGATGATACTGCCCCTAAGAGACAGAGAAAGAACACTGGTCCGTCCCTGCGGGACATGGAGGAAATCCTAGAGCACGGTGAGAACGGCGAGCGAGGTACCATGGGAATGACGCCTCCGCCGAAGGCTGGCACCGTGGACCCAGTGGGATATAAGACAAATCCACCGCCGAAAGGACGTCCTGTTCGTATATACGCTGATGGAGTTTTCGACTTGTTCCATCTTGGACATATGAGGGTATTGCAACAAGCCAAGACTGCGTTCCCTGAAGTTCACTTGATCGTCGGAGTCACTGGTGACAAGGAGACGCATAGACGAAAGGGTTTGACAGTTCTATCAGCAAAAGAGCGCGCAGAGAGCGTCCGCCACTGCAAGTGGGTGGATGAGGTAGTCGAAGACTGCCCCTGGGTCATCACTGATGCCCCAGGCTTTCTAGAGAAGCATAAAATTGATTACGTAGCGCATGATGATCTACCCTACGGTGCAGACGAAGGCGATGACATCTACGCTCCTATAAAGCAGAAGGGTATGTTCTTGGTCACCGCCAGGACAGAGGGCGTTAGCACAACTGGCATCATTACAAAGTACCACTCTCGTTATTGCCAATACATAGTTAAACTTTACTAATGATTGAACTTAGAATCGTCAAAGATTACGACAAGTACATCTCGCGGCAGCTCAAGAGAGGAACACCGCGTCAAGAACTTAACGTGTCCTGGTTGAAGATGAACGAACTCGAGATCAAGCGCACGATGTCCGACCTGAGGAACAATATAAAGAGTAATTGGACAAATACTGGCTCTGAAGTCGGACGGGAGCTTCGGCAGTTCTGGTCCTCTCAGATCAGTCGCCCAGCCAGTCCTGCAAGGCCTTCAGCAGAGCTTGGCAATGGCGACTTGATGCCTTCGCCCAGGAATGCTGCTCTTGCCAATATCAGCCGCCTCGACATTCCTAGAAATCCTGGTGGTGCCCAATCTTCAGACTTCGTTGCAGGTTACAGTCTTGGCTTGATAGGTGGAGTCCGCTCTTGGGTACGTTATCTTGGCCCCTATTGGAACGCCACTAACAGTTTGAATCAGATGTCGCGCAATCGTCGTACACTCAACGAAAGCCGGCCTGAAAGCCCAACAAGTGATGACAGCTCTGGAGACCGCAGCCCCCATGCTGAGCCTTCACGTGGTAGACCAGGCAAGCGTGTACAGGACCAGGTACATGCGTAACTCGGCGACAAAGCATGAGATCCGCCAGAAACACCCTCTCATCCCGTTTGGCGTGGTCAGGACTGTTTGCCTCCATCGTGTGAACACGATGAACACTCTACCGACGTATTGCTTGGTTGGGCGCACGGTGCGACCAAGCAAAGTAAGACTCTTACTCAATCCAGCAATTATTTTGTACAGCAAACCTGTCGGACCGTCCTAAATCATCACCCTAACACGCCTCGCTACATTTCCGTTTCCTATCGATTGAAGAATAATTAGAGTTGTCTACGAATTGTAATCTGCTGAAAAAATAGACCGCATTTCCATTTCCCTCATCTGTTGTCACTTTCTTGTTCAATTTGGCTGCGTCAGTGATGCTGAGACGGATGATCACGGAGCCCGATCGACCTGATTCTCTCCCATTGAGTGAAGCAGATTGCTAGCAACTTCGTCGAGCAATCAGAAGCGTTATCCAAAATTGCCTGCCAACAAGCTGTCCAACACGCTGTCCAACAAGCTGTTTGAATGGCATACAGACAGTCGCGGAGGCGGCCGTTCTGCCGGCCATGGTCGAAAGCTTCACTCTTGTTTCGCGATGTTGGTAATTATATGACTGCAAGCGTCATTTGCTTTACATACCAACCAATATTCACCTCAACAGACCCGTCCAGCAATATCTTTAGCTATAATCACTCTACTCGCATCAGGACGCCTCTCCACACAATATAAGGTGCCTTCAAATACCGGATCGTTCTTTTCGTGCTCACGCCCCGGAGCTATCACAAAGTCCTGGCATATCTTGCCAAGAAATCCAAGGATCTTCAGCGTGTACAATTCCGTATATTCACGTCATCGACTTAGCCCATGTGTGTCATTTACTACATGCTGCACACCTGTGGATGTCCTCCGCAACCAGCCTTCAACGGGAGACATGGTCTTCAAACCCTATGTCAGACTGCTGTCACGCAAGGTCAGGCATGTCCACCTGGCATCAGGAATGAATCGATGACGTGGTCGGGAACGCTGTGTGGGATGTGTCAGCAAACTCGAAGAGAGCGTATGATGAATCAAAGATTCACAGGATACGGAGGTTCTTATGGAGCCTGGGCTTATTCAGCAAACAGGAGTGTACCAGGATGGGCAAGGTGGAGAGTCTGAAGGAAAGATGATTATATGTGGCGGCATTCTCTTTAAATGATAATATTTTAATCACGAAGCGTGGACAAGGCAAGCATTTAGGCTGTGGAAAGTGTTTAGCATTAAAGGCCTCGTTCCTAGGCGTTCGTAATCAGCCATGAATAACAATCGCACCCCGTCAACAGAGTATCCGTGATATTGGCTACGTATCGTGGCCGTTGACGCTACCCACAGGATCTAAGATAGGTAGGTAGCATATGTTATGTCATCTGCGAATTTTCACCGCGCGACGTCACCAACATCATCACAGTGTTTGCTTCGAGATCTGTTGTGTAAACACAGGCGTGACTGCAAATTTCCATCTATGATAGCCCTGTTTTGTCTCGCTGCCACGGTGTCATGACTATGATGCATTGTAGCCGGGAAAACTAGGTCTGCAGTTTTCATAAATTCAGGCTGTACAAGGGGTTCGTGAAGAATTTTCAGACTTCTCAGGAACTTTGGTCTCGGAATGCCGGTACCAGCTCCAGGACTGCGCCACTGCGACATATTCTGTAGCGTATCCAGTGGGTGAGAGAAATCCTCAGCCAGGTGACAATTAACGCACACGTGATGTACAGCACTTGTCGTGAGAGTGAAGTATTAGGTCATACGCAGAAGAACCTGCCAGGCAGGTAAGGCAAGAAGAAGTTTGCAAAGACAAGATATTTGAACACACTGCAGGATGATATATCATGAACAGTGCGAGATATCTTGCTAATGCTTGACTCGACAAGACATTAGGAATGACTCCGACTGGACGCTGTAGGATGAATGTCACCACCTTCCAAGCCGCCGGGGTGTCACCGGTATTATTTATGCTTTTCGAATAAGAATTTGCAGCATGCTTTGGCGAGACCGAACAACATACAATGCAGGCGATGCCCTGTCGTCGAAAGTTTAACAGGGAATAAGTCAAAACCTGACTCTCGTAGAGAGGCGATTCGAATGTTCCGGTTGTCTGGACAAGCTCGTTGCTCAGTATTTGAAGCCAAATCCGAACGGCAATTCATGTCGGATATTATCATGGAGTAGGCGTGGTCGGACAGATATCACGATGTTGTGTGTATTCTCCGCCGTGGTTGGAGGAGGTAATTACTGTGTACAGGCTGACGAAGGGATTCACACACGATGAGACCATTCCCGAGATGGCGATAGTTTCTGCGGCTATCAAGCTCCGAGCACGATCGTATGCATTGGACAGCACACCGCTCTGGACTTTTCTTGCAGACATGGCCTGTAGAGTTCACTGGGTGGCATGACCGTCGTCGAGACGCAGCTGGGTCGATGCAGGCGGCAACTCTGTTCGTGAGCCTCTTGTCGCTATCATGATGACTGCACAAGTCTATGTTGAACTTGACAGCTGTCGCAAGCGTAGGAGAGGAGACATCTGTCATAATGGTAAGCAAAACGGTGGTGGTGGCATTACCTAGAAGAGGACCTGGATCACTCAGTGCCACCGCCCTTCTCCATCCGCGGCAAATATGAATCTCTACCGTCCACGATGGATGCGCGATGCACGATGCACGATGCATCATGCACCATGGATCATGCCACACCATGTTGGCCTCACTTTTTATCGCCTTCACCCACTGGTCTGCAGCATTTTGCTCGCTCTCACCGCTACGAGGAAGCACTTTGATGGGCTTCTGGGAGCCGTACAAAGACTCCGCTTCAGCCAGTAATAAGTCACTACGACTAAGCAGACTCCATGTTGAGCAACTTCAAGTATCCATGAGACAGCATCCGGATTACCCGAATAGAGGCGACTGAAGTAGCATCTCACTAAGGCAGGCAACCAACCGGAAACGTGAGCTTGATTGACTTGACTGAATGAATCTTCCTGTCGCCGAGGAGACACGCATAGATGGATAGATGCACAGATGCCAGGACGTCCTCTTGAGTTATCGACGAGGCGCTGGAAAGTTTTAATATATACACAGTGAATGTGTATTATCATCATTCACGAGCACCAAATTTAATTTCCCAGCAAAACGAGGATCCACAGTCTCCACATCTACTAACGTCCTAGCACAGGTACCATGCTGCTGGAAATGCTTATTTTGAACTGGGGACAAAAAGCCTCCGTATAATTAATTACAGTAGCAATACTGTAGTCTGTAGGCTATTAGATGTCCATTATCCATGGAATATTTCATCATATTCGTCACAATTTATCTGCTTTGCTGACCTCCTTCTTCCCTCGCCTTACCGCTTTCATCGTTGCCTTTCTTTCCACTTCAAAGGGGGGGAGCCGAGCCGAGAAAACAATAACGTGGTATTATTATTATTACTATTATCATTATTATCATCATTATTATTCCATTGTCATCATCTTCATTATTATTAGTATTGTTGTTATTATCATCATCTTCATCATCATCATCCTCCCGCCGAGGCCCTGCTCTGCATCCTTCGTCTTTCATATCACCTCAGCCCGCTCTTTCACAATTCTCTCAAGTCTCACTTCTGCGACACTGCAACGCCCGGACCGTAATACAGTCCACATCCTTCTTCTCACTGCTGCTACTGTGTCCGTTTGTCACTACAGTATAGCCTTTCCTCAATTCTCTCGATATCTTTCATCCAGCTGCAAACTGTCGCGACGTTGATCTCTTCCCGATTGCTTTTCACAGCGTCTTGCACTATTACTTGTCCCTCACATCACGTTCAAGTCGCATCCCTCGACTAATGCTTGCGACCAACCACCTGGTTCTGCTTGCAGAGTAACTATGCGCCTACTTGTATCGTCACTCAAATCGTTCCCCTGCCCGAACTATTCACATAGCGCATCTTCGCAATCCCTCTTCCCTCGACGGTCCGCGTGTTCTCGTCACAGTCACACCCCAGCGGGCATCACAACCCCCGCAAGTTTGCTTTCACCCGTCCACGACGGCCGCACCGCAGACGCTGGGTTATCGCTCGCCATTTCTGCGCGAACCACGTTTCTATCACTGCTGTGAATTTGCAAACTTGTGACCAGAGCTCGACTGGTGGTTTGGATTTGACGTGACTGATCGTGTGAACATAGAGCGCTTCCGCTGTTCAAGAAGGACCCGCACAGCCGCTCATTGCTTTCGCACTTTTATCACTTTCCCCACAGTTCTAAGAGTCAATACACAGACTATACAAAAAAAAATGAACCAAAAAGCTCGGCAAAGATCGCCTCGAGGGAATTCAGTACATCGCGAGGCATCTGTTGAGCATTCTCCGCGCCGGCAATGTCGTGAGCCATCACCAGTGGGTTCGTCCTCGTCTCCTATGCGGCGAGATGGTCAATGTACGCGTCACCCAGTCACGAGGAAAGGCAGTGGCGGCAGATCGCGCAAGAAACAAGAACGAAGGAGACGCGCGAATTCTCCGCCAGACAGGAATTCGATACAAGATGAGGGACGACTGCCATGGACCGACTATCTCTGTGGCGAGATGACGGATAATCAGGTGCTCGCCCAACTCGGCCGAATCATCGACGAAGAAGGACCAAAGAGAACGAGCACGGATATAGGCGTAACGCTGGGCAGCTGCTTTGTCGCCGTAGGGGGACTTCACCCGCCCATCACAAAGAAGTCACTCAGCGAACTCGATATCAACGCAATCATCGTCAACCCGAAATTACGCCACGATGTCAACTTTGATCGTGAACTTCACTTTCGACCAAATCTGGACGGGGACCGGGGAAAAGAGAAGATTCGCGAAGCGGAAAGGTACTGGCTGGCGTTGGAAGCAGAATTGGAGCTCTACAACATCCTTTTTCAGAGGGCTGTTATAGAACGAGAACCTATCTGGCTCCCGAGATGCACCAAAATGAGCATGCGACGGGTGCCAATCATGTTCGAAACCATCAGAGATATCTTGCAGAATCTGGTCCCGGAACGTGACCAGGCGAGAATAGAGGAGCAATTAGATCAACAGATGTTGATGCAGCAAATCGGAAAAGGCCTATGCGATCTGGTTAGTCTTTCACAATGGCTCTCGCATCTTCTGAAAGCTCATTGCGCACCAATGCGCGATGTTTGGGTGGATAAGATGGTTCAGCAGACGAAGAAAGGCGTCGAGGAAGGAAGCGCAAAGTGTATTGTGGATGGGTTGAGGGAGCTGCTTGGCATACTGGAGGCAATGAAGCTGGTAAGCCTGCATGTGACATCCAAACTGTCGATACCTGTTTGACTGACCGTATTTGCAGGACGTAGCTAATCACCAGATTCGCCATCTTCGAGCTTTACTGATAGATGACACGGTGAATTTTGAAAGAAAGTATCAGGTAAATCGAATCCCGATTCCAAAGAAAATCAATGCTGCTGAATGTCGAGCTTGGTATGCGCGTGCACAAAAAGGACATCAGTACGGCTTACCCCCTTCGGCGACATTATACCCGCGTGCTCCTAGATTGGCGACATCACAACCACATTTCGTTGCCTTTTACCGTGCTCTCTTGCACCATCTCCTAGTCGAGTGTCCAGCATCACGTCCAGACTCATTCTATTTAGATACAGAACGCCTTCGTATCATCCAGTCAGAGTTACACAATCAGGTGTATTTTGACCTTTGCTGCGCGGTGTTTCAGGTTATCATCGATGACATTGTCAAATGTTGCTTAAATTCACAGCCTGTGGTCCAGCATTTGAGTCTCTCTGCATTGAGGACTGCACTTCTCACCATAATATCTGGGGTAGGAGAGGCCACGAAACAATGGCAGAAGAATATTCCTAACCTCGCTGTCGAAATCGTACGACATGCGCTTGCGGCATGTGGCTTTACGAAGCAGTACGACGCCGGGTTGGTTACCATTGCAGAACAGCTGCTTACTGAGAAGTTTGGATCTCACTTCCCAAACTATTTTGAACTCCAAGCCCTGAAGTTGATGGGCGATTTCTTTCCCGTTTGCCTGGAGATTGCCGAACGACACATCAGCGCCAGCCCAATCGACCTCTTCAACGCTCTCATAGCACCATCATCCTTGCCATTGATGGTAGTGCCACCACCTCCACCGCCGCCGGTCGTGTCATCGAAACATGCCCTCCAACACTCTGCTAAGGCAGCTTCTCATGCTTCGAGTCAACGAAATTTACCTCTATCGTTATTGCCGTCTCCTGTGCAGCCTTCGACAGCTCCACCTCATCTGATCGATATTGCACGCAGGTTGACCCACATTGCCATCTTGCACTGGCAAGTTTGGGCACCAATCCTTTATCTCAAGATTGATGAGCCTGAGCTTCCAAGTCTGTCGTCCAACAATGCGTCCAGCACAACTTCCAGCTGTGCCTCAACACCCATCAGCTCACAGGCCACGCACACATTCCCATTGGCAGTCCGCACGCGTAGCGCAACTGTAGATGCCCACACCCTACAAGCCCCAGCAAGTGCCTCCGCGTCAGACGTTGACAGTAGCAAGCCGCTCCGCACACCCGGGGTTACCACCGATGCTGCAAACATGGCTTCGGGTCCAGGAGAGCCCGGAGAAAACGCACATCACACACATCAGCAACTACTCCCAGAATGACCAGCTTCTCGAACCTCGACATCATTCCCGGTCGCGGTTTCCTTGTACATAGATCCAAGATCGACACCACAACGAATTTCCTTTGTCGTGCATAGCGTAGATACCTCATTTTCATTTACTGCATTCTGTTTCGGTATCTCATCATTTCATACTATTTCTGTTCCACAACATCTTTCCAGGGGTTTCTCTCATACGACATCTGTAAATCACGCATGTTTTACCAGTCGGCTTTACACACTAGATTGGCGTTTGGGTCCTGGCTCGTCCCGGCTGCATAGTCGTAGGTGTACAGCTTACACCATTGTAATACCCCTGTTCTCATTTTCTGTTCCCTCTCTTTCAGCTATTCAAAATTGCATTTTAGCGCGCGGATGTGATTGATGGGTTAGAGCCTAGGGCGGCGGACAGCGTTTGCTGTAACGATTAGTTTGTTTGCTTTGTGCAACGCTCAATTCGCGGGGGAATAATAGTCCAGATTGCTGTTGCGCATGAATTGAGTTGTCTGTGGGAAGTGCTTGTTGGGCTTGTGGGAGGAAGATGTATGGCACAATTATACAGTCATGAGTTGCGTACAAGGCGGAGTGCATTGGTTATTTGTCTGCCGCTGGACCATAGGGCTCGGACACAGCCAGCCAGTAATATATTAAATATATCGTCCCAACAAGTCATGCCGTGAGGATGTGAGGGAGCTTTCCAGGGCACGAACACCAGGATCACTAACGTTGGCCTGCATGATCGCTGGACCCCGGCCAGTAGTAGGATCGGGCAAACTGGAAGAGACTGTCTGTGATTTGGGCCGTATAAATGATGGTTTGGTCTAGGCTAAGTTGTAGTGCTGAGGGGGAGGCGAAGTGTATTTTTTTGCTTCTTAGCAACATCGTCATCATCATCATCATCATCATCATCATTATAGCTTCTGTTTCTTGCAATGAACGTGCCCGAAGACAACTCGGCATGATGTACTCGAGAGCCACGTAAGGTTTTGTGTCTGGATCTTTGGTCAAGCACTGCTGGGAGATAGCCTTCCCGGAACTTCGACGTCTAAGAGTGTAGTAGGTATATGTACTGTGAATGCCTCAGTCCTAGATTGTCTTCCGGGCCCTTAATTAGCCACAGCCCCGCCAACAGCTGTCACTGTGCACGCTGCCCACTGCTTACCCCTCACCGCGCCTACCCAATCCGCTGTGTGTCCCAAACATTGCACTTGCATTCCGAGGACTTTTTGGTTTTGACCTTCTTTCTCTTCTTCAGCTAGGTACTCTCACTCAACATACACTTACATTGTACGTCAAAGATAGCTTAGGAGCCCGATCTTCGACGATTGAAATCTCGCTTGCCGCCATCATCTTGCCTCAGGCCCGAACATTCACAAGTACGCCCAAGTGCCCAGCAGGCGAGCCCGGGGTGCTAGGACCTATCCGTACCCTAGCGAACAACGACAACAAGCCAAAAGACTTTGGGCAGCAAGAGCAGAAGACGCATCGACCGAAGCACGAACAAAGCAGTTCACGGAATCTTACGCATATATATACGCAGCCCGATACCGCGACCTTGACACTCCGCTATACCCTCGACCGCTCCTCGAAAACCTCCGTATATTTGGGTCGTGACAAGACTCTTTTACTCACAGTGTCCTGTAGAGACGTTCTTTGACTGTCTAACAAGACTGCCCATTAACACGATAATACGCATACATTCGAGAAGGGTTCTAGCAAGAGCGCGAAGAAGAAGCACACCATGAATCCGCATCAGCAGAACAAGGTGGATATCAGCGTACGTTGACTCTATCTACTTCACTTCCTCGCAGAAGAATTCTGTACTTCTATGTCGAAACGGCGAAGTAATGCTTTGTGTACATTAACTGCTGATCCTCGAGGATTGGAGCCCGGTGATGTTTTAGAGTTGTAGTAGCATACTGGCTCGAGTCAAGCTAACAACCTGCAGAGCCTATCTCCCGATGAGCAGCGCCTGTTCCGTCTATATGGCAAGTTGCCAAACAAGAAAGACTTGCTCCAGAACAAGCTCAAGGTCCGTTACTAACTCAGTCTCTCTCACCCCTCCTTCAAGACCTTCTTTCCCCTCAATTCCAACCTCCCATTCCTCCATATCCAACTAAACTCTTACCAGGAGCGCAAATACTTCGACTCTGGCGATTATGCCCTCTCCAAAGCCGGTAAAGCCTCTGACATCGGCGTCACTCAGATTGGCCGCGAGCACCCGGTGCCCGAGAACATCCCGCATTCGTCCTCACCACACAACGGCCCTGGCAGCGGCGCCCAGGGGAGCATCAGTGGCATAAACCTGCCTGCACCTGCACCTGGCAGTACGCCTGGACAAAGCGGGAGTCCGGTGAAGGAGGGCAGTTTCTTGCATCGCGAGACAAGCCTGAATAGGGAGACGAGTGTGGATGATGACGACGAGGCGAATGAAGATGAGGAGAAGAAGGAGGACGAGAAATAGATGATGACAGGACGCAGAAGGAGACGGACAGACTGAGCTGCATACCAGCCGAATAGATGCATAAGACGAGAGTGCATGCTGGGTGAAGTTATTGCGGACAAGTTATACGATGCTTTTACTAGTGCCTTTCGGACAGGAAAGAAGGAGGGCTGTACCGACGAGAACACCTGGGCGTTCGAGGAGTTTCAAGCACAAAGGTAAACAGGATCTAGCCGTCTGATCATCCACGATTCATTCATCGAAGAAGTCCTTTGATATATCTTTCGAGAATATGTATTTTATGTCTTGATATGAATCTCTCCGTAACTATGCTCGTCACCCGGGCGAGAGCGCAATGTGACACGCACGGTAACATTGACCACGATGTTCAGAGCGATGTTGATAAGCCCGTTAATGAATGACTTCAATTCCAATATTGTTGAGATGTCGATACGATTATTGAGATCTATGTCTAATGTCAATGTTTCATCGCTGTCTTGCCTCATCACCGACAGGTCCCGGTTCCCAGGCCGCGCAGAGAGCCTGCGCATTCTTTGTGTCAAATTCTGACATAATTTAGTCGTAACACTTCCGCTATCAAAACCTGTTGCGCCAGTGTCTCTCGCTGCTCGAACAGGGCCTTTGTCCAGATATGTGCTGTTCTGCACATCAGGCTAGTTTCCTGCAGCATTGACGCTACTTCAGATTCCGCAAAACAGTTGGAATCCAGGGAATCTGAGCAGGTTCATCTGCACAGATATGCCTAGATCTCCTTTGGAACGATCCCGAGACGCGCTTTCGGACCCCGTCACGCTTCGATGGCTTTGACCGCCATCGCCAACGCACCCTCCTTCGTCTTGTTGCCGCCGATGAAACCTGCTGCGTGTACGAACACACAGCCTGGAATACCAGACGCGGTGCTCAGTTCATCGTCGCGGACACCCTTCCATGCATCGGGCAGGTCTTTCCTGTTCTCGAAGGCACCGTTCTCCACGGAGACGGAGCGAATCCGCCATTTGCTATCGGGCTCGTCATTCTCGGGGAAGAGAACGTACAAAACCTTCGGCTCGGATGGATTTTCGGCTTCGAAGTTGTAGAGGTGGGAGGACCAAGGCGTCGAGGATTGGGGCAGAACCATGATCTGCTTAGAAGGGTGGATGGAGCCGCGCTCGTGGTAGACTTTGCTAACGACGGCGCGGGCAGGCAGCCAGTCCTCGTGAGCACCTGTAAGCAGCAACATGAACTGCTCGCCCACGAAGGAGGAGGCGCGGGCAAAATTGGTGTCCTCGACGGCTTGTTTCATTTCTTGAGTGGGAGCTGGGTCTTTTGGGAGCTTTGTGGCATAATTATAGCGATTGACGACGGACGCGAGGGTAAAGGACCTGTCCTCGAAGCGCTTGGTGATGTTTGCGGACTTGATGGCAGCCGGGTCATAAGCGGATATGCCGTTGTCATTGGCGTCAAAGGCTTCCACGAAGTCGGTGTAAATTTTTTCATACAAAATCGAGACCTCCTCGCCGTCTTTAGGGAGACCGGTACAGGTTGCGATTATGTCCTTGCCGTAGTGAAGATATACGAGTCCGGCGGAGGAGAGCTTCGTGCTGTGCCCGGGAAAGATTGCGTCAAAGCCACGTTGGTGGTGGTCATATCGATTGTTCTCGGTGCTATACTCGCCTCCAACGTCGAGGACAGTATGGCAAGTTTCTAGAAGGGCAGGGTCGCGAGTGCGGATGAGAGGAGACGAGGCATAGGTTGGCAGAAGGCGAAGAAGATAGACTGCAAGGGCCTCGTCGGCGTGGAAATGGCCGCTGAGATCGCATGTGAGCTTCAAGAACAGCGGCGTAGATTCGAAACCAGTGACATTACTTACTTGTGGGTACCAATCAATGGACCGTCCATCTTGACTCTCTTTGCTGAAGTATCAGTGGCCATGGGGAAAATTCTGGAGAAAAATGCTACGGGCTGACAGAAACTAGATCGAACCAAGTGAGGATTGAACCTCGAAGATGATAATGGGTCGATGGACTGAGCAAACACGACTCTTCTTTTTAATTTACACGCAATTCGCGCAGAGGTAAACATATGCAGCGCACAAATGCGCAAAGTGAATTGCGGATCCCCACAATAAACAACGTGAGAGAATTCTGCGGTATGCCTCCACCCCGCCCGCCGGAGTTAGCGCCGATATCTCTTGGCGGCCACAATCGATGTCGACGGGTCAGATTACCAGTTACCTCTGTCCAAGTGATCTCTGTACCAAAGTTCGGCTTCCATGATTTATTGTGTCATTCCGCAACTTCACATAAGCTTGTCTCTCTAATCTTACTCATTTCTTTCATCCTGGCTACAGAAGTCTTCCAACAGTAGCTCGATCTCCATCTTCTCTTGAGCAATCTACAGAGTGGAGCCGCTCGATTTACACTATCCTGGGCTAAGCACGCGACAGCGGACGACCAATGGAGATTGTCTGTGCCTGAACGAAGACACTTGTTGAAAACGACATCCACCATTATCCACTGCGTGCAGAAACAGCAATAAGCTGTTCACCGCCTCGACCACGTACCATCGAGTGGCTTTCTTATCTGGCTTCTCTGCAGACTGAGACTTCTTTCTCGGATAGCCCTTCCAACAACTGCACACCGGTTTCGAGACAAGAATTATTTTCATCGCTTCCAGGTTCGCAGCACGTGAAAGGGACAGAGTGGCTTGAAGCTGAACACGCGCCGCGCGGGCTCCATCACACCTGCCTGTACTCAGCACAGACATCACGCGTCGACTTCTGACAGACACCACTGACAGCCTCACACTTCTCTCTGGACTGTCCCTCGACTTTCGAAGCGCGCATATTGCGCGTTCCTGGCGCGCAGGAGACCTGACGACGCTGCCCCCAAACTTCCCAAATTGCGTCGCCAGCACTTCGCGTGCTAGGCCACGACCGCGTCCATGTGGCTTACCAGAGCTATCTCTTCCATTTCTTTCCTTTCGACAATCGTGTTCACGATACCTCTGGCCTTCGATGTCGGCGGGAGAACGTGTGGCCTGGCGTTCTCGCTGTCCCTGGCATACTTTTACCTCTTCTTCTCGATCCTAAAGCTCTCGACACCGGATACCTCGCGATTCCGCTATGCCTTGGTCCAGCTTGTAGCTTTCTTTCAATGGCTCATCATTCCTACGCTGATGATATGGTGCCTAAACAAATTCTCGGTCGACGGAGATGGAAGTAACTGGGTAGAAAAGACATTTGGCGGGAAAAGAGCTGAACCAAGTGGAATATACGAATGGATATTCGGCAGAGGAGGCTTCCTGGAGAACTCGTTCATTGGCAGTTGGGACAAAGTTCTGCGATGGTCTACGCCAGTTTTCCAGATTGCGGAAGGATTCTGTACAGTGCTTGTCATCCAAGCTTGTGGACAGATCACAAGATGGCTTGTCAATAGAGAACGCGGTGATACTTGGATGGTACATCAACTCTGATTATCGACACTCTTTACCAGTACTGACTTCTTCTCTGCAGATTGGACTCCTTGTTTTTTCCGCTTCTGTCATTTCCAGCTCTGTATACTTCCTCTGGAGGATCACCAAGTTCCCTGAAATTAGCAACGTCGACGCCATTCTCATTGGTGCGGCAGTTACATGTGCTATCTTCTTATGCTCCTGGGGTATCGGGAGCGGTCGCGGAAATCCTGTGGAAAGCTCGCTACTTTTCGCGTACGTCGTGCTCTGTATCTACCAGATCTTCACCGACTACATGCCCTCGGAAGCAAACCAGGAGCAATCCTCGCAGCCGGCACAACCCGCGCTACCTCCTCTACCACCGATAATCATGGCTTCGTACACGACCTTGATTCAGGCCTTTTCCACACTACCATCCACGATGCACCTGGCTTTCAATTTCGTTGTGGCTGCTACCATGACGATCACCCCATCTGTCATCATCTCTCTGGCATACAGAGTGTTCGTTTTATACTCGGCTGTAAGAATCATACCAGTCATCCGAGAATCTGGAGCGCGCGCTTTATCAGAAGAGCCATCATTGGATGACAGCGATGATGTTGCCCGTATTCTTGGGTTTGCCAGCTACTTCAGTCCAAGCATTCTCATCTCGGTCTACACCAGTCTTCTCATGCAACATTTTGCATCTTCCAGTAACGAATTCGGTGCCCAAGATTGGTGGACGAGTCAGGCCGGTGATACAGGGGGTAATCTATGGCGATGGATCAACCTAGCTGCAACGATGACTTGGTACGCCATCGAGCTCTACATATCGAAAGAGGATGCTACGCACCACTGGAAATCCGACTGAATGGCTTTGTAACCCTCATTTCGGATCTTGTTTACTGCTTTTGGGGCCGAATGCCTGATAAAGCCCTACTGAAGACGCTTGCAAGATTATAGCAATGCTCGCCATCAGGCATAAATCTGCTTGTCGAAATTGATCAGGACCCACCACCGGCTTCTATAATTAAGAGTTGGAACGCCCTCCATGTTATGCTGCTATGCACCATATCATACCATACAAATCTGTACATCTACACAAGAACGGTAGATCATACATATCAGACCACCTCATCATCAGCGCACCTTTGCATACTTCCTTAGGGTTCACGCTACCGGCTTTAGCCACATGTTTTGATACGATACCCCGATTCATATCTGTTCGATAGACTGCAGCGCAGTGCTTTGTACGGCGCTTTACTGGAAGCTACCAGATACTGGTAGCACTCAAACCATTTTGTACATAGTCTTCAGGTCGAACCATGCATAAATACACCAATTCCAACTCCAGCCTTCGGGCATTACTGATGTATAAGCCCAATCACTGCAGACGCATCGAAATGGAATAGCTAATTAACAGTCCAAGGGTCACATACACATATGTCTTGTTTTTGTTTATAATGCTTCAAAGCCATAACTTTCCATGTGTCCTCAGAAAAAGAGAGGACTGCCATATAATTTGATATGATATCTGCGATCTCGATCGATAGATGCCACTCGGATATCGTCCCATGCATTATGCACTGATCGTGCCTCGCCCGTCGCATAGTCTTGTCCCATATCCTTGAAAGGATTTGCGGGAAAGTCTATATAAATATGGTACCTGGGGTATGAATTCGAAATGGGGACCTCTATCATAGCCATTCGATTAGTGCTTATCAACACGCAGAATTGTAATGTAGGAATATTCTAAACCTAGATCAGTATATAATTCTAGGCTGTTCGTATATAAGCTGCCATGACTACCCGCAGTCCCCCCGTTCTACAAACTTAGTATCTACATTGCTTAACAGCTCCCTTACACGATTCTTCCACCATACGCTCCGATATGGACGACCAAATCCATTATCCTTAGGGTTATGGACCCCAGGATATTGTCGGCTAGGGTACCACAGGCTTAGTGTGCTTTGACAGCGCCTCTCAGACAGTATCGTCAAGACTCCTCACGATAGTAACAACCACTGTAGGGTTCAGGTGAAATAGGACGATATACGAGCATTTCGCGCAGCGAGGCGGATATAGCTTGCTCCTACGATATCACGGTCCGTACAATTCAGGCATACGCCTCGAACTTGCTCCAAAGTAGAACCTCTCAACATTCCATAGCAACCACCTTGAGATCGAATGGAACCAGGACGCCGTTGGGCGCGTCAGATCAGACATGCACTCTACTTGTCCAGGCTTCTGAAGATACAGCTTAGCATTGTTGTGATCATTCGTCACTGGTATATTCCGAGAGATTCACAGAACGATTTACATCTGATCAGCACAAGGTAGAAGAAGTATGGCGAAGATTGCCGAGGAAGTAAGCCACCATACAGCTTTCAACTCGCTTCAATTCATATCAGAGTATTCTTCCCTGTGCGTCCCCACGGAACATGAATTTTTGGTCTTTCTCGCGTGAAGAGATGCTTGACATGATAAGAACCTTTAAGGCGCTCGAGCGGATGGAGATATTGCAAGTCTCTGCGCCTGGTGAGTGGTTTGTGTGGGGAGTTGTTCCTGATAAGTGTGTAGTTACAGCATTCATAGGACTGCACTCTGAAGCTATCGCGACTGTAACAAATGAGCTGGCGCGGTACGGATAGAATTACGAGTGGACACTACTGATAATGTTGACCTACCTTCTGCCGTCACTGGTGCTGCTTGTCCGGATGGTTCGAAGGATATCTACGCAGTAGTCGACCCAGAAAGGCGATTTAGCATTCAATGCTCTCTTCGTTAGTCACCCGCGACATAATGCGAAATTGAGAATGTATAGTGAGTGCTGTCCAATGGGTCCGTCCCGCCATATCTCCTATATTCGAGTCGGTTATGTGCATTTCATTGTGTTGCTAGCAACTGCTTTGAGCCTATTTGTAACAGTCTTGTCACTCCTCTATAGACCGAGTGTCAAGAGATGATAATGCCTCTATGGCTGTTCAAATCCAAGTCCTGCCGCCCTTAATCTTGGTGTGTATAGATATACCTAGTATATCATCTAGCGAACGCATATGCCCGTCCAAAACGCCACGCTTACAATATGACAACAAACAAGCGGAGATACCGTTGTAAGCCATTGACGGACTCATGAAAACATATCCTCGGCCCTCTTCCTTGGACCTCCGCGCCCCTTCAACTTTTCCGCGAACAGATCTTGACTGCCGGACTTCATTGGAAACAGTTCCCTCACCGCCCCTCCTGAATTTCCAGCGGCGCCCTTGATATAGAAACCATGTACACTGTCCTTCTGAGAAGCCCCTTTGATGCTTAAGCCCTGGTCGCTCGGTCCGTTGCTGAAGTCTGGTGCTCGGACTGGTGCATTGGAGCCCTTGAGGCGCCCCGATGCTGGGCTGTTGATTCTGTCAAATAAATCGCGCACCTTTTCGCCGTTTTCGGATGTCTCGTCATTAGCGTCGAAGGCATCTGATCGACGATGATTCCCGTGCACTAATTTGCCCGGAAACAGCTCTTTCGCCTTCTTGCTAGAGCTAACTGCTCTTTCTGGGAATAGCTCGATCCCGCCATTCGCATCAGCTCGCTGAGGGGTACCAGTCAGCACGGTAGGTCGGCCATGCAATGGTGCGAGTAAGTCAGTATCCTGCCCGTGCCGCCGTGAGGCCGCTGGAGGCGTTAGGCTCCGTCTTCGAATGCGAGATCGAATGAGCGTCTCCTCCACGAAGCCCAACCGACCATCGCCATCACGGCTCGGAGATGCGCTCCGATTGCGCAAGCGGCCATCCCCCCGTCCGGCGATGCGGCTGGCGAAGAGGTCTCCAGCGCCTCTGCCGCGGTCAAATCGTACACGTTTGCGCTGACGGTCGTCACTGGAGTCGAACGAACGCGTGCGGGAACGACGGCGGCGATCAGGCACGCTTGTAGTACCGGTATCATCGTCATACATACTTGCATCGGTATCAATGCGCGTACCACGCTGGCGGCGCCTATGCTCGCGGTCATCGAAGCGGTTGCGCTTGTAGTCTCCATTTTCGCGTTCCTGTCTCTTCCGTTCGCGTGGATCTTGGTCGGGGTTCATGAGGTAGTAGCGACTGGCATCGCGGGCACCGCGGGCTTTGATATCGGTGGAGATGGCTTGTCGGACGTGGAGTTTGGTATCGGGATGCGAAGAAAGAAGCTTCGCGGGGCGGAGCTGGACGGAGGGCAGGGAAGCTGCAGAACCTGAGGAGGTAAATGCTACCAATGCATCTCGCGCAACTTCAGGTTCGGCGTATATAATGTTCGCGGAGGTGTCATCTATCCATTCGACTTTGACGAAGTACTCGGTTGGAAAGTGTTCGTCAGAGAAGCGCCTGATGTCTGCCGTCGAAAGGTTGTCAAGTCCTCGAATATGTACTTTTTCCGGGACGAGCTCAGCCTCCATCATGTCATCGTTGCCCATAGTTGTGGTGCCGGCAGATCCGTGCTGCTGTATCTTGCGTTAGTTGACGGTTCTACGTGAAGCATGAGCGAACTTACCATGATTTCTGCCTCTGCCTCCTGCGCTGCAATCTCAGGATCTGGGCCGAGATCAATCTCCATATCGATATCCATATCAGTAGCCATTTTGCCTGAGGTGGGTGAGCGTGAGTTGTGTTGTGTACTTCTGATCAGCCTTACCCAGGGAGTGTACGAGGTGACTAGCATTATGGCAAATGGCGCTAGTCCCGAATGGGTGACTACTACCATCCAGACTCCAGCTATTACCTATGTACCTAGACCACTTAACTAGAAAATGGTTACGCCGTTAATAGTACTTACATCCTGATCTTAGAAAGGATACTTTCCGCTAGGCAGACACCAAGGTATACCAGAAGTTATTTTTACGTGTAATATGTGTGAATGTTCATTCTTAGATACTGAGCTTTCTTTGCTCATAGTCAGATAATATACATGGTATAGCGCTTATAGCCTTGGTACCCTGGTACATAGAGGCTAGTAATTGTTTCATAATACAGATATATACTCAATTCTGTGGGGTAGCATAGATTGGGTCATCCGCAATCTTGTACGGTTGATGTTCATTACTTGCGATCCATCTCGGGTCTTTCTTGAACTCCTCAAGGTGGTCCGGATATACAGCTTTCTTTGGGCGCTCCTGAACACCTTCTCTTTGGTCTTTCATGTTTAAGGCCCTCATTTTATCGACCATAGCGTCCATACTTTTTTCCCCTCCTGGGCGGTATCGCAAGACCTTGCTCAAATTCTTGCGCGTGAGGTCGTTCATGGGTTTTTTCTCCCGTTCTATCAGAGCTATTGTTTTGGCGGTCATTGCAAACCGCATATCCTTAGGTCCGTCGACTAGCTCGAGTATCGCTGATTCGGCCTGATCTTCCTTCAATGGTTCTATCCGTAATACACGTGTGTAACCTCCTGGTCGTTCAGCATAGCGCTGTCGTATCTCGGTGAACATCTTGCCCATCAGCTTCTCTGGTTGCTGTCCATTCCATTAGCATTGCGAGATAGCGTGAAGCAGATGAGAGCACTGACGAAAAGCTCTCCCTGTAACCGTATTCTCGACGCAGGTGTGTTTCTCTTGGCTAGCGTCACCAACTTCTCAGCCACCCGTTGAGCCTCCTTTGCTTTATGCCATGTCGTCTGTATTTGTTCGTGCACGAAGAGTGAGGTGACGAGGTTCCGGAGGAGCGAGCGGCGATGCGGAGTGTCACGACCTAGCTTTCGAAACTTGGAATGACCACCTGCCATCGCAACAACTAGATCACGGTGGTGATCTGGTGCTTAGAGCCTTGAAGTCGATGCGCTGTCTGCCCACGGCGCAATTGATGGGGCTTTGACAAGATATTAGGGCTGGACTGTCGGACATAGAATTCGCCGACTAATGTTGTTTTATGTCACGTGATGTTGACTTAATTGATTCCTGCGCGTTTCTGCAGGACGCGTGCTTGGTCCATGCGAGGCGCGTCTCCAAGTCCGTATACAAAACCAACGCCCCTCCATCATTTCCATCTCTCCACCCAACAACCCCCAGCATCTAATATTGAGAAGTTGTCGTCCCCACTCAATTAAAGATGTTCGTTATCAAAAGAGGTAAACACTACGTTCTGGAAACATACGCATCGTGCTAAATGCTTCTTTCAGATGGACGCAAGGAACGAGTCCAATTCGACAAGATCACTGCTCGTGTCTCTCGTCTATGTTATGGATTAGACCCAGAGCATGTCGATGCTGCGGCTATCACGCAGAAGGTCATCTCGGGTGTGTATCAAGGCGTTACTACGATCGAACTAGACAACCTCGTAAGTACCCATGCCCGTCGCTGGTGACTACTCATTGTCCATCGCGTCCACAGATGAACACAAATTAACTTATGGTAATAGGCTGCTGAAACGGCCGCGTACATGACGGTTACTCACCCTGATTATGCTATCCTTGCGGCACGTATAGCCGTCTCCAATCTTCACAAGCAGACCAAGAAACAATTCTCTGCTGTCGTCTCCGATCTATACTATTATGTGAACCCGAAGAACGGGAAGAAGGCTCCAATGATTTCCCAAGAGACATATGACACTGTCATGAAACATGCAGAGGAACTAAATTCTGCTATCGTTTATGACCGAGACTTCAATTACCAGTACTTCGGTTTCAAGACTCTGGAACGGTCTTACCTTCTCCGACTAGACGGCAAGGTCGCCGAACGTCCACAACACATGATCATGCGTGTCGCCGTCGGTATCTGGGGTGATGACATTGAACGTGCCGTTGAGACATACAACTACATGTCCAACAAGTATTTCACTCACGCGTCCCCTACCCTCTTCAATGCTGGTACACCTCAACCGCAATTGTCGTCATGCTTCCTCGTGGATATGAAAGACGACAGCATTGATGGTATCTACGACACACTGAAGACCTGTGCCTTGATCTCCAAGACCGCTGGCGGTATTGGACTGAACGTGCACCGCATTCGCGCGACTGGCTCCTATATCGGTGGTACTAACGGGACCTCGAATGGTTTGGTTCCCATGCTTCGTGTTTTCAATAACACTGCTCGCTACGTTGATCAAGGAGGCAACAAGCGTCCTGGTGCCTTTGCCATCTACCTAGAGCCCTGGCATGCGGACATCTTCAGCTTCCTTGATCTGCGAAAGAACCATGGTAAGGAGGAGGTACGTGCACGTGATCTATTTTTCGCCCTCTGGATTCCGGATTTGTTCATGAAGCGTATCCAAGAGAACGGCGAATGGACACTTTTCTGCCCCAACGAAGCACCTGGCCTTGCCGACTGCTACGGTGAGGAATACGAAGCCCTCTATGAGAAGTAAGCCGTCCTTGTCCGCTCTTTCAATTGACCCGACGTTAACGGTTTGACAGGTATGAGAAAGAAGGGCGCGGTCGTGAGACCATCCGTGCCCAGAAACTGTGGTACGCCATTCTTGAGGCTCAGACCGAGACAGGAAACCCCTTCATGCTTTACAAGGACGCTTGCAATCGCAAAAGCAACCAAAAGAACCTTGGCACCATCCGAAGCTCCAATTTGTGCACAGAGATCATCGAGTATAGCGCACCAGATGAGGTCGCTGTATGTAACCTAGCGTCACTTGCCCTCCCTACGTACATTGATCTCAACCGAGGCAAGTTCGATTTCGACAAGCTTCACGAAGTTGTTAGACTTGTAACTCGCAATCTCAACAAGATCATTGAAGTCAATCACTATCCGGTTGAAGAGGCTAGACGGAGCAACTTTCGTCACCGACCGATTGGCCTTGGTGTTCAAGGTCTCGCCGATGCTTTCCTGGCCCTCAGACTTCCCTTCGAGTCACCGGAGGCGAAGAACCTTAACATTCAGATTTTCGAAACCATTTATCATGGTGCTTTGACAGCGTCATGCGAAATTGCAAAGGAGCAGGGTGCCTATGCGACCTACGAAGGATCCCCTGTATCTCAAGGCATCCTTCAATACGACATGTGGGACGTAACGCCCACTGACCTGTGGGACTGGGATGCTCTAAAAGCGGACATCGCGCAGCATGGTGTTCGCAACAGTCTGTTGGTTGCACCTATGCCGACTGCCAGTACAAGCCAGATTCTCGGCTTCAATGAATGCTTCGAACCTTACACCTCGAACATCTACTCTCGCCGCGTTCTGGCTGGCGAATTCCAGGTTGTGAACCCGTGGCTGTTGAAGGATCTCGTTGACATGGGACTGTGGTCTGATAAAATGAAGAATCGTATCATCGCCGATGGTGGCAGCATTCAACGCATTCCGAACATTCCAGATGATATCAAGGCTTTGTACAAGACCGTATGGGAGATCTCCCAGCGGACTATTGTTCAGATGGCCGCTGATCGTGGTGCCTTCATTGATCAGTCTCAATCTCTGAACATACACATGAAGGAACCAACTATGGGCAAGATTACTAGCATGCACTTCACTGGCTGGAAGCTTGGTCTCAAGACCGGCATGTACTACTTGCGTACAATGGCTGCGTCAGCTCCTATCCAGTTTACGGTCGATCAAGAAGCCCTGAAGGTCGCCGATAATACCATTGCTCGAGCTTTAGGTTCCGGAAAGAAGCGGAACAATGGACCTGGAGGATACCCTACGACGCCTTCTCCATCGGCTGTACCCCGTCCTATGTATATGGCTAAGACTCCTAATGGCGTGAGTGATTCAGGAAACGTTAATGGTGTATCAACGCGGGCAACGACTCCACCTGCACCGGAAAACAAGCAGTTCAATGTTACTCCAAAGAAAGACGCAATGGCAGTTCCTACATTCAGGGCCGATGTGGAGGAGGGGGAAAGCCCCAAGATACTCAGCACTGATCTAAAGGGGACGTTGGAAGGCGAAGCACTTCCCGAGCCGGCTGTCGACGGACAGGAAGAAGATGCAGAGAAAGATAGCAAAGACCGTGAAGGGGATATATATGCTGATGCTGTGCTGGCTTGCAGTATCGAGAATCGAGATGCATGCGTGATGTGTAGCGGCTAGAGGTTCAGGCCTTGTTCTCGGGATCTGCTTTTCGGAGAGAGAGGATATACCTGCATGCTGGCGTTCGGGACAAGAGTTATGTAATGACATTGCGACGGTTTGTTTACTATGTGCTGCAATGGTGTGTGCATATTAATAGCAATATCTGTAATACAACATCTTTATCATTACCCCTGTGTGCAGCGAGTCAAGACGAGAAATGTTCACTGACCATACATTGGTATGTCACTTTGCACTTTAATCTGGGGTCGACTTGGCGTTTCACGCTGCCGGAGACTCCCAGCGTTTCAAAATGCACCGCACGGCACGACAAACGACCAGAAGGCTAGACCATTGTCTCTTGGTCTAAATATCATTACTACAAGTATCAAATGCTATATTGAAAACTTACATATATATACTGTTGAAAGTTGTAATGATAGGCCTATCTTAGTTTTCATGGTACAAGGAGAAGTTCAAGATGTTTACCGTCAGTGTTCCTACTCTACCAGGATCTTGCGACTCCGACTGGCTTCAATTTTCTGACGATGGTCGATGTGCCGGATCCTTGGTCTGTGCGTTTGGGGGATTCGGGATGTCATAATAGTTGTCTCAGAAGTTTCTACGAGCGCTCAGGGTGGAGACACGGTTAGAAACTTCTTCAAGCCTCACCCGGGTACCGGCTCTTACATTCAGACCCTTGCATGTTTGCGCGGGGGCCTATAACAAAGATCAGGCTATTGTCCTGGATGGGTAATGATAGCGATCTGAAACGTCTTCCTCATAGCGAGTGGACTTTCTGCGGGAGAAACAACTATCTATTGGAAGGCTTGACCCCACAACGTTTTGACTGTACCATAGCATGTTTTGGAGTTTGATTTCATCAATACTATCATTGTTATAATAAGTAGTAGGTCCTTTCGCAAGGCTTCATCTCCTTCAAAGAAACTCATCATCATCGGCGCTCTGAAACGGCTTCAATTTGACCAATATTCAACCGGACTCACCTCTTGATTCTCATTCTATAATGGATCTCAAGAACACCATCAAAGTTTTCTGTTTAGCAGGGCTTCTAAGTGTTATTACCCAGGCGCAATCAGTCAATCCTGGCGTTGGCATCAACCCCAATGCTCACGGAGCCACAGAGAATGTCACCCCTAGCTCAGGGCCTAATGGGTAAGCGCTTGATATACCAAGGAGAACAATATGGCTGACATCCTTAAGTGCGATCAAATGGCTGAACAGTGGCATGGATCAGGATTCTGGCTGGAAACCCCCCTTTCTGGATTTTGACACCATCAAGCATATCTCCAAGGAACAGTTCTACGATGGACCAGGCTCTGCTTGCAGGAAGTACGACTGGGCATTCAGTGCTGCTGCTGACGAGTTCAACATTGATGCGGCTATCCTCGCAATGATCGCACAGCAAGAGTCGTCTTGCAACGCTGATGCGGGCGGCTCAACTCCAGGTCTGATGCAAGTCGCTTGCGGCAACTACCCCGGTGGCGTCTGCCATCCCAAAGACATTAAGCTCAACGTACGCATGGGCGCAAAGTACTTCCGCGATAGACTCGATGAGTCGGACAACAACGTTTTGAAAGCCTTGGGCAACTACAACGGCTGGTTTACGGGCGGCTCGGGACGGAATGGGAACAAGGGGCTCACAAAGAGCTACCCTTGCTCTAACGAGGGCAAGTCAAATGGTGATCCACAGAACTTGGACTACCTCCATCAGCAAGTCAATGGATGGTTCATGGGCCTTAACCCCTACGGCGATGAAAGCTGGATCGGAACGAACCGCTGCTCGGGTTCCTGTAAAGACGGCAAAGCTTGTTAAGCTGTCGATCTCTTTGGCGTACAGCTGGTTAGCTCGTTGACTTTCGTATACATGTAAATATCTTAGATGTGATGTGACAGCATCTGCTGAGAAGCTTATCTTTATGACATCAGGCATGTCCTCAATACATTTTGTTAGAGATTCATATGGCTCTGCCCTTATTCGTCACATCTCATTGTCAGACCCCGACTGTTCGTAACTACATGCTCGGGGCACACTACAGAATAATGGGCCCCCTTCATAGCGTCCACACACAGAGATACGCCGACAGCACGTTCACATTGTCAATCATGTAAGAACCACAATATACGCGGCTTGCTGAAGATTATGCAAAACTTCAGGATATGTGTGCCCGCTGATAGCAGACTGGGATGACCATGTTGTCAAGCCTCGCCCCTTGCCGAGATGCCAGAGTATGACAAAGACCTACAAGAATTGCGTGCGGCACAGTCGAAACAAGGACCAACTTCTTCCTTAGCAGGATATGTCGCTCTTCTTATGGATTGAGCCATTGTCACTCTTTAAAAATCACTCTACCGATCCAGACCTCTTGCATCACCTGTGTGATTTACGAGCTCTATTAGGATGTCCAACCCGGGGCAGCAATAGAGGAGACGATACGTCCCAATCAAAGATAGCACCGAAGTGTTTGGCTTCTACAATGCTCGTATGCTACATGGTCTTGAAGCACACAGCGAATCAACTTTGAATACTCATGGAGCTATAGGTTTCGCCCGTGTCGTCATGATTACCTGTAGAACGATTTTAACTACTACTGCTGTATGGAGATTGACAAGGGGCAATCCAGATCGCTGTCAGGTTGCTTGTCAATTGGCGGTCGGGAGGTACAGTGAGGCGTCGAAACACAAAGCATTCCGTCATATGAGCCGTGTATACCGCGAGCAAAGTGATTAAGTTCGAGTGTCGTAGAGCTTTGATGTGTATTGGGAGGATTCTGGATTAGGTAGTGCTGATAAAATAGTCTGGTTGCATGCTGATGATTGGTGGTATCAGGAGAATTGTAGTTCGTTCGTTCGGTAGACGTCACAAGTATGCCAAATGCGAATTAGAGGGATCTCGCCCGAACTCACGGTGGTCAACACGGTGACGATCGAGCCGTTGAGGTTCTAGTCTCAAGTAAACAACACAGCACATGTGACATATTTACTGATTGTGAACGCTCATCAGTGATTTATCACATGGTATGATTATATCAGAAGACCGGTCTTACTAACCTAACTCAAGCATTCCTGAGCCCCCTGGAACCATTGAAGCTCATTACGTGACAACTGCTTATTTTGTGTTCAAGGTATTAAACCTTTGAATAAGTCAACTCGATCTTGAAGCTGATCTTTTCCCTTTGTAGAAGAGTTTCTGAAGGATCGGCGCTGGATCAACCTCATTGGCGGAGTATTATTCGGTGTCATGGACCGGGCGCTATGAATACGAGGCTGATTTGCTCAGCCCCAATACAGCTTGGTGTCAATTCCTCGAAGCGGTTGACATGTAGCACCGTTGATTATCTACAAGTTCCGAGCCAAAAACCAACCCTAGATATGTGTTGTAGTTAGGAAGTACTGTTACAGATATCGGCAGCGTCCAAATGCCCAACCCCGTACACTGACAACAAAAGAGTCCGGAAATATCCTACTAGATCTGGAAGACACGATGTCAGAAATGATAACTGATCAACATTCCACAATCGATCCTACGCTACTAGGAATCGACTTCAGCAATTCTCAGATCCTCAGTGCGGAAGAACGTTCTCCGTCCACGTTGGGAGAGAGCTCTTCTTCCTCACCATTGTCAGTGTCGGAGTCCACTCTCCAAACATCGGAAGAACCGTGTAGTCGACCGAGGACAACGAACCAACTTAAAAAATCTACGGACCTGTCACGCAGGAAGCCCATTCCGCGGAAAGGTCACACCAAGTCACGGAGAGGTTGCTTTAATTGCAAGCGTCGCAAGATCAAATGTCAGGAGAACTTGCCAGTCTGTCACCATTGTTCCAAGGCCGGTCTGATCTGTGAGTATCCTAAAACACCTGTATATCTGCAACAGATAAGCAAGAACACCGAGAAGAGCGTTGAGGATGTGAGCGAGAAACAAGCAAGAACAGCCCTTACGTTGGCGAGAGACAGCATCATCGGATCATGCAGGCCGATAATCAACATGACCGGCACACCAGGCACATTCGACCTACAAGATATGCGCTTCTTCCACCACTTCTTACAGCACGGGTACCCACACCTACCTATCGGTGCAGATGAGGTTTGGGTGACAACATTGCCAGCCATCGCTCACCAGGCCAGTCATAGTATTTGAAACCCGAACCACACACAACGTACTGACTACGACCAGTATGCATATCTCACTCACGCCATCATGGCCCTCTCCGCCTCTCACCTACAAGCCTTGACTCACGAGGATCTTGCCTCTGCAGCTCTCGCTCACCGCCTTCATGCCATCTCCAGCCTTAACGCCTCCCTCACCACACCCGCCGCCACTCGCGCTGAGGCAGATGCCCGTATGGCGACGGTTATGGCGCTCACTATGCAAGCTGTGCACCTCGACGACAACTACGCCGAGTACCTAACGCTCTCACGTGGCTGCTTCATCTTCGGCGCAGACGCACTTCTCGACGACGACCATTCTGCCTTCGCAGGGTTCAGGAATGACAGGCAAGCAAAGATCATGGCGGAGCGATTCGCCGGCGCGACACGAAGTCCATGTAATCCAGCGTTACTCGACGAGGCAATTGAGGCCGTGAACCGTGTAGGCGAGCTGTGTACGGAAGAGTACGAGCGGGGATACGTGGAGCTGATGCTTGAAACATTACGAGCAGCGTATAGTGATGCTGCGAAAGGTATGCTTCTTTCCGTCTCCTACCGCGCCTCAACTCACACACAACCAGCATACACCTCTTTCACTAAGCTCTTCACCTATCCGTCCCTCATCCCACAGACCTCCTTCACTCACCTCCTATCCGCGCACAACCCCACTGGCTCCCTTCTCCTCGCCACACACCTCGGCGTCCAACACACTCTCATTCCCGTCCTGCTATACGAATTCCGCTCCCACGCACCGCCACGCACACACGCCCCAAGTCGAATGAACTCCTGGATCCGCATCATTGCAGACCGGCTCGGATTCGCATATGAAAAGTACTGGGCGTGGAGTGTGAGGGTGGTTGAGAGACCGTGGACGTCGCTATTTGCGAAGGGGGCGCTGGAGGACTTTGTTGCCGGTTGGAAGAGCGCGAAGTTGGTGAAGGGAGTCAGAGTGAGGGAGGAGGATGTGAGCGTGAAGAGGGGCGCCGGAGACATTCTTGGGGTGCTAGATGAGGCGAGGGTGAGAGAAGGATTTGCGGAGTTGGTGAAATAGGGGTAGGACGTGTCTCAATCTTTGTCGAAAACGTATGAGGCAGTGTGTCCAACAGTCATGGTTCCTTACAGAGGTGAATGTATTCACAATTAATGTTTCGTGCAAGAACTTTTTGGGGGGCGTGACGGGTGGAGAATGATGTTGCCAATGGTGTTTCTAACATAGCGTTAGGCATCTCATCACTTATATGATTCATTGGCATGTATGTATGAAGACGATGCAGATAGCGATGCAAGTCAGTATTGTAACCGAGAGAAATATATCCTACAATGTGCAATTCTATGTCAGCACTTATAATCCCAAAAGTGAAATGCTCCTGGCGCCGCCGCTGCTACGATAATTGGCTAGCTATCGCTGTCATATGCCTTAACTTGAACTGATCAAAGCTTTGCTTTGGCGTCCTCAGCCACGGCGCTCGCGTCTAGATTGAGCGTCACTGTGCCCTGATTTTCGCCCTCACTGAAGAAGATAACTTCGACTGTGAGGTCATCTCTGTAATCCAAGTCAGCACTTATATCGTGACTAACGTTAACATCGGGGTGCCCATACCTATAGCGCCGCGAGTACGGACTCGGCAGCGTCAATAATGCACATAACTGATCCTCATCCTTCCCACCCAATGCATTCCGCACCAGATGAGTCGCCGCGTTCCGATCCTCGACTACAAATCTATCATCACCATCCTTGCTTCCCCACTGCCTCTGTCTAATAGGAGCACGTTGGCCACCTTTTGCGCTCGCACTGTTCGCGTGCTCCACTGGAAGCCCGGTTTCCCGTTGCGATGAGAACCAGCTCTTGAGCCACGAGTTATTCTGAACATTGCCGTTTCCATTTCCGTTACCGTTACCCATGAGTCCGCTCTTGGCATCAGCTTGTGTTTCAAGCCATTGTCCAACTAGTCCGACGACTTCTTCGTTGGAAAGCATCTCCCAGAGGCCGTCGGTGGCCATGACGACGAAGTCACCCTTCGACGGATCAATCTCAGTGGTTGTGACAACAGGTTCAGCAGTCACATATGGGGGCGTCTTGAGAAGGCTGGAGTGACCGCGGGTGAAGAAGGCTTTGCGGAGTTGTTCTTGAGTCTTCTGCGACCATTTGTAAATTGCATCACCAAAGGCGCGGGTGGGCTCGAGACCGCCGAGAACGCGACCCCTAGATATCACATCTGGTTCGCCAGGGTGCTCACGGCGCAACCGATTGGCCTCTTCAACGTTACCGCCGGTCTGGTCGGTCGACAAGGGCGTGGCTGTCCATTTGCCGTTGGTGGTTCGTCGTCCAAGGACTGCGCGGGAATCACCCGTGCATGCGACACGAAGCTGCTTTGATCGAGCATCGTAGAAGGAAAGGAGAGCGCAAGATCCGGACTTAGCAGGCGCAAGAAGTGCTTCGGCAGCGCCTTTAGACTTGGCCTTGTTGGCTTTTTCGACTGATTCAATTACAATCTCGTGGTCAAGAAGTAAAAATCCTCTTTTGATCGCGGTATCGATAGCTTCGGCGGATGGAAATTTAAGGGATGGATCGGTTCCGGCGGTTTTGTATGTGGTGCTCAGTTCACGCGCAACGAAGGAGATAAGCAGTTGGCGAAGTTTTGCGGAGGTGACCCATCCGCTATGCCCGTCGAAAACACCCCAGAACATCCAGTCAGTGTTTGATTTGCCGTCCATACTTGCAGCAACATTCTGAGGTACTTCGATGATCTTCTCCGCATGGTCGTCCTCTATAGGATCATTGCTCGGTATCTGAACCACATCATATCGTACAACGCCCTGTCCACGTCCGACAAGCCATGATTCTTCATTCCTCCTCAACTTTTGAGTGACCTGTTCAGGCGTCATCATTTCCAACACTTTACGCCCGTGATCGTCTGTTTCTTTCGTCAACGGCTCATCACCAGGAATGACACCAGTATAGATTTGATCTGCTCCAACGACGAGAGCTCTTCTCTCCGTGACTCGAGCGGCTTCCGATAATGCTGTGTTGGATCCGACGTTGGCATATGTAGAATAGGCATTGGACGTGGAGACGGTAGTTCTCGAAGGGTGCTGAGCACCAGTAGCTGGGCTTCCTCGGTAGGCGAAGAAGGCTCCAGATGCAACAGCGACGGAGACAAGCGCCAGGGAAAAGGTGCGAAGTTGCATCGATGACTGCAGAGCGGTGACGGCAGCTCGCTCGCGACGCGATGAAAGAGATCTCAAGCTGCCTACAGCATGGCTTGTAGTACGAGTCGACTTGCGGCCTGGGCGACGGGCTGAGCGGAAAACTTGAAGAGCAGCCCGACGCATTTGAGATATGGCTTAGACTGCTCGCATGGGAACGAGGCCGGAGACGCTGGAGTTGAGGTTCTGTTTGTCCAGCGCGGTTCTGTAAATGTAGATGAAGGTCTGGGAGATCGGAGGCTATGGATGGATGACCACTAGCTCGGTTTTCCACGGTTCGGTTCACTTCGGCCCTACTTAGTTAGCTTACCTAGTACCTAGTAGTTTTATGCAAATGGGTGCGTCACGTCACTTGAAAGCCCACCTTGGCAGTGGTCTGAATGTTCTACACCTGACTTCTCTCACTCGTGTCGAATGGGTGAACCCGGAGAACAATGTCGTCTCGTGCACTACGGAAGGCCCAGCGTGAGCTGGAAGAGAAGAAACAGCTAGAACAACCAAAAGCAGACGCTAATTCTGAAGATGAATCTGAAGATGGAACTGATGCTCCAGCTTTAACATCGCAGGGCCCAAGTATGTTCGCATTGTTAGGTGATGCAGATGACCAGAATGATGAAGAGCCTGATGAACAGGCCAGAGATGCTACCACGCCTGACTACAGCGACGAACAGCAGACCCCTCAGCCAGTGAAAGCTAAGAAGAAAAAGAAGAAAAAGGGAAAACGTCAAAAGACAACCGAGGACGTAGACACCAACAGAGCAGGAGAAGCTCTGTCAGAGAAAGTGCTTGATGAGATTGATCTTGCTCTTCGTGCGCTGTCAGTTAAAGACTCCAAAGCACGAGGTAACGGCCTGCTTGATCTACAGCCAACGATATCTCCTGAACAGCACGAGTTATGTAAGCTACTGGCCGTTGAAACCCAACATCTTCATGCCGCAAACGAGATGAGGAAACTTTTTGGCAGAGCAGCGTTGGAAGCCAATGAGGATGAAGATGGACACGGGCAGCGAAGACGAAGAATGCAGCGAGGAAATGAACGCGCTGGTGCAGTAGCTGGTCGCAATGCAGGTGGCCGCAACCTCGCAGCGATCGGACTTCGCAAGAATATATTTGTCCAAGGGAAGGAGGAATGGCCCAGAGCAACGCTGGGTGGGCTGGGCATGGAAATAATCGAGAAACGAAAGGACGGGACGGTGCTGTACAAGTTCGTTCATAATAGCGCCTACCAAGATGTACAACGTCAATTCAACGAGTGTGTAGCATCAATGGACCCAAATAGGATGGTGCAGCTACTGCAATACAATCGTGAGCACTCACTTATCAACTTCTCTTAGAACTCGCTGATCATCTTTCTAGCTTCGCACATCTCAACTCTCCTACAAGTTTCAGAGATTGCCAAACATGAGAGGGACCGAGCAACATCTGGAGATCTACTGGAACGTGCATTATTCTCATTTGGTAAAGCAGTACACTCTACCTTTCCCATGAATCTAGCGCAAGGAAAAGCTCGTTTGGACTTCAAAAGACCCGAGAATAGAGAATTTTGGTTGGCTGGATGGAGATACATCGCCATACTGGGCCAGAAGGCCACTTGGAGAACGGCTTTCGAATGGGCTCTGCTCTTGCTGAGTCTCGATCCCTTAGGGGACCCGTACTGTGTGTCTCTAGTAATCGATCAGCTAGCCATCCGAAGTCGACAGCCGCAGAGATTGATTGACTTATGGGATTCGGAGTATTTGAGCTCCAAATGGCACAGATTGGCGAACATTTCAATGAGCGTTGGTCTTGCGTACGTCCAGGTCAAGGAGCCCGCTCTTGGGCGAACAGTCCTCAAGAAGGCCATTGAGCAGTATCCTTGGGTCGCCATGCGCCTGTTTCAGGAACTCGACCTTCAACCGATTCCTGGCAGTATCTGGGGAAAGCAAGTTCGCTCAGAGGTCGAGAATATATTCACAGAGCTCTACGTGAAAAAATCAAAGGACATCTGGAATACTCCAGAGGCCACGACGATCCTGATGGAGGTTGCTTCATCTGCACAACCAAATCCCTCGCCAGACATGTCCATATACACCGGTTTTGACGAATTAGACTATACTCGCCATATAATGCTTACAGACGACCAAAGCTTGATAGGTCTGCTGGACAGAAGATTGACCTCTAGTCTGACATCTGTGTCTGATCCCCTACCTCCCCGAGACAACATTTCGTCTTACAGTGCGGCACGACAAGGTCGCGCATCCGGGAGCAGAGCCTCAGCTCTAGAGATAGTCAGAGAACTATCAGCTCTAGAGACTTTCTTCCGCAACCTCCTCCCGTTCTTCCCTCAGGCAGGCCAGGAGAGAGCGCAAGGTGCCTCTGCCTTTATCGACCCAGACACAGGCGAAGTACCTACACCACAGGATCTGGAGCAGAGGATAATGGCGTCCGGAATAGAACTTGATGTGATTCTGGCGCGTTCCACGCGTATGCAAGAGTTGCAGCGCGAGTTGGATATAGTCCTGAGAGAGACAGACTCGGAGGAGAACATTGAAGCTCTAAGACTATGGAACGAGCACAACACGGCAGGCGAAACATGACGTTAATCCTTCTTCCTCCAGCTCGGATAGACCGCAAATGGCAACGAAGAATAGAAGCCTGCTTTGGGGTTATTAAGGGGTATAAGTTAAAAAGTGATGTTTCGTGAGTCGGAATAATGAATCCATTCTGCGTGCGTTGGTAGGTAATGGTCCCGCCAACCAAGCCCAGGCCAAGCAACCAAGGTGAGACCCTCGTCCAGCTGCAACCATCCATGGATCTCCCCTCCCCTCCAGCACTGGGCCCAAGTGTTTTGTCTACGTCAGCGTCCGGAAACGCCTTATAACCTTGTAACCTGCAGATTGTGACTTGGCCCTTATGCTTCGACCTGGACATCTTCACCACGCAGACAAAGGCAAGGTCTGGTCTGAGCTTTCCGTGACGTGTGGCGATCTGAGCTGATTGCATTGTGCCCGGAGCTAATAAAGATCGCCCTCCGGTTCCGCTTTGTTCGATGATACATTCTATTGCTTTGCGCTGAAAACATTCTTGCAACGGAATTTCTTCTACCTGTAAGCCTATCTAACCTGAGCACGAGGTTCCTAATCCGAGCCTGCTATTGACGCGAATGTAGATATCGACCGTTGCTCTCAAGATCATCGACTCTCGAACTTCGCCATGCGAGCCCATCTCGCATCACGATTGCGAAGCTCTTCTCTCAGTGCTGTCCCTCCTCCACAATCCTCGTCTGAATACTCGAATTCCCTAGCCAAAACCGCTGCTAGTATTCTTTATCGCTCGCCGATCCCGTCGCAGACAGAACATCCCATATACATACTGAACGCTGCGGCTTTTCCCGATGCCGATGAGGTTGATTTCGATAAACTCCTACCATATGTTCTCGCACGACTTCCCGGAGAGGAAGAACTGATAACAGGCACGGACTATGAAGTCATATTCTTTGCTGGTGGCAATCCTGACGGTGCAACGTCCAGTAAAAAGAACAGACCTGGATGGGGATGGTTCATTCAAGCCTACCATGTGCTCTCAAGGGCAATGCGTAAGAGACTCCAAAAGCTTTATATTGTCCACGAGAGAAGTTGGGTCCGTATACTTGTAGAAATGTTCTCGACCATAGTCAGCCCCAAGTTCCGGCGGAAGATAGTGCATGGTGAGCTGTTATTTTTCGGGAAGCTCTGTTTGTCCGCTAATCTGACGACCCAGTGTCTTCCCTTACATCGTTGGGTTTATATGTTCCCTTGGAGGATCTTTTGATACCACCATCGGCATACTTGCACGATCGACGACTTAGTCCTGACATCAACGTGCCATATGCTAGCGGCAGACGAGCTTTTGCGGTGAAACAGCCATTTCCAAAAAATGCTGCTGGAGGTACCAGACTACCTCGGGTTCTGAGGGAGACCACTACGTTCCTATTAATGGAACCAAACGTCAAGACTGAGGGTATATTTCGCGTTCCCCCACATGCGCGCCTAAGAGAGATCTTACGAGAGGCGTACGACAGAGGCCAAAAGTTCATTGTCTGGAAAGACTACCAGTCATTCTTGCCACTGCCAAAGTATCCCAAAGCTCAAGACCAAGATTATGTGCTTGATGAAGTCGACCAGAAAGATGCATACAATGTTCTGCTCGCGGCAGGGCTCATAAAACTCTGGTATTCCGAGCTCCGTCAGCCACTATTTCCGGACTTCACATACCGCGAGCTCAAAACTTCTTTCAAGGACCCGGAGCTGCAAATCACCGTGGAAGTACTGACCGAGCTCATATCTCCAACTTCGGAATGGTCTAAACTACCGATGATGTCACGCGAGATTCTCGTACGGCATCTCCTCCCCCTCCTATCGATCATAGCTTCACGCGCAGAAGAGAACAAGATGACGGCCGAGAACCTTGCTGTCTGTTTTGCGCCTGCTTTGGTGTGTGGGCCAGATCAACTAGAAGATGCGAAGATTTCATCGATGATACGACGCATACTGACAGCTGCTATTGAGCTCTGGTCTAAAGGGCTTGCGAAAATGTGTGGCGTGGACCTTGAGGCCTTCCCGAAGGAGCTGCTTCTTCCATCTAACCCGACGGACTGGGAGGACCCCTTGGAAGCGCCCAGGCGACCTTTGCAACAAGCAGACGATTACGAGCCGCAAACTGATGAGAAGCATTTCACAGGCATCATTATGCAAGATAATGATGATACCGATGAAGTACCCCCGCCGCTACCCCCACGGGGTGGATCTAATGGTGAGTCTGGTACCAAGAGGAAACCAGCTCCTCCCCTGACTATCCTGCCCCGTTATTCAACGATTGTGCAGGACGGACCGCTTGATATCGCCGAATCTCCTGCCACTTATGCTGCAACAACTGACGGCTTCGCGCCGCATTCTTACTTAGCAACACTGTCTGGCCCACTAGAAGGGCAAGTGAAGGTACAGTCGCTACTGCCAAGTAATGGGGGGGCGGAATCTAACACAAAAGCAGTTCAACGATAGTAAACAGCTGACGAATGTGAACGCTGTCAATCGAAGCATGCCTGACGGCAAGTGGGCACTGCCAGGCTTAGCACGACCATACCCAACGACTCCTATACAAAGAAAACCACTTGAAACGTCGTCTGGACTGGCTACACCCGACGAGCAACCCTCAAGTCAACCTCCTCCAGTATATGAAAAGGAGGATCCATCCCCGACGACAGACACGACACTATCCGTAGAGAAATCACGACATACAGTAAGCAGCTCTTGTGCACGTGATCCAGTATCTCAGAGAGTTGAGTTCCGCAAACCGTCTTGGCCCGCCAGCGCGAGGAAACCAACGCCTGACTACTCCTTAAATGGTACGTCAGGATCGCGAACGCCAACCGCGATGAATTCTTTGGCGAGGCCCGTCTATCCTACATCAATAGGCGTTCAGCAGCCTCGATCACAGTCCAATACACCGCCCCCAGTCATGCCAAAGCCTAGGACCGCTTCAGAAAATCTGTTGTCAAGAATGTCATCTTTCGAGCGATGCAGCGAAAGTGAACATTCAACGCTTGCGCCTCAATCACCTGGTCGGTTAAATATGCGAAAAGCATCGGTGGAGGATCTGCGGAGGTTGTATGAAGAGCGTGTTGGGGCAGCAGAGACGCTTGTTGCAGCAGGTAGTGTCAAGAGAAAACAAGTACCATAGCCATGCATGGTAGGTCTTTAGTCGAGATTGTCGAAAGCATGTTGTGCATTTATACGGCGTTCTTGAAAGCACCTACATGTTGCGAAGGATACGTAGCGTTTTTCAGGGCTTCTGTTTCAAGGAGCGGATTGGGAGGCTATATTGTTTCCCATGAGCGTAATATCAGGATGCCTTTTGAGTCCGCACACAAATTCTGCGTGATGAGACTACCCGCCGTGGACTGTCGAAATGTAAGCGTGTCTGCGAACGCCGATGATCGGCATCGGCATCCGAACCAGGCGAGGTCGGGGAGCGGAACGGACCCTAAGAAAATAATTCATCGTATGAGCTATGACTATTATACTCTGATCCTCATACCGTCAATTAGATCAGCCATCCACTCTTCTCCAAAAGTTGATATAATTGACTCTTGTACACCACATAGCATTGATTTTTGAACACTACATAGCATTGATTCGAGAGACGATTTGCCTTGCCCCCCACCTCGTACGATCATAGGAATTTCAAGTAGATTACCCCACCATGTCGACTTTTGGTCAGTACTTCAAAGTCACCACGTCAGTATTCAAAACTTATCAAAATCATGGATGCTGATATCTGACCAGCTATGGAGAGTCACATTGTCGGTCTGTCGGCTGCATTGTCGACGGCTGCCCGCCGGGCATGGAGCTCACCGAGAGTGATATTCAGCCTCAGATGACGCGACGACGGCCAGGACAGAGCGCCATCACGACGCCCAGAGACGAGAAGGACAAGGTTGAGATACAATCTGGCACAGAGTTTGGAATCACGCTGGGCACGCCAATCGGGATGCGCGTGATGAATGAGAATCAAAGGCCAAAAGATTATGGCAACAAGACAATGGATCTCTACCCAAGACCAAGCCATGCAGACTGGACATACTTGGAGAAATACGGCGTAAAGGCAAGCAGCGGTGGTGGTAGAAGTAGTGCACGCGAAACCATTGGTTCGTGCCGATCCACTGTGCAGCTGGAGTAGAGCTAATATATATGACACAGGAAGAGTCGCAGCTGGCGCAATTGCTGAAAAGTACCTGCGGATTGCGCACGGTGTCGAGATTGTGGCCTTTGTGTCTTCGATCGGTGAGGAGTTCCTGTTTCCTCCTTCGAATGAATTCTCACTCCCAAACTCGCCCCGAAACCCGGAGTTTTTGAAGTTGTTGGATAGCATCACGAGGGAGAAGGTTGACTCGTTTCTGCCTGTCCGTTGTCCCGACGCCGACGCATCGAGTCGCATGGAACAGCTCATCACAGATTTCAAGGAAAGAGAAGACAGCATTGGCGGTACGGTGACTTGCGTGATCCGCAATGCACCTTCAGGTCTCGGAGAGCCGTGTTTCGACAAGCTCGAGGCACTGCTAGCGCATGCGATGCTGAGCATACCGGCGACCAAGGGGTTTGAGATAGGGTCTGGATTCGGAGGCTGTCAGATGCCTGGATCGATGCACAACGATCCGTTCATCAAGGCAGCTGCAGTCAAACCATCGGGCCAGTACTCGCAGACGGCACGCCCCCGCCTGACCACCAAGACGAACAACTCAGGCGGCATACAAGGGGGCATCTCCAACGGGGCGCCGATCTTCTTCACGGTCGCGTTCAAGCCACCGGCGACGATTGGCCAGGCGCAGCAGACGATGACATATGCAGAGGAGGAGGGCGTGCTTGAGGCGAAAGGGCGCCATGACCCCTGCGTCGTCCCACGGGCGATCCCGATTGTCGAGGCGATGGCAGCTCTTGTCATGGCCGACACGGCGCTTGCCCAGCATGCTCGATCATCGGCGCGAAGCTTGTTGCCTGCCTTGAAGGAGACGATTCCAGTGGAGGAGACGAGATCTGTGTAGCAAGATGGGGTAGTGTAGTGTAGTGTGGAAAGCTAATTATTTAAACCTGGCTGTAGAAGTGGACGGAATGGTTCACGACGAGGGTTGCCAAGGCTAATTTAGTAGCTGGATCGCCCGGCAACTAATTAATTACCTTCCCTTGGCCAGCTGTCAGAATGCGGGGACAAGTGAAGCAGATCGGTCTATTACTGGGGGGGGTGGTATGTTCCTAGGTAATAATAACAAAGCATATAGTACTGTAATGCCGATAAGAGATGATGACCACCAGCAGCACGGAGATGATGCAAAAGGATCTCCTTTGCATGCATGCATGCATATCATATCTACCCTTTTTCCCAAGGCTGGCTGGTCGTACCTATGTAACTCAAGCATGGGACAGCGATTTTGGGACATGCGGCTGCAGATCACGGGAGCTGCAGGCGTGAGATGCCAAATGCGCGGAATCCGATGATGCTGTTACCGCTCTTTTCTTTTTTTCGATCGACACAGAGTCACAGACTGCCTGCAGGACTGGCGGCGGGTGGAGTATAAGTGATTACATGGTTAGTAGGGTGGGGAAGCATCATGTCATCCCATGTCATGGACCGGGCTCCGTGAAAAAGAGAGGCGTGCATGGCGATGGCGATGGCGATGGCGATGGCGATGGCGTTGTCGTCGCCAGTTGTCTGGGCGTCTCCAATTGAATAGGCCGTAGGTAATTAGGGCATAGGCAGCCCATTCACAGCCCAGAGGTAGCCCGTTTGTCGCCTGTCGCCAGCCCGTTTGTGGGTGCATGGCCGCCTAGAAATCGGGTGGCTTGGGGCACTGGAAATCACTGTCACGGGTCCTTGCAGAACTGGCTGCCCTTCTGCCCGGTGCCGCGCAAGCTGACTACATCCAAGCTTGCTACTGTACCTACTAATAATATAATACTGATATGATAATTACTAGTAATTACCTACAGTAAGTATTACCGTGACACCCAGTCAGGTTGCACCTCCACCCACTGTGCATGCTGCTTCGACCTATCCCGACTTCTCCACCATCTTTGCCAATCACCGACATTCCTTGCTGCTCTCCTCTGGTCCTCTGGTCCTCCATTTGCTTCTACTCTTCACTACAAGATGCAAACTCAATACCAATAGCCTGGCTGCCCAATCTTCTACTTGTTGACTTTGTTCTGCATGCCTAGCTATCGACGACTCGCAACTTGCTCCTGGTCCGACTCCCTCCCATCCACGCGGAATCACATCATGATTGATTTCTAATATCATTTCCTATCTTCACTCCTCGGAGCAAGCTTCTTTCTGCCACTGTGCGCTGTACGACAGGGCATGCCGCATGTCCTCGCCACCTTACAACTTGCGACTCTCCTTGCTCCCACGTTCCCACTGTTACTCTGTACCTTGCTACCAGCCCTGTACCGTCACCCTTCAAGACCATGGCCCGCGCATTGGTTCCCAAGGAGTTTGCTGAGTCGGCCGCGTCGTCTTCGTCATCTACTGTCGAGACCAAGACCTCAAAGCGCAGATGCGTATCGAGTGCCTGCGTGCCGTGTAGGAGACGCAAATCAAAGGCATGTATCTTCTCTTCCTATGCTGATGTCTAGCCCTCTCCGCCCCCCGAACAAGCTGAACAAGCTCTACCTAGACACGTCCATGCTAACGAAATCTTCAATGCAGTGCGACGGAGGTACGCCCGTTTGTGCCACTTGTACTGCCGTGTACAAAACCGAATGCCACTATGACGGTGACGCAGAGGCTCGTCGCCCTACTGCTGCCCCACTCAAGCGCAATGCCTCCTTCATGTCCAAAGAGACTTCCTCTACCACGACGGCCGAGCTACTCTTGGAGAAGCTCCGGAGCTTGCCAGAACACGAGACACAAGCATTGGTGCACCAAATACGCGAGGGTGATGATATGGATGCGTTGGCCGCATCGCTACGAAACAATGTTTCAATTCGATCGTCGCGATCAAGAGATTCTGAGCCTCAGGAAGGCGACCTCTCCTCGTACATGGCGGCCACCACGTTCCTAAACGGGGGTGTTTCGAGGGTGTTCGGCTCGACAAGTGGCATGGGTCAAGTCAAGGAACCGGATAGCGAGACCGGCTATCGATCCAACGTAGTGGCTTCCTACGACACCTGGACAAACGTCACAAAAGATGGTGACTTTGTGCGCCACCTACTACAGACATACTTCGAAATCTGGAATCCATATTACAACTTTATCCCTCAGAAGCCCTTCTGGGATAGCTTTAATGTAGGAAGCACAAAGTATTGTAGTCCTCTGCTGGTCAACGCCGTGTGTGCACTGGCCTGTCATGCATCCGACTTACCTGGCGCACGCACCGTACCCAGCGATCACAGAACTTCTGGCGACCACTTCTTCGTAGAAGCGAGGCGAATACTGTTTGACGATGAGACCCCTTGCATCACTAGTGTTCAGGCGCTCTCCATAATGGCTCTTCGAGAGCCGGCCGCTGGTCGAGACAGTAGTGGCTACATGTACGCCGGTCGATGCCTGCGCATGAGCCTAGAACTTGGGCTGCATCTACGTTACGCTGGCCCAGACAAGCTTGATCCCGTCGAAGAAGAAGTCCGAAACGTAACCTTCTGGGCTTGTTTCTGTTTTGAGACGTATGTGTGGCCCCTCAGAAGGCTGGTTATGTCGCACAAGCTAAACCTCTCTCAGGGCCTGGACATTGTGTGTTGGACGGACATCCCAGCTTCCTCGAGCTGCTATCACGTCCCTAAAACCGGTGCCCAAGGAGCCCCTTCATTCCGACCCACGGGGTTCTCTTCCCTCACCTACGCCTTCGATTACGGGGAAAGATGCTACGACCGACAGCACCGAAAGTCGTCATATTTTATACCATCTTTCAACCTTGTCTGAGCTTGCAAACGATAATGTCTTCACATTTTACGCGCCCCAAGAGCGCTTTACATCTAGGAAACTCCTTGATTGTTTCTACAAGTATGAATCTTGGTACAGAGGGCTACCCAAAGCCTTCAGAGTGGACCAAAAAGCTCAGTCTCCTCCGTCACGTGCTGTGTTGGAACTTTCGTGAGTTTAACATGGATCTCGCATCAATAGTCTGCTAACGACAAGCAGCGCATGGTACCAGGCGTGTCTCATCATGCTGTTCCGTCCACTGATCAAGGTCTCGCTCACAAATTCCGACGTCGTTCCGCGAGACGTCTGTCTTAATGCCGCGAATGAAATTACACGATTGATGAGGATCTATCGCAACTCATATGGCTTTCGTCGTGTGAATACTATACTATCTCACATCAACCTGTCATGCTCAATGATACACCTCATCAACATCCAATACGAAGACTCGAAACTGTGTCTTATTCAAGACATGAAAAACCTTGAGGATATGTCAGAGAGCGCGTATTTCGCGGCGCGAGCTTTCCGTACTATCTGTGCTTTGGCTGAACAATGGAAAGCAAAAATTCCGCCAGAAGTCTTGCAGAACAGCAAGCTTGTTCCATCTGATGGCGCTATATTCTCTCCCGTTCCCAATGGCCCTTTCATCGAATCTTCTCATACCAGTAAATCTACCGCGGGAGGACAATCAACTCCTGATTCCCAGGCCGGAACGGAACCCAGACTCCATCCCCATTCGATACCAGTGCAGCATCCCCCAATGCCCCAGCAGCCACAAGCAGCAACACACCCTCCTGTGAATCAGCCAATAGCATCGATGAGTGATCTCCCTAATATGACGGCACAGATGCATTTCCAGCCGCACTTTCCGTTTCCAGCTCCGGCCGATGGAAAACCTGTGCTGGCCTCACATCCATCAGTGACATCGGTAACGCCTTCACATCGCCAGCAACAGCCACACATGCATGACTCGACACAAGCAAACCACCCACCGGTCCATCCTTCATCGTACAAGCCGTCAGACGCATCTGCCGCCCAACAGCTCTTCTGGTCGCCGTTCGGCGGCAACACGACCCCTCTTCTTGGTAACAATATCAATGTATCGCCCATGGACCTGAGCAATATGCTAGGCAACGTCGATACGTGGGAGCAACTAGGTCGCGACGGATTCAGTCTGACGGAGTGGAACAGTCAGCCCCAGCAACAGCCTCAGCAGACGCCACGGAAGGATGAACTGGCGTATGGTGTGCAGGGTGTGCCTCTGGAGGCACCATCCAACGCGGGAGGTTGGGCACAGCACGGACATCCGCATATGCATGTGCAGGCTCAAATTCAACAACAACAACAGCAGCAGCAGCAGCAGCAACCGTATGAGCATCAACAACCGCAACAGCATCAACAGAGGCATAGTGCAAATCCAAGGAACGACGATGCATGGGAATATACGCAGTGGAACCACCATATAGGATGAGGCAAGGAAGAAGATATCCCACCGAGCCTCATCCAGGCTATCTGAAGACGCTGAACCAGGAATAAACACTATTACAGATCTGGAATCCCATAGTTACAGAGTTACGAGGTCATGTTTTGTTTTTAGTTCGGCGCACTAAGGACTCATTTCACGGGCGGGGAAAAGATAAGTTAAACTTGTGATTCATATATATATATATACCACGCATTTCAGACATGGTCGTTGGGGTTTGCAGAGTAGACAAAAATAGGGGCGCTTGGGTGGCGTGTTTTTTTCGGGGGTTGGGGGTGGGAGGGATAGCGAGAGTCTCTCTCTATATGCAATTATGTTGTATCTGTAAATACGAAAAAAATCGAACATCTCGTGAATATGAATATGCTCCTCCTCTTTTTTTTGGGGGGGGCAATCTTTTCATTCAATCCTCCTGGCTTGCTTCCTGATGTTTTCATTTCATGGATCAGTCTCGTGTATTTACCTATGTCGGGTGCGGTTTGCTTGCTTGCTTGCTTACTTGCTTGAAGCCCAGGCAGAACCGTGAGACAAATGGCCATTGGATTACATGGCTCGAAAAGCCTGTTCAGACTCAGTCTTGCTTTGTCGAGACCATGGTAAAGAAGTAAGGAGTGGATTTAGCGATTTAGTGGCTTCCCCGTGCCGGATCTACGAGATTACGACCTTGCTTTGATGACTGACTGAACATATGAGAGAATATATATAGATATACAGACGACCTAGGCTGGTGTGATGAATCAAGACGTTGATTAGCTAGCTATCAGGGAGTATATATATATACACTCTATGATATCACCGTCTAGACTGTAGCTTTTTTCCCAGTCTTTTTTTCTTCTTCTCAGAAATATGTTGAGGAGCATTTCTATCAAGTAAGAAAGGAGACTACCTCCCAGAGACCTTTGTTCGGTTAAGAATGGTTAAAACATACATAGTAGAGGCTAGTACAGGTAAGGGATTCCCAAGTTACTGATACTACTGCTAACACATGCTTCGCTCAATCAAGAAGACGTCTTCGCCTTCTTGGACTGGGCAGAGTCAGTCTCGATCGTTGTGCCGGGCGTGATTGCCTGGCTACCAGCAGCACCAGTATCAGGTACAGCTTCCTCCTCTTCTTCGGGGCCGCCATGGCTTTCAAGCGATTGCGGTACTCCCGAGCGGGTCGAGGCCGGATCCGAACCTTGTTCGGAGACGTCAAAGTTCACGTCTGCTGGTAGCGCATCGATGACCTCGCAGATTCTCTCAAAATGCTTCGGAAGCCACAAATCGTAGAGGTTCCGAACAAAGGTGTATGCCGTCCACCTCGCATTCCCATCCGAGCCTATACTGAAGGTGTGTATTTTATGGCGGTAATACTTGACATTGTCGCCATCGATGACAGCGTAATGGCCCCAGATCCTCACAAGTTCATAGTTGTGAGATATCGAGAAGCCATTGACTTCTCGATGAAGTTCCTTCTCGCGGCCGACCAAGCGGAAGAGAGTGTATAAGCCGCGTAAGCAGACAGTTTGAGTGTGAGCATTTTGCCGATCGGCAACGTCAAGATCAGCTGCGCCACTTTTGACTTCGGCAGAGAAGAACGGAAGATACATATTAAACGTGGCCGCAATCAGGCCAGAATCAGTCACTAGGTTGCCGAGGAAAGGCAGCAGCTTCATATACTGTTCAATGCTAAAGGCATCGCTCCTGAATCCAAGACCATAATCTGGCTGAGGACGGGGACCAGGACGCGAGCCTGGAGGTTTCAAGAAAGTGGCAGAGTTGAGCCAACACGCGTTGACAGTCTCTCGGAGGACTTCCAGATGTTTAGCTCCTCGATCGGCCAGAATCTCGGCTGACGGAACAATGAGGAGTGCAATATCGCGAACCACCCGGGCTTCATTTTCGCCGTTCATTCTTTTGCATGTCTTGTCGAACAGATAATCGTCCGAAAACAGGGTACCTTCAGGAAGCGACTGCGTCCCGTTGAGGAGCATTTGGCAAAGCCTTTTGCTTTCAGTAGTAATGCCTTCAGTATGCTCAGACAGGAAACTGCCGCAAACCCTCATTTGTTCCACGAACATAGGATGCTTGTACGGAGCGCTCTTCTGCTCTCGGTTTAGTTGGCTGCTTGAAGTCTGCGTCTGGGTGGTTTCCGAATTCAGACTGGCATTGGAGCGTTTACGACTCAACGACCGTTTTATCGGGCGCGCCTGATCAACAATATCTTGAAGTCGACGCATCGTTGCTTCTTGTTCCTCTGTTGGCCAAGTGCCTTTATCTCTCCAGAACTCAAGCCGAGCCTCTTTGATTGTCTTCTGTGTAGCAGCTGAAGATGATCGCGATCGTTTGGTTGATGCCTCAAGTGAATCGCGAGGGTTTGGAACCTCGTCTTCACGATGCCGATTGTCCCCGGCCTGCTTTGTATTTGGAGATATTTGGGACTGTAGACGCTTCCTTGGTCTTTCGCTCGATGTGTGACTCTCAGGGTCCCAACTGCGCTTCTTTGCTTCTACGACTCGGGATGGAGCTTCGGTCGAACTCGAGAAATCCTTTACCATGTTAAATAGTTTACAATGAGGGAATCGTTGTCGACTTGCCTGCTGCTTTGTTGGGTGTCGCGCTTGCAGTTGAGCGTCCGTCTGTTGATCGGATCTCTCCTCAGCTGCTGCTTCTTTGCGATTGCTTGGACTCGTGGCTTCGCTGGTAGGTTGTTCTACGAAAGTTAGAACGGTTTTGCAATATGGCAAGAGCTGCGACAACATACTTGCCTTCGCCTGTTCTTGTATGCAGCGCCTCTTCGGGGCGGCTAAAGGTGGTGAGTAACTAGCCATGATGCCTAGGTTCGTACGTTCGAAGCGCCTATATCTAACCGCTGAGTTTGAGATGCTTGATGGAGGGTTTAGTAGCTGGACTCAGCGTGCGAATTCATAGGTGGGCAGCGGCGCAAGTGAGAGGTACGCCAAGCAAGCGAAACGCCCTATACGTCCCCTGGTCCAAGTTAAGCGTGACTCCCGCATGTATTCGATGTTATGTGGTGTATAATGCGCTTGATATTATATCCCGTACGACCGTACGAGAAACTTGCAACTTACTAGAGCGCGGGAAGAACTGCGTAATCATATAATTGAAGTAGTAGGCTATTGTCGGAAACTAGAACAAGTGGTCGAAGATTCAGAGGGCTCTTGATATACCTCCTATACCTTTTCAATAGACACACACAAAAGAAGCCACACGACCGAACCAGCACGCTGAGAGAGATTCAATTCTGTAGCTAGTGAAGGCTCCCAGTTGGAATTGTAGGGTTATAGTGAAAGGGAGACAGGAGTTGAGGCCGTGATGCGAATGTCATCAAGCTTTGAGTCAAACTTCTATCAATGAAGCTCGGGCAAATGATGTAGCTCACCAATGGCATGTAGATCTAGACAGCTTCTCTTTGATGGGAACTTTGAATTCAACAGTCGATGTTTGTGGTCAGTCACTGATTGCAATATCATGAGGTCTCTGGTATTCAGGCCCTCGGCCGTGATGTCGGGAGTCAGTTCTCGCCCTGCTACGCAATCAGAAGTCAAGTCAATGTTACTAGAAACAAATAGACAACAAACGGCCTCAGGCAGTAAGGTACTGTGAATTTGGACAACACATGCCCACTAATTAGATATAATTAGATATAATAAGAAGAAGGGCACCGAATGGGTCAAATGGATTCATGGACTCATGGAGGATTGGGCCGGAGTCTGGACCACCGACCGACCGGGAGCTACTCAAACGCAACCCACGCGCAAGCTCTCCTCGTCTCTTCTTGCACCAAGAACTGGACCTCAACACACTTCTTCACCCGGATTGTCCTATTCCACTCCTCCACCCCACCATCTCCTCATCCGCAAGCTCCTTCTGATAGACACGATTTCTTGCGCATTATAAAATACCTACGACAACTACCCCTACACGCATTCATCATCGTCAATGGAGCTTCTCGAGCGCTAGCCATTGTCACTGAAGTGCTGCGGGGCTGTCCGCACACTGAGGCACTGTCCCTTGCAACAGGTACGCACTCACGCGATGAGGCCAGAATTTCAGTCGCATAGACTTTACTGACCTGCTCTCTGACTGTAGAATCTTTACAATGCCTATTGAAGTTCCCTCACAGCAAAGCCAGCATGTCGCTCATCCACCGAACTCCGGTGCTCCCGACCAACCGGGATACTCACTCTTCAACGACCCCCATGCGTCGCTCGCAAAATTCACTGCAAAGCTCCCACCCTCGTCCATCAATAGTTTCTGCGGCGCTATGGCAGGTGTCGCGTCGGGGATTGTGACGTGCCCCCTCGACGTTATCAAGACAAGATTACAGTCGCAAGGTTCCTTCACACGGGGCATCAGTCGAGGAACACCATCTTCAAAAGCAATCTATAATGGTCTATCTGGCACCGCCAAAGTGATATGGATGGAAGATGGCTTGCGCGGGATGTATCGCGGTCTTGGACCTATGCTCTTGGGCTACCTTCCTACATGGGCCGTGTACATGAGCGTCTATGACTCCTCAAAAGACTTTTACTATACTCAAGTCGGTCAGTGGTTGTCGGCTCTAAGATGTAATGTCGTACCGTTTTGCTGATACAGCCCAGATAACAAGTGGTTCGCTCGGATCTACGCATCGGTGACAGCTGGAGCATGCTCGACCCTCGCAACAAATCCTATTTGGGTCATCAAGACTCGATTAATGTCTCAAGTCAGTGAAAGAGCCTCTAAAGAACACCGGACACCCTGGCACTACAAGTCGACGTTTGACGCAGCCAAAAAAATGTATCGAACAGAGGGATTCCTTGCCTTCTACTCAGGCTTGACACCGGCACTACTCGGTTTGACACACGTCGCGATCCAATTCCCATTGTACGAGTTTTTTAAAATGAAATTCACAGGCCTTGAGATGGGCGAAAACACCAAAGAGGACCATGACGTGCACTGGGCTGGTATCTTGGGCGGGACATTTCTCAGCAAGATCTGTGCTACTACTGCTACCTATCCGCATGAAGTGCTTCGAACCCGTCTCCAAACCCAGCAGCGATCCTTGCCATCGACTTCGTCCGAAGGGGTCTCTTTCCGAGGCTCCTTGGGTGAGCCGAGTACGTCCCGGGGGTCTGGAACAGCAGGGCGTGCGTCATCAGAAGGAGTCTTGCCACGAGCTGTCTTAGGCTTGACGGCCTCTCATCCCCCTGGATCAGCGTCTTCAGATGGCATGATCAATCTGCCACGATACCACGGAGTTGTGAAGACATTCAAGACCATTCTGGCTGAGGAGGGCTGGAGAGCATTCTATAATGGAATGGGCACCAATATGGTCCGGGCTGTACCAGCGGCAATGACGACAATGATCACTTACGAAGTGCTCAAGAAAGCGTGTCACCGGCTACAAGAGGAAGGCCAGGCTGCTTTGAATGAAGAACCGTGAAGCAGGCATCGATGCGTCGCATGCGAGGGGTCTTCGTCCTGCCGTCCTTTCTACACCAACATTTTTCCCTTCAGCAATACATATTAGCATTGTCCCTTGGGAGGGCTCCTTGGCGTTCGTAGGAGCACATGGCGCAGACCAGAGTGCCGAAGTCGCTGCTTTTCTCTGTGGGTCATAATGGGGTGGGCGATTGTGATGCTTAAGGTGGTCATTTCTGCAGTTTACAAAGACAGACATTGCGCATTCTAAGACTGCATACTGATTTGAGATATCATCAGCATCGTGTACATGATAGCTAGGCGTGCCGTAAAGGCTTATCGAAAAATAAGTGTTATGCCACGAGAATTAGCCGTTTAACAAACCATGAGGCAAGCTCAGACGGACTTCAGTGGAAGATTTAGAGTGTTTTTTAGACTGAGGTCGTCGTCAATAGTCTGGTGTGATAGCTGGCCCTAAGGTTAAGGTTTGGCTTCTAGACACGTAAACTGGCGTATGTAGCGTCCGCCGGCGCGAGGGATAGATAGCAGTTCTCCTGAGCATGACAAGATTCTTTTTGCCAAGTAGATATTCTGAAGATTGACCTCACTATGCAGTGCCGTACCTGTTGGTTTCTTGAGACTCTTCTCTGATTGCTCGGAAGATCTCGTGCTGGTCTTGCAGCTGCACGCCAGGCAATCCCTGGACGTTTATTGAGCTGGCTTCCTTTTACGGCAGCCAAGTCGTAGGGAAATTCCCCCGACTCGAGCTGCAAGATTACGGCCTGCATCTTGTTCACTTCTACGCCTGAGTTGGCAAAATCTGTTATGTTCGTGCACCTCACATAATAGTCGTTCGCTCTATCGTCGGTCCTGGTCGCTCGTTTTATTCCGATACGATATCCCAGCCGGGTCTGTCCATCCGATAAGAGAGGATTCCAGCAGCGGTCTGCACTGCGCGCACGGTCGATCTACACACACACACACACACACACACACACACACACACACACACACACACACACACACACACACACACACGAATAGCAGAATGGCGGGCACGCTGTTACCGAAGGACCGCTTCAGCTGGAAGTCCACGAGATCAAGATTTCCACCGGGGAGACAGATATGGCAGTTCTTTACGAGATCACGATATCCGCAGTACTTGGCGCTCGTCGCGACAATACTGCTCATACTGAGAGGTTTTGGCGGTCTAGGAGGGGTGTCAAGCAGGTACGTCCGGACAGCTATGGGACTGTAGCATGGCTTTGGAGCTCTAGTACACGTAGCGCGTGAAATGACATGCTAATTGGTTCTCTATGGAACAGATACACTTGCTGGGGCCCAACAATATCGCCCATGGAGATGACCCCGAACGACCTGGCGAAATGGCATGGCCACACCACGCCTGTAATATTCAATCATCACGCACCGGTCGAGATCAAGGAAGAGACGATCAGCTATATCGACCTCAATAAGATCGAATCCACGCGCCGCGCTCTCCAGAGCGAGGAAAAGGTGCTTATCCTAACACCTCTTCGAGATGCCTCGCATTATCTGGAGAAATACTTCGAACTTGTTGCGAAGCTCACATATCCTCATCATCTGATTGACCTGGCCTTCCTTGTGGGCGATACCACAGACGATACTATGGCAGTACTTGTGCTGGAGCTTGAGCGGTTACAGAAGCGGAAAGACAAGATCTCCTTCCGATCTGTCACAATCGTGGAGAAAGATTTTGGAGTTACATTCGGGCAAGATGTGGAAGATAGGCACGGTTTCAAAGCTCAGGGACCCCGGAGGAAAGCAATGGGAAAGGCCAGGAACTATTTGCTCAGCCATGCGCTCAAGCCTGACCATAGCTGGGTGTACTGGAGAGACGTTGATATTGTGGATAGTCCAGAGGGGATTATCGAGGACTTCGTTGCACACGATAGGGACATACTGGTTCCCAACATCTGGTTCCACAGATACAAGGTTGAGGACGGCAAGAAGGTCGATATTGAAGGACGATGTGAGTGGCCCTGAGTACTGGTTGTAATGCTAGCTGACCTGGAGTCAAGTTGATTATAACTCGTGGATTGAGTCTGACACTGGCCGTAAACTCGTCAAGAATCTCCCTCCTGGTGTGGTCCTTGCAGAAGGATACGAGAAAGAAGGGTACAAGACGGGCCGAACGTATATGGCTCGCATGGGCGACTGGCGAGAAAACAAAGATGAAGAGATTGAGCTTGATGGTATTGGTGGTGTCAATATCCTTGTCAAGGCTGATGTCCATCGCTCCGGTGCGTCTTAAAGAACAACTACGTTGGCATCAAAATATCTGCTAACATGAACCTCAGGCATTAATTTTCCCTGCTACCCCTTTGAGCACCAAGCGGAGACAGAAGGTTTCGCTAGGATGGCCAAAGCCGCCGGTTATGGTGTTTATGGCCTGCCTAACTACGTTGTTTGGCACATCGATACAGATGAGAAGCCAGGCAACAACTAATTAACTCGAATCATGCATTTCCTTGCTTCTCCCTTTCGAAAATTTTGCCCCCGACTTATGGTCAGCTGATAGAGACCTGGTTTCGGATTATGCTACTACTACTGCTACTGGAAATAAGCGTGCGACTCCTCTAGTAATTCACGACAAAAATACCCATTCACGCGAAAGCACTGTCCAGATTTTTCGAGGCATTTCGAACTGCATTCTATTTTCATGCTTCTTCATCGGCGTATTGTCGCATTAGCAGCACGAGCGAGCGGTTTAGTGTTTCACAGCCTCTCACACACACCCTTATTTTGACATCCTTTTCGGCGCGCGAGCGACTCGGAAGGAAGCGAGAGCATCCCTTGTGTCTCATCTGGCGTTTGGAACCACCTGGCCCACGCACGAGGGCGTCCTCACGATCGGGTTTGCATTATGCGCTAGGCCGCCCCCCCCCCTTTTTCTGATCTGTATAGGAAGGCAGGTTCATAATTTTTCTCTCCACCATTTTCATGGTACATTTCTTCATGTAGAGCCAGCCCCTCCTCGCTGGGAACCAAAGGATCTGGCAGATTTCTTAAGCTGGACGTGGTTTGGCCTGGCTTCGGCCTTTGGCTTTGGCTTTGCAGCGGGCTTTGAACGTGACGTGACGTTACGCGAGGTGTGGATGTGTGTATAGATAGTTGATTCGATAAGCTAGTATATACTCACGCTGTAGATAGAGAGGAACACGAATGTACGAGACGCTATCGACTGGATGACTCACTATATATGACTATAGACATTCATTGTTGGTGTGTGGTGGTGGTGGTTCGTTGGTTGATGTGTGCTTGATGATGGCTGTGGAGTGTTTGCACCGACTTGTGTTGGCTGCTGTACCTCCGGTTGCGCTCTGGGGTTTTTTTCCTCCCTTGGGCTTTGTCTGGCTCTTGTCGTGTTTACTGGCAATGATGACTCTGTCTCTTACCATATCTCCTAACACCAACAACAATAATAATGGATAATATTAATGACACGCTTCTCAAACTCCATTCCAAACACCATCCGCCCACCCCCTCCCACATCCACACAGTCCTAGCCCTGTCACGACGACGCACTTTATACCCCAACACCATCCATACCTATCCCCAAGACACAGCTAGCTCCCATCAATCACCCATCCACCCACCCGCTCATACTCCTCCTTAATAGGAGATAAGTGCGAGCTTGAAACCCCCTTGCAGGACTGCAGTCTTCTTTGCTTCTGATTTGGGGGTGAAGGGGGAGAGAGGTGGAGGGTTGGGTACTGGGGGTGGGGTCGGGAGGAGGAGGAACCTCTGCTGCGCTTGAGGGTTGATGGGGGCTTGTATGCTGCCGCTGGGTGCTGGTCGGGAAGAAGACGGCGTTTTGGCCGAGGGGAGGATGTGGGGAGGGTGGGTGGTGGGGCGGTTAGGAGGGATGTGCTTCTGATGTGAGAGCGTGGCGGGTTGTGCTTCGGGGTATGGGCTTGATGGGATGGTGGTGATGGTGATGTGGAGGGGGTTGAGCCTGTGTCTGGTACTCGGCTTCTGAGGGCGAGATCTGTGAATGGCTCTGAGGGGTGAAGGGGGCGCTTTGGTGGTGCTTTGTATGTAGTCTGGGTGAGCCTTTTGGGGGCAGGTTGGGCATTTGGATATGTGTCTGTCAGTATGGAGGTTTGGCTGTGCCAGGTTGGTATGGTGCTTGGTTTGGTATTGATCTCCCGGTCATCCTCTTTGAAGTTGAAATCGAAGCCGGCTAAGTGGTTTAAATCCCCTGGGTTTTGCTTAGGCGACGTTGATGGTGGATTCGAAGGCTGAACTGGACGACTCGTGGTTGTGTTGGGTGCGCTTGGTATGCCAGAACGAGGGCTTGCCTGTAAAGGTGGTGTTTCCTTAATAAAGGTACGGTCCAGAGGGGAAAAAGGCTTGAGAGATGGTAGGCATGGTGGGTTGGCTGAGGAACCTGGTAGAATGCATCGATCATGTGGTATTTCCCTCTGCTGAAGGAGTTTCCTGTCCTCGGCCTTTTTGCGACGCATGTTCGAAAGGTCTTGTTGTGTATAAGGATCGCTGTGCGAGCACGAGAAGGAGATTGCATGAGCGCACTTTATAAGTTAGTAGTGCTTAGCACTACGAATCACGCACATAGTGTTTTGGGTGGCAATACACAAAGCATCGCACGAGATCATGACGCCGCATCGAGGAAAGATACCCGTGAACAATGCGAGCAGCCAAGGATAAACATTCTGTTTGCAAGGGAGGACATGTCCGTTCCCATGTGGCATCAAAGACCCTTCCTTACAGCACTCCGAAAGGGATATATCTGAACCTAACCATTCATTAGCACAAGCTCTGTGTTGTCTTCGACAATCTTCAAAGCAGTAGACGTTTTAAAAACTTACCTTGCTCATGTCCCACACTCCGCTCGTGACATACACGTCAATCTCAAGCCTAGCCCTGACTTCCTCCTCGCTCTCGGCATAGCATATCATAGCACTGCCCTTCATGTCAGGCGTCTCGCCCTCTTTGGGCTTGGACCCCATGAAAGCGCCTGCTTTGCATTAGCCAAATACCGAGGAACATGGTGATGTTCGTTCTGTACCGCCCATGATCCAGAAGTCCGGCTCGGGCGTGATGCCACCGAGGTGTTTTCTATAGAATCGTCAGTCAGGAAGTCTGATTGATATCGAAATTCAAGTATGAAGAACAGGTTCTGAAGACAAGTTTTGGCTTGGCATAAGAACAACAAAATAGCAAAAATAAACAAAGACTGACTGTCTAACTTCCAATCTTTTCTGCAATGCGCCCTCAAAGTCAGGCACGATGACGAGCCATTCACACTTGGACGATGCGGAAGCCATGGCTCTTGACTGCAAGATTGGATATGTTCGAAGTCTGGTGGTTGTTGTTGCAGGACGCTGAGATGTCGTTCTGATGCAGCTGAATGCTTGACGGCGGAGCAAACCTACTGAAACCGACATTCAGGCTGAAGATGAAGCTGGACACCAACGAGCGCTTCTTTTGAATATCAATTATGCCTGTACAGTGAGGAGCTTATAGTTGTCGACGACAGGGCGTGCATGACAGCGAGGTGAGTTGCGGGGCTCGGCAAGCACTCGGCGCTTTTCTGTGGATTGTAGCATAAACATCACTAAAGGTAATTATACTTTCAGCAATTGAACATAACAAGCATTTGTGTACGTGTTGAAGTAGCAGTGGATGATCTATATAGCCCACTACGTCTATCTGCAAGCGCTCTAACTGTTTATGCCTCATCAATGTGGTCTCCATATAATGCTTCACCTCATAGCTTCGCAGGTCTCTTCTCGCGTTTCGACATAGCATCAGCAACCATCCGCCGTTGAACCTTGCCAGTTGCTGTCTTGGGCATGATATCTGTAAAATATATCTGTCATGCTCATTAGCCACCTATGTGCAGGGAGTTGGGGATTTCTAACCTTCTTCGGCAGTTTGAACTTCGCAACCCTGTCTTTCATCCAACCCCTCAATTCATCTGCAGAAAGCTTGCCTCCTTCTTTAAGCACCACGGCAAGACCGACATCCTGACCGTACATCTCGTCTTCTATTGCGAAGCTGACAGCTTCTGCAACAGCTGCATGCTGGGCGACGACGTTGTCGAGCTCAATTGGGCTGATCTTCTCTCCACCCTTGTTGATGAGCTCTTTGATGCGGCCTGTGATGATCACGTAGCCATCGGCATCTTTCTTGCCTTGGTCGCCAGTGCGGAAGAAGCCTCCTCGCGTGAAAGACGTTTTGTTTGCCTCGGGGTTATTCAGATATCCTTTGGTCACGTTCTCCCCGCGGATACAGATTTCTGCCTCTGAGCCCTGGGGAACTTCGTTACCTTCTTGGTCAAGAATCTTGATTTCGACTCCTTGACCGATACCTACGCTTCCGGGCTGTCTCTTGCCAGGAGGTAAGGGATTCGATGTCATCTGATGTGCTGCTTCGGTCATTGCATACGCTTCGAGTACGGGTGCATTGAAGCTCTTCTCGATCTCATGGAATGTCTTTGGCGACAAAGGAGACGAACACGAGCGAATGAAACGAATGTCTGGAATTGGACTTGGGAGTGGAGTCTTCAGCAGAATCTGATGTATAGTGGGCACCGCAGTGTACCAGTTGGCTTTGTGCTCTATGAAGTCTCGCCAGAAGTCAGAGGCAGAGAACTTCAGAGGTACAATCACAGATCCGCTGGATGCTAATGGGGCAAGAAAACCAGCCAGAAGTCCGTGGACATGAAATAAGGGCATCACAAGCATCGTCCGATCTCTAGTGGTGAGGCTGTATGTGCGTTGTATATTTCCTAGATCTTGTCAGACACAGTGAAATTGTGTAGCTCTCCTCTTGATCTACTCACCCATGGTCCGAGTCAAGTTTCTATGAGTCAATGGAACCTGGTATGGCATAAGCTAACGTTCGTCGTGGCCTTTTATGGCCAACTTACAGCTTTCGGCCGCCCAGTGGTTCCGCTCGTGTGCAGGACCAGAGCAACATCATCTGGCTGCGCTCCCTCCAATCGCTGAGCCCCTTTTGATTCCAGCTTCCCCTTCTCTTTCACATCTAGGACCACCTCATTACCATTCCAGTAGCATTCCGCAATAGCCGCCTTATATTTGCGTGCTGCTCTTACAGCCGCGGCATCTTGTTGGTATGCTCCTTTGGGTACCAGCGTGACAGCCGAGCTGAGATCATCAATGTAGAACTCGAACTCATCTTGCTTGTAAGAGGGATTGAGTGGTGCAGCGATCGCTCTTTGCCATGACGCTGCAATGAAAGCCACGATGAATTCGTAGGTGTTCGGAAGGGCAATTGAGACTGCTGACGCGGGTGATATACCGAGAGATGCGAGTTTCCGCTGGAACGAAGCGACCTCAGCGCATAGCTGCGTATACGTGATCGTCAATGACGGTCGGCCAGGAACAATGATAGCCGGCGCATCGGAGGTCTGTGAGAACGAGTTGGCAAGGGTAGCCATGGTGCTGTCGTTAGCGGGAGGGCGGCAATTGCGAGTCCTTGCTTCGGGCGGAACCGTATCAAGGCAATATAACAAGAAACCAAGTTATGAGAATACAAAGAGAAAAGACGTTGCGAATTGAAGGGTTGTCAGCCATGACAAGCCTCGGCGACAAAGTTACAGTACTCGATAGCACGTTACCGCATTGGGACTGTAGCGCACACGGTCCCACCGCTCGTCATCGGTGATATTGCGATTTTGCGCGTCGCGTCTTTACCGCCTTCCGTAGTCAAAGCTATATTTAATTCGCACTAAAATCCACTGCACCTCAACCTTAGCTCCCACATCGACATCAACATCGACAGCTTCATTCCTCACCTCCATCTTTGCAACATCGACATTGAACATCGTTACGTTATTGCACCAATGGCTGGCGATCAGAAGCCCGCACCTGCGGCCTCTTCAGGCTTGAGTCTCTATGCGCATCTGCTTCCTGGCGGCGGAAAGTCGACCATCACCAGCGCACCTGTCATGTACAATCAGCCGAAAGAGGAGAAAGAGCAAGCTGCTCCGGCAAAACCTAGTATTGGTAATTATCTGTAGTGGCCCTCTCCCCCACTCCTATTTGCCTATTCAAGACCTGTAAGCTTACTGCGGTCTGTTCGCTGCTTTGCAGATTTCACAAAGCAACTATTTCAACAACAACAAAAGAAGAAACAAAACCAGCTCCACAAGGGCAGGGGTGCGAAACCTTCAAGGTTCCACGGATCCACCTCTTCTATGAACACGAGCTCGAGCTCCCCAGACAAGACCGGTAATGGAAGCAGCTTCAACATCCGTCCGATCACCACGTCGACAGCGGCAGACTGGATAAGCAACGCACAGGATGACGATGCGGCAATCGAAGAAGCCGAAGCCAACAAGAGTCGATATAGATATCCTAAGAAGAAGAAGAGAAAGACGCAGAGGAACGTGCCTGAAGCTGAGATCAATTGGAACGAGCTCTATGAGCCTACCAAGTGTACGAACCTCCACGCCTACAACGAGAGTGAAGAGTATAGGAATGCAGACAATGATTGGTTCAATAAGCTCCACGCGTCTCGCTTCGCAGTGCAGCGCAACGCAAGCAGCAGTGCAGAAGTGGTTACTCCATCAGGTCAGCTGCCTCAAGCTCAAAGATATATTTCCATGCTGACCACTTTCCAGCCCCGGTCGTGCGCAACGCTATGTTCGCACCACCCGCGTTCAACAATGGCCCGGCCAAAGCTATTGAGGATGTGGTGATGCGCGACGACGACGCTGTCCATCCTGACCGACGAAGCGGCATGGCAGCCATTCCCACAGACGACGAGGAGGAGTACCGTCCGTCTTTCGGAGCACCCGCACATCCTCCTTCTGGTGGATTCTCTACGCACAATGCTACCGCGGGTGGCATCAATGTCGCTCCAAGCTTCGCACCTCCAAGCTTCGCACCCCCGACCGCGACCAATTCGTCCGCTCCCGCCTCTGCCGTCATATCACGCGCACCCGTTCGATTCCAACAAGCAGCATCCGCTACTGCCTCTGAAGATCAACAGGGTGATACCATTATGAGCATGGACGAGGTCCCTCCCGAGCCAGAAGTCGAAGAGGCTCCGCGCTCGAACCGACCTGGACAGAAAGACTTTGCGAGGCGCCTACTCATGAAGCAAGGCTGGAAGGAGGGCCAAGGTCTAGGAGCATCTGGCTCTGGCATGATCAAGCCACTGTACGTCAAACCGATCAAGCAGAAGAAGTTCTCGGACGCCGAAGGTGGCGGGTTCAGCAAGGCTGGACAGGGCAAGATCATTGCGGGGAAGAAGGCCAAGGGCTACGTGGAGGAGGAAGGCCAGTATGGCAAGATGAGCGAGGTGGTGGTGGTCCTTGGCCTTCTTGCGGGCGTTGACGTGCAGAGAGAGATGCAGGCGGACGTGCCTCTGGCACAGCGAATCGGGGAGGAGTGCAGCGAGAAGGTTAGTTCTGCCCTCGTGAGACGAGAATTGATTGATACTGATGATTGATATAGTTTGGGAACGTGGAGAAGGTGACGGCAAGCGCGGAGACTGGGCGAATTTTCGTCAAATTCACCCAGTCGTTGTCGGCGCTCCGGGCGGTCCAGGCGCTGGACCAAGGCGTCCTGCGATCCCTGGAGCCGCTGAACGCGGCAGGCAGCGTGGGCACGGCGCGATACTACGACGCCGACGACTTTGCACAGCAGGTGCTAGACGCGGACGTCAAGGTTCCGTCTGCCCAGTAGATGGCAAGACGCCAAGGCAAGTGTAGTATGTAGCGAAAATCAATGACAGTTGTTGACTGAGAGTGACATAGCGAGTGCAGCATTTTCCATGACGTGGTAGATGTCGTGCAGGTATATTCATGTGTAGATTTGGTAGAAAGCCGGTTTGTCTACAGTCAGGTGGTGATGTATACGATAGCCAGCAGAGGTATTGAGCAATCCAATCCAATCCAATCCAATCCAGGGCAACGCATCCCTCAAAACAGGTCCTTTCCCCTTTCCCCCTTTTCCTTCTCCCTTTTCCCCCCCAAAAGAAAAACCACTTTTATCAAAAGACATCCTCAAAGCAAATAGCGATAATCAGGACTCAAATCGCCCATCTCGGTCTTCTCGTACTCGGTCAAGCCGCGATCGACGGCGCTCCTATCCTTCAGCCTGTTCTGCCACCAACAGCTGACAAAGTAGATGGTGCAGGCGAGCGCGCTCAGACAGACGAAAGAAATGCTGATGCTGTGGCCCGTGTGATAGCCGGACGGGGCGTCGCGGGGCAAGAAGGCAAAGACGGCGATGATGCCGGCAATGTTGCCGAAGCCGACCTGCCAGGCGGAGCCGACGGCGCGGCGGTGGTGGCCGCCTAGGTTCATGTTGAACCAGCTGTGTGTCGTTAGTCTGGGACTGTGAAAGAAAACAATGGGGATATAGGGGAGGGGCTCAGGGAAGGAAAGGGGAAACACAAACCAGACGATGATGGGCATGGCGCTGTAGGCGCCCATGGCAACGAGAAAGAGCGCGGCATACTGCACGTCGCGATTATTGTGCACAGAGATGAGGATTGCAAAGCCGGACATGCAGACGCAGATGGGCACGATGGCGCAGAGGAAGCGGTGCCGCAGCTTATCCGAGATGTAGGCTATGATCATGGCCAGGCCGAACGCGCAGGCCCAGGGCGGCACGCCGTGCAGCTGGGTCTGGATGCGCGAGTAGCCGTACGACTGGATGATGGCCGGGGAAAAGTACGCGTAACCGTAGGCGGGCACGATCAGGCCAAAGTACATGAGGCCGCCGACGAGGATCTTGTAGTCGCGGAAGACGTTGAGGATGTCGCGGGCGCCCAGGCTGCGGTCGCGCGCCGACTTGCCCTGGTCGACGCGCAGGCGGGCAATGACGTAGGCGCGTTCCTCGTCCGTCAGCCAGCGGGCTTCCTCGGGGAAGTCGGGCAGGAGGAAGAAGAAGAAGAGGGAGACGAGGAGGGTGAGGAGGCCCTCGAGGATGAAGATCCAGCGCCAGCCGGCGTAGCCGCGCACGCCGCTCATCTTGCCGATTGCCGCGGCGAGGAGCCCGCCGAATGCGCCGGCGAGGGAGGTCGAGGAGAAGAAGAAGGAGTATCGACGCTGGGCCTCGTGGCGGCGATACCACATGCCGATGAGGTAGAAGGAGCCGGGGAACATGCCGGCCTCGAAGACGCCGAGGAAGAAACGGGTTGCGAGAAGGCCGGCGTAGGACTGGACGAAGCCCTGGAGCAGAGTGACGAGGCCGAAGCCGAACATGCAGATGGAGAGCCAGACATGGGGCTTGAGTTTCTTGAGGATGATGTTGGAGGGGATCTCGAAGAGGATGTAGGGGACGAAGAAGATGACGAGGGCGGTGTTGTATTCGGTGTTTACGAGGCGGAGGTCGGTGGACAGGCCGAAGACGTTGGCGTTTGAGATGTTGATGCGGTCGAGGAAGGCCAGCAGATACCTGTGGGTAAGTGAGTGGAATGTTTGGGGAAGACTCTCGGAGAGAGTGTGTTGTGTTCATTAATTACATGATGCATAGAAAGGGCAGGATGCGGAAGTCCATCCGATTGACCAGTTTGCGCTCCGTGGTATGGGCAGGACAGACCACGGGCTGGTCATGGTCTTCTTGGTCGTCCTGATCGAGGGGATTATTATCCTCATTCTTGCTGTACTGTTCAGCATCTGGTGACACTTCCACGGCCTCTGTGTGTGTGGTGTTGTGTGTTAGCAAATGTCAGCAGTAGTAGTAGTCATTAATGGTTTGGTTAGATGTCAAGGCAACCTTGTTGAAGAGGATAAAACCGAACTTACTTTCGCGGTCGCCCCACATGATGTCGACAACTAATGGTCGCTGTCTTCGGTGTCAGTGTCAGTCTCGAGGGAATGGTAGAGATGAGGATTAGAAACGGGGAGGATAGATGATATATATGGAAGAGATGGCGCGTCAATATAAGAATAAGATGCAGGTAATGATTATTCCATCAGACGACTCCGACTCCTCTCCCACTTCAGTCAGCAGCCGCATTGGAGAGAATGCAGTATGTAAGCTGCGGTGATCAGGCTGAAAAGTGCGTGGACGACAGATCATGCGTGACAGAGACTGCTGCGACATGACTGAGAAATGCGCCTGTCCCGGGGTTAAGACGAGGCAGTAAGGCCGAACGATTGGCCGTTGGGGAGAAGGACTTATAGCTTTAGACCTGATGGGGATGATTATTAATGTGTTGTATTGTATTGTATGCTTTCATAACCAGACAGTCAGCCTCCACTCCGAAATAGGAAAGCACCCCCCGCATCGGACAAGCCAGGCGCGAGTCAGTGACTTCTCGTCCCAACTAAGCTTAGCGCGCCTTCCTTCCCCCGTCACGGAACATTCCCGGGTAATTCCATTCGCCGACTCGCCGACTCGCCGACAATGGCAAAAAGAAAGTGATTGATATCTTTGATATATTGTTATTATTGTCTTTGCAGCAAATGCGATTTCTTATGAGTGTTTGCGGTTTGATATCTCTATAGACCCATTCATATTCCACTTCTTAACCTGCCTGTCTGGCTGAACGACGGGCATTTGTGGCGGACTTGTGCGCTTCCGCAAACATGTTCATTGTAGCTTGGCTGCGCGTTTAGGGCCCAGATGTTCATCTCTTACCTCTCTCTCTCTCTCTGCCTCTCTTCCTCTCCCTCTCTCCCTCTCGTTCACTTTGCACCTTGTCCTCACTACTACTACTACCTCCTCCACTCCATTCACTTTCCTCTTGCGCGTCTCACAACAACATAATCGCTGCTCAATAGTCACTAATCCCTCAATAGGGCGCCGTGGGCTGGGACTGAAGGATGGCCCTGTTGCCGAACCTTCTTCCTCCACGCCACTGGTAGTCCACAACCTTGTATCCCACACTATCCTCTACACTTCAGTCTGATTTCCCGTCGCAACTCTTCTATCCCGTCCTCGCCATTCGATCTTCTTCAATCGCTTCATCCGCCACTCTTCGCTCGCATCTCATTGTTGCTGGCTACAGGACCTTCAGCTTACTCCCTTTACATAACGCCATATACCTTCCACGGACTCCTTTGTCTGCCTGCACCATGGACATCTCTCGTCTGATATCTCCTCCCTCCCCGGAGTCTGGCCAGTCGGTCAAACTGCCAGCTCTGTCTCACTATTCCCTCGCCTCCGCTGCTACCGCTCCTGCTGCTCTTCCGACTCTTTCAAACACCATCTTGTCGCATGGCCAATCGCTTGATCTCACAAAACCCGCTGCGGCCCAGAGTCCCATCGCAGCCTCGCAACTCAGCCCTATTCAACTCTCCCGAGACCCTCAACCTTCTAGCTCCGTTGAACGTCCTGAGCCTCCGCAACTCCCTCAATCTTCTGGCTCTCGTAGCCGTCCTGAGGCTCCCACACCCCCTCAAACCTCAAACTCTCTCAAACGTCCTGAGCCTTCGCACCCGCTTCAAGCCTCGAAGCCTTCGAAACGGCCCAGACTGAATCCGCGCCAGGTCTCCCGACCAACCTCTTCTCGACACTCCACCCCCTCATCTGAGCAAGGCCAATACGCCCCGTTAATGCCGCGTTCAGCATACGGCTCAACCGCCAGGCCACTTCATTCACTCGCGCCTCGACCCCTTCGTGCTCCAAACCCGGCCCCGCCCATCTTCGAGCATGAACGCATCGAGCTGGACAAGATCTGCAGGCCTTCCGTCAAGGGAGAAGTGCTCCTCCCTTTCAAATGCTCCCGTACTGGCGCAATCGCCCATCCTCGATCCTTCACCGAAAAGTCTGCTGAGAGTAAGCTGGACTTTGGTGGCAAACGCAGGAGTGGTCGCAAGCCCACTGAAGCCTCCATCTTGAGGAGCAAGGCTGCTGCCGAAAAGCGCGCAAGGGAGCTCCGGCCTACCAGACTCAGGATCGACCAGCCAGTCAAAGCACAGTTGAACATCGATATCTGGGCACAGATCTTCCAATGGACCTCTCCAAGCACCCTTTTCGAGATCCGCCACGTCACGCCCTTCTTCGAGTATATTCTCTCTCTCGACAAGACGTGGGAAGCCTCACGTATCAGTACGTTCGGACACGACATGCCTGGCCCACCTGATGGCATGACCGAAGCCACCTACTGCGAGTATCTCACAGGCACTACCTGTCATTCGTGCAATGAATGCCCCGTCCGCAAGGTTTTTTGGGCTTTTCGCAAGCGGTGGTGTAACGAGTGCTACCGCACCTTGACCGTACGGGAGCGTGAGGCAAGAGCGTCTCTCGACAATCTTCATCCTCTCATCCTGAACACCATCATGTCGGCCACGCGAGACTCATGGGGCCATTACATTGGCGCTGGCTCCATCCGTCATTCTGCTGGACTCGGCGATGGTCGTGTGGCATGCTACTTGAAATCCGACATTGAGCAGCTGAGACGAGACTGGCAGGAGCTCTTGAGTGGTGAGACATTTGAGATGACACCAGAGCAGGTCACTGAGCGACGCGACAAATGGATTGCGGAACGAACTGCCGCGAGAGACGTCCTGATTGAGCAAGCTCGCAAGATCGAGGACTGGCAGCGCAACGAGGATGCCAAGAAGAAAGAGAGCTACACCGACAAGCGTGAACAGCGCATCGCCTTTTTCAAGAGGCATGCAGAGGCTGTAGGCATCAGTGAGAAGGCTCTTCTTTCCAGCATGGCATACCAACGCGCAGCCAAGATTCCGAAAATGCCAAGTGAGCGGGCCTGGGATATCCTATTGCCGAAGATCAAGGAAGATCTGGCTGCTCTAGCACGGAAGGCTTCACGTCGCGCTTCGGCACGACACAGCGAAGAGCGAGCGTTGGCCGCGGCCGCGGCTGCACATCGCATCCCAACACTCCCGCCCCCAATTGGCAATCTCAACTTTGCAAGGCCTTCGGCGGCTATACATGCACTTCCACCGCACGGCATCGACGCATACCTCTGGCAACGACAACGGCAGGCCTGAGAGGAATAGTGTGCTTACCGCATCCAGTGGCATGGCATTTTGAAACAATTAACGACTGGCATTTCAGCGGACACAAACAGCATAGAATTTTTTTGGCGGCATTTTTGCATTTTTTGCATAGGGGCATTGCAACATTGGGCTCACATCTTATAGATCTGGGATGGCGTTCTCCTTTTTTGGTTGTTTTGTTTTTGGCTCGGCGTTTCCACAAGCATTACCTGGATCACACACACACACACATTGCATGCAAGCTGTACACCACGAGTCATGAATGGATGGTATGACTGTCAAGGACAGTCGATGGGCCCATCAGCTAGACAGGTTCTTGATGAGACGCTGATTGGACATTCGGGGGAATGTTTGGCTGTATCATAGTCAGGCTATGTCCTTGTGAATAGAGAGAGAGAGGAAACATATATGACTTTCGCACGTGGTCTAGATTCTATATCTTTCTGACGAGTCTATCCAAGCTACTTGCTCTATCATGAGAGCGCAAGAAGAGAAGGCACAACATCTCTATATCATACATCCATCCATCCATCCATCCATCCATCCATCCATCCATCCATCCATCCATCCATCCATCCATCCATCCATCCATCCATCCATCCATCCATCCAT